GCTCTTTGACGGTCAGCCTGTCAAACAATACATTATGTTGAGGACACAAACCAAGGCTTTCTCGAATAGCATCCATGTCTGAAGTGATACTCAAGCCATTAACATCAGCCGAGCCGGTGGTAGGCGGAAACAGTCCCGTTAACATTGATATCGTTGTGGTTTTTCCTGCACCGTTGTGTCCTAAAAGTGCGGTTATTTGACCTTTGAAAATATTCAGCGACAGATCATCTACAGCCACCTTAGAACCTGAAGATCCCTTTGGAACAGAAATATCGAAAAATGTTAGGTTTAAAAGAACAATCGAATCATTTTTCTCTTAAAGTGGGTTACAAATTTCACTTGGAAATTCATCATTATACATGTACATGACTAGACTACGAGCTGTCTCTCTTTTTTGAAACAGGCGAGAGACTAAAATGACCACACACGTGTACTCCCTCCACTAAATTTGAAGACAAAAGAGAGACTGCGAGCAGTCTAGTACATAACAAGCCTGGAGCCACAACAAACACAACTTTTTCATTCTTCATTCGAAAATAGGGGAAAGTGTGTAAGTATCACTCCATATAAGGGAATCTAAGACATTCTTGGATTCCGGATTCTTGGATATCGGATTCCAATCGTTGATGGGATTCCGGATTCCTTGAGCTGTATTCCGGATTCCAAAGCCTAGGATTCCAGATTTTCCCCTATTCCGGAATCCGGATTCCCTAACAGGGAGCAGCAAGTTAAGAACAGCATGCATGCATGTACCTCGAAAACTTTCCGAAGCCTTTTAATGGCAACACCAACTGGTAAGTCCGGTTCATCTTCAACATCTGCCTTACCATCCTCATCATCAACAGGAGATTTTGCACCACTATTCAAGATCACATTCATTTCCTCCTGTTCAGTAACCTTAAGCAGATTTAAAAGTTAAAGAGAAATAAACTCGATGTATTGTAGTCTAGAAGTAGAGGTTAATGCCCCGTGAGGATCATAATACGTTTCTGGGAAACTGCTCACCTACCCTCCCTAAATCAACATTTTGCCCTACGTGAAAAGCAAGTGCGAAAAGTAAGTGTTGGTGTTGGCTTAGGGGAGGGGTAGGTGGGCATTTCCCCAGAAACGTATAATGATCTGAAAAAACTTGTCCGGGGTAGTCACTCAAATATCCGAGCTACCCTGGGCGAGCCAACGTTTCCTATATTTCCTTGGGAACCTTGGCGAACCGTACCGTATACATGAGAAACAAAAGTTTGCTCAGCAAGCAGGGTTCACTCGCTTTCCCGGGTCACCCTTAGTTGACGGCAGGGTTCACACGCTTTCCCGGGTCACCCTTATTTGAAGGCAGGGTCACACGCTTTCCCGGGTCATCTTTATTTGACGGCAGTGTCACCATCGCAACTGGGCCAACTTTTCTCCACATAAACATTCTGGCACGCCAAGCCGGGTCAACTCGATCGGTCAAGGCGGGAGCGCCGTTGTCAGCTCTTGGCTCGGATAAATGGGTCAACTTTCTTTCTCCAGTAACCGCTTGCTAAAGTTAACTAGGCTGGGATGGTGATCCTCTTCCCCAGGACAATTTCTCTCCATATAAATGGGGCGTAAGTCTGGATATAATTATCTGGGCGAGTGAAGTTAATCAGGCTGTTGGTAGACTGAAAAACAGTCGGGTTTTTTCTTAAAATCGGTTTTGCAAGTTGCAAAGTGCGAGAGTGATAGTTTCGCGCGAAGCGCGTGGGCCTCACACTTGTGTGGCGAGAGAAGAAACACGGATCTCTCTTTCGCGTCTCTCCCTAGTCTCACTCGCCGTTTTTACCCTGACTCCAGGCCTTTCCTTTGACGTATCACGCGCACGCTCTTAACAAAGGAGAAAATATGGACTGTTTTGTAGTCTATGCTGTTGATGGTGCTGATAGACGTTTCCACAGATATTGTAGCAGTCATCAACAGCCACGTGACCTGTTTCGTAACCGCGCCTGGCAGAGGTACAGAAAGGATGATCATGAAATTCATCAGGGACACCCAACGACAATTTTCGGAAAAATATCTGTTCGGAAGACGATTTGAGATCTAGAATTTTCGGAACATTTGTTGTAAAATTTCTTGCTTGCCTGCCTCTCCTAGGATTTTCGAACATCTAAAAAATGGTATAATTGCCTATTTTCAACGGATTTTTATCCTTAAAAAGGTCACCTAGAATTTTCGGAAGCCTTTTTTCTGGCTGAAATTTTCGAAAAGGTAAGTTTTGATCCCTATAATTTTCGGATCACTAGACTTTCAGCTAGGAAATCCGAACAGATGAAAAATTGTTAGGGGATAAAGATATGCCTTTATCTACTGTTTGAATACTAAAATACGTTTAACAATGCTGTGTTTAAGTGGTTTTGAACTATATTCTTGTTGGGTGCCCCTGATTCATTCCCTATTTGGACATACCTCATCGTCGCACGGCAACTTCAACTAAAACAAACAAACAAAGAATATTCTTAGCACTAGCACAGAAATTTATTTCTCCAACATTCAAGTCCTACACTTTAAGCCTCCGTAAACAAGCACAGTAATACTTGACGGATTCATTTGTTGAGTAGCCTCCCACGCAGGCGTTTTTAGGGGAGCTTGTCTTTCGTCCCTCCCCACAAAGGGATGAAAAACGAGCTCCTCTAAAAACGTCTGCGTGGGAGGCTATTTGTTGAGGTGCTTTCAGCATAATTATTCTCATCATTAATCCTTCCTACTTAGGAACTTTATAATTGCCAATTCATGAGGTTTACCTTCGGGCTGTTAACGCCACACCAATACGACGGCAAACATGGGAAGTAGAATGGTTTAGGAATTCCATACTCCCCGGGAAATACCGCCTCAACATACCTAGTGAAAAAAGGTGATGCTGATGTGAGTGAATTTCTTTCCCTTTTGTGTTCTAGCCATTTAGACCGTACACTCACTGACTACCGCAAACTGCCGCTTATGAACTCCTTACCCATAAGTCCACTCCCCCCACCCCCACCCCCACCCCATCCATTTATGGGCCCACCTAACTGTGAATAATAGAGTACATCTGATTAGAAGCTTAATAAAAACCAATAAATGCAGAACGATTTTTACTCTGCTATAACTTGTTTCTTTATTTCGGTTATAAGCGTCCTCGTCGCCCCCTCGGTTTGATCTCTATGTGGTTCGTTGTACGTACTACACCACAAAGTTTCCTACCCCGAATCTTAAACTCCTCTACTCATGAACCCCCCCTAAAAACCCTTACGAAGATGTATAAAGTCCAGGGCTTATCAAACGGAAGTTTACGTCGGTAATCATTCTTGTCTTGCTTCACATTTACGCCCCACTCACCAAGTGATAGTGCCAAAAATTGCACACTCGGCTAGCAGCATGCAAAACACCCAAACCATATTGAAATTCTCATCGGATGAAGGATACTCGGAAACCTGTTTCCAAGAGATTCCAACTCGGATGGTCTCAAACTGCGCGAAGAGTTTGGCTGCGAGACCCAAACAGGTGTTTGGCAACAGACAAGCCCCAGCCTTCTCTGATCTGTAAAGGAAATCCAAATATACATAGATTGAAGTTTACCAGTTGATATGTATGCACGCCCATCGGCAGAGTGGTCAATAGAAGAACTAGAGCGTTCTAATCTAGGTGATGAAAATATCAACGTAAGATCCGACTTGGCAATTCATTACTAGGATGATTTGGCAACAGAACGGGAACGTCATTTGACGTCGGGAAAGCGCGCGGAAAGGACTAAACTCGACTTCCGGTGCCCAATTTGCCGCTCTGCCATTGGCCAAGCCAGTTGTTTGATTTGCGCGCACAGTCGTCAACTGACGTTCTCGTTCTGTTGCTAAATCAGCCTACTAGTTAGTTTGTACTGCACGGCATGTGCGGCACTGAATCAGAAACTATTGGGTGACAATGGAAGATGTAAAGCTGCTAAGAAGAAATTTGCGCGCGTGTCTACTCGAAGCTACAAGCTCATTTCGCTGGTTCAAGCTCGCCAGATCAGGTCTGCAGATTAAAGTTTATATAGCCTGCGAATCCCGGGGGCATGCTTTTTGTGGGGGGTAAATTTTTTCTGGGTATGTACGATTTTACCAATGTTGAACGAAAACTTTCCTCCGTCCTGCTTGTTGTATTTTGGTTGTTTCTATAAATTGGACTTGAAACTGATAAGCCGAAAAGCCGTCTATCACTCATAATCTGAACACACGCGTTTTGACCTTCTATCACGCGAAACTTACGCAAAACACCAGCGTTACAGCAAGGAGGTTTTGAGGTTGGATCAGAAGCCTGAAACTCGCCCGCATTCCTTAACCTTTGGTTATTACTAGTTAAGTAAACATGTATTTGGTACCTGGTCATTGCTTTGTATTTACTGTCATTATACACTACAAAGTAGGGTACCAGTGTTGCGATCCAGATTAAAGCACCAAGGAGCATTCCAAGAACAGGACGCGAGAAAAACACACTGCAAAGATATAAATCAAGTCTCAAATATCAAGACGGTTGACGCCATTCTCATTCTCAGAGCCTTCATTTTTTTTGGTCAGTGCTGCGAATCGAGAGAAAATGATCCCAGCTCTGAGAGAGTCGGTTCACGCCTGTCTGGCCTAGCTGTGCGCATGAGTGGCTTCGGATTTGCGGATATGAAAAAACTGTGATTTGTTTACCCACGAAACACTTAAGGGGTCTTAAGAACTCGTTTAAACGAGTTTGTGCTTTCCATATCAAATTAGAGTTTGAAGTGTTGGTTACTTAGGAAAGGGGAGAACCTGAGTACCCGGAGAAAAACCTCTTGTAGCAAAGGAGAGAACCAACAACAAACTCTAGCCATATATGGCGTCGACACCGGAATTTGAACCCAGGTCACCATAGAGACCTTTAGATTCGAGGGCGAGGACGACTACGAGTACGAGATTTGACTTTAAGTTTTTTCGCGTACTCCCAAAATACAGACTTCCCGAAAAGCTTCATTTTACCGTATTTCACCAGAAAAGTTAGCACTGTTATCTTTTAGTGAAGTGGGATACGCGCTTTCCCGATCACAAAATGGTAAACCTTGTAACATTTGATATCTTGTTTTCGCCAGCAAGACATTCGCGCTAAAACTAGGGAACTTGAGAACCACGACGACGACTTTGTCGACGACGTCCGGAAGTGAGTTACTGTGTACTGCGCAAGCGCGACCAGTAAATTTCGTCGTCGTGGTGTCGTCGACGACGCCAAACAAAGTACAATCACCTCGTCCTACAATCCACGAGCTTAGGCAGGTAGAAATCCACTGTTTTAAGCGATTTTTGAAGTCCTTTGTTATTTCTTATCCTAGTAAATCCAGGTATCGTTCCTTTTTTCTCCTAACAAGCGATGTTGATTGAAAATTCGACTAAAAGTGTACTATAATGAATTGTTTTTACTTCGAAGAATGACAACAGCTGTGGAGGGCCGAGCGAGCGAACTCGCGCGTAAGTGAGAAATTTATTGTACATATTTAGGTAAGGCAAATCATTTCATATAGAGGAAATAAACTTTACATGGAAAACAGCTATCACATCAGAATGTCTCTTTTTCCACAGCTAAACTCTGACAGACACTCGGACTCGGTCATCTCATTCAGGTTGAAATAATCTTTGTGCAGAAAGCAGGTGTTTTTCCACTCGAAAAAGGTCAGACAACACAAAAAATTCTCCATCGTCAATGAAATTAGACGTACGGCTCAAAAAATTAGATCTTGCATTGTTTTAAAAGACACCATTGCGAAAAACTTTGTTGCGAAATGAGTATCACAGTTTTACATTTGTGTTTACATTCAGTGTCGTCGTCGTCGACCTACCGACCGACTGCATCTAAACACGAAACTGACGTTCTCGTTCCAGTCTTTTCCCAGTCAACAGACGTCGTCGTCGTGAACTTCGCCGTGGTTCTTAAGTTCCCTAGTGATAATAGAATGACAACGGCTACCACATTTCCCGCCAAAATGACGCTGGTTCTCGCGCGAGCACTACTTTGTACGTAGTATTGAGAAAATCTCGTACTCTAGTCTTAGCCGTACTCGTCTTAGAATCTAAAGGTCTCGATTGGTAGAGAGCGATTGCTCTCACCACTGTGCCACCCTTGCTCCCAACCCATAAGGACATACTACAGTGCGTTTTAAGTGAAGTGGGACCTGAAGGCAGTGCAACAGGCCGAGCTGTCCGTAAGGAACATCAAGGACCACGACAGTGATGGCTGAATTCGGCCGTATTTTTCCACCTTATTTCATTTCTGAAATTTAGCCACGAGTTGCAGAGTTGCTGTTTGCTAGGCTGCAAGCAAGCTCTCCGGGGCGCTCTGGCAGCGTGGATTAAGTCGATTAAGTCATTTATTTAGAGGTGAAGGCCCATGCTGGAATAAGCACAAAACAAGTTGCAATAAGAAATTAAGGAAAAATAATTCTTTACCTGACACAGAAGCAAAATAAGATGCTGGCAAAGATGTAAAGGAGAAAGAGAACGAATAACACAGTCACGTCTGAATATTTAAACACCAGGACCTACAGAAAGAATCAAAACAAAACTTACGTAATGAAAGCTTTCAAAAGTACGTAAAATACTGACATGCGATGGTCGATCCTTCACAAGGCGAATTATCTCCGATCTGAAGGTTGCAGTGGCTAAATTTGTTTGCCCCAATATCCGCGTACAAATTCTCTACACTGATCCCCTTACATTTCCTTTAAAAATGAGTTGAGAGACTTTAATAAAAGATCAAAGCTCATTTGTTAGGAGAAAACTGATGTTGATCACTTCTAAGACTTAAAAGTTTAACTTAACACGAAGGAAACCTGTACTATCAGGAAGTAAAACAAATTCTCTACACTGATCTCCATACATTTCCTTTAAGAATACGTTGAGAGAATTTAATGAAAGATCAAAGCTGATTTGTTAGGAGAAAACTGCACTATCAAAAATAGATATTACAAGACAAGAAATAAAACATAGTTACAAAAACAACGTTAACTGTACTGAGAGATGCAGGAGATGTAATCTCCTCCATTAATCTAATTTACCTTGAGTACAATGACAAATATAACAACAGAGATGAGAAGGAACAACAAGTTTTTAGTGAACCATGCTGTCCAATGAACCCAGTTTGGCAGTCCCATCATCTTCATTGATTCCTTTAAACGGCTCTGTTTCTCAAGAACCAGCTCCTAGCAAAATTAATCCATACAATAGTAAATGTAAGTCATACATATAACAGAAAGTTTAGTCAAAACCTGTAACCAACCTCCAATTTTAAATACAACTGTAGCTAAAATTTTTCAAATGAACTAAACACTACAGCTTTTATAGTTTTAAAAAGCAAAAAAATCTTAAAAAATTCTTTTTTTTGGCAAACCCAACTACACTTGTCAGAAAAACGTTCATCACCTGTTTCCACAGAATACAAGCCAAAACTATGTCATACTAGAAAGAGAAATCTCCACAATACACTGATACCAAAATACATGTACACGTAATGGATTAGGAGCCCGTGATATTAACCCTTTAAGTCCCAATGGTGTCCAACATCAATTTTCTCCTAACCATATCCATTGATTGTCAAGAGATTTGGTTATGAGAATTAATAAATTGATCACCTAAGAGAAAATGCTTTGATCTTTCATCAAATTCTCTCAACTTATTCTTTAACATATGTATGTGGATATTGGGGCTTAAAGGGTTAAGAAGCCCGAAAATTTTTCATCAGACGTTGTAACTTTGTTTTGTTTCATACTAAGAAATACACCTTGCCCATGCAAACATTGTTATTCTCAGAACTAAGGGAATTAAAAATGTTTCAGCACAAAACAATTATGACAAGAAAACGATTCCATAACTGTATTACCTTGATAATTGTCATAGCTGAATACATCAGGCCCAACATAACCAGCAGAGGCATAAACAGGGATACCATATTCATCCCAAAATTTGTTGTATAGTTTGGGTAAGGAAAAACCTGTGCCAGCAGGACAAACACAAAGTCAGTTATGGTTTGTGCAACAGGATTATATATAATTAATTATTTCTAAGAACAAGCTAACCAAGAATAATAGCAACTCAAGATGACAAATAAATTATTTGTCATCTTGAGTTGCTATTTTTCTTGGCTAGCTTCTTCTTAGAACTGTATATAATTATAATGATGATGATCAACAAAAACTATAATAAAAATGATGATGGTGATGATGATAGGAATGGCGATGATGGATAATTATGACAATTACAGCAATGATGATGAAGACGGAGAGGAATAAGATGGCTGCGATGATAATGATGATTATAATAATGATGACGATGGTGCTGACTGTGATGATAATTATATATATATGGTGATGATGAAGATGGCAGTAATAACAAAGATGACGTTGACAAAGGCAAACTTCCTAAAACCCCAATCCCCAAGACCGTGATAAGGTTTTTGTTGCCATAAATCAACAAGTTACATGGTGGAATTAATAGTGAAGGCCTACAGAGTACACATAACCGTTCATGTCTGCATAAATAACATACTAGCCTGCATTTTCACATGAAAGCGATGTGATAAGGCAGTTTGCATTTGCATGATAGCCGTATCAACTGCGTACTGGAGTGCCAAAAACTTGCCGTCATATTTGCTCCTGAGGGAAAGAAAGAACAGGATAAAGTGATAGTTAGGCCCTAATGCTCCAAAAGCTCAAACCATTTTGTAAGATCATTGCTGAAAACCAGAGGGTAATTAAAGCATCTGATTTGGCACACGAAAAATTCAGGTTTAAATGGAACTCAACCTAAAATGCAAATAACATGGGTTTATTTCTTCAGTTGAGGCAGAGACACTGAACAAAACCACAGCTTTATTGTGTCAAACAACAAAAAACTGCTAGCAGGCTAGCATTTCAAAATCCACAACTGTATCTCTGTTTTAATTAGCTTCAAGTTTTTCTATCAATGCCTACTTTTGTATTAGTGTAATGAGTTGACATTTCGCTATGCCACCGCTGGTCTGCCCACAAAATGATGTCTAAGGAACAAGCCCAGAAATATCATAATGATAATGTATCACTACCCTAATCTGGCCTACTTTTGACTTTTAACTGGGTTGTGCCACAAGCAGGGTTTGAGCCAGGCCGCGCCATTGCGCCAATCCCGCACTGCAATTGGAATTGTCCCTTTAAAAAACAGCCAAGGGGACAATTTGTCCCCTTCAAAATTTAGGGAAAAAACTCGAAAGGAAGCACACACAAAGAGATTTATTTCGGTACAGAAGTTGCAAGCTGAAACAGAACGTGGAAAGTATATTTTATCGCACCTTTAAAGTTCATTCCAAAGTTACGTTTCAGTCACGCTCTACTGCTATTTTTTTCGGAAAACTAAGACAGGGCTTTTGATTTTTCATGCGGTCGCGGAGCCGCGAAATTCACAAAAACACGAAAAATACTGAAATTCGGTAGAAATCTTATCAAATACATGTCTGTACAACATATTTGAAACTTATTTCAGCTATAGGGGCTATTTACTTGCCGTAAACTTGCAACTTTATCTTGGAACTTCGTCACTGAAACGTGCAGACAGATTATGTTGCGAAAAACTGGGCACTAGCCATCATGTTAAAGGCTTTGCCATTGGTTCATTTCTGGAGCGTGTTGTTGTTGAAAGAGCAAATGATGACCTCTGTTAGAAAAACGTTAAAAAGGCTGGTCTGATCAGCACAAAACCGATCGATTTCTAGCGAAATTTGCCTTGAAAATAACCACACAATCGGCCATTTTTTACCGATTGCTTTTTGGTGAAGTTTGCCCCGAAAACTCCCGCGAAATCGGTCGATTTTTCCGCGAATTTGTCCCTAAAAATCCCGCAAAATTTGACTTTTTCGTCCGAGACCTATCAGAAGCCATGCTAAGAAGGAAGGGTGTACAAATTTCTGTCCCCCTAAAAATGAAAATGTCCCCCAAAATTTTAGCCAAGGGGACAAATTGTCCCCCAGTGATCAAATCCTAGCTCAAACCCTGGCCACAAGGGAAATTTGCTTTGACTGATCTTCAACAGAAATGGCATGGGTAGTGACAGGTCATTAGTATAGAATTTCTGCACTCATTCCTCTCACTCAGACGTCACTTCGCATGGAAACTAGTGATCATAAAACTGCTAGGTTTAACCTTCATATAGCATTTTTTTTGACAAAATCTTCAAAGGGTTAATGGGTATATTCGATCATTATAAGCAGCACAGCACTTGTATCATTGATAATGTGTAATACAGTGACAAAATTTAATAAATTATGAATGGATGACAAATCCAGCAAGTTCTCATATAACTACAGTTACATCAATACATAATTGAGAGCTTATCATTACTTACTGTGCAGAGGCCGGGCTATCGGGAATATACTGTGGATAAGTCGAGTCTGTGTTCCATGGTGAATATACCTCAGACCTCAAGCGAATGGCATACTTGACTTGCTTTGGAAGACTGTCCTCATCATCAATTAAAAACTCAATGGCTGAAATAAAAAAGGATGATATTATTTTGTCTTAATAATACCCTTGCTACACAATTCTGAGTTTGCGAATGTAAAATACGGCTGACAGAGAGTTTCCTCAGTGAATCCATAGGACAATCACAATTGCCAGAATTATAAGCTAGCTGTAACTTGCAGCACTCTGTCATTCCGGCCAACACTGCATTTCTATTTTGTTTTGTTTTTTTATTCTGTTTGTTTGCTTTTCTTTTTGCTTTGTTTTTGTAAAATTGTTTCTTATTATTTTTGTTTTCTAGGTTTTTTTTCTATTATCCTATGTTTGATATTCCTTTACAACAGGCATTTTGCATTTGCTTACCCCCATAATAGTTGTCCCCGTCGAAAGAGTAATCTTGTGTATTCTCAGATACTTCAGCAGCCATACTAGCCCCAGATGACCATGGCATGCCAGTAGTGTTACTGGTACTTACAGCTTTCAAACCCGTAATGTTTTCAACCCTTGCCATCAACTTTGACACTAAAAAGAATTAAAGTGAGTATGAATGACTTATTGCATCAAAATATTACATGTAAAACTATTTAAAACAAATAAGTGAGTTTATTTCTTAATCCTTACATTTTTCACTTTCGTATACAATTCTCCAATCTCACATTGATCAAAAAAACCTTGTTTATCCCCCTAAAATTTGCATAAGCATTACTTTCCAATCATCATGTTATTTGAATATTGCCATAATCCAAAGTAGCATTCTTAAACTAATATGCATGCAGAGTTGTTATTAGTGTCATTAGTATCATTCCTAGTTTAAATAATTATTATAATTATTGTTATTATTATTATTATTATTATTATAATTATTATTATTAATACAATCGAAGCTCTCCTTGTAAACACTGGTCTCTCGTAAACGACCAGCTCTAGTTTAAACAACCTTTGTGAAACCACATTTGAACTGTGACTTTATGGTAATGAAAAGCTCTCATAAGCAACCACAACCACTTTTAGGATTACCCAACTGGACTTTTCCTTTGTTTTTAAGTTCTGGTAAGCAACCACTCAGAGTTTTATTATTTTATATAAATGTGTAGTTCCAGAAAATTAATCCAGACCCCCACCACGGAGGGAATTTCACTTAGGGCCCCCCCGCCTCCCTGGATTTTCCATTTTTGCAGGGAACTGATGACCCCCCACCCCTTCGGAATTTCCACAAATGTGACGAAGACCCCCCAACCCCTCTGGAAAAGTTCATTTTCACGAAGAAAGACCATTAAAGTAGAAGAATGAGGCAACTTATGGTTAGTATCCAACTGTTTCCATCAGAAGCTTGTATGCTTCTGTATTCATTTATTTGAGTGATCTCGCAACATTAAAACACACTACACCACCACAAAGTAACCTGATCTGTAATTTTTGCTCATCTCTTACTTTAAATGAAACAGAGAAAGTTAACAAGTCGGTTATATTTGTGAATTCACCTTAATCAGGGCAAGCTTCGATTTGTTATTCGTCTCATGGGCGTAATGTTGATAGAATTAACGCCATTTCGTGCGGGAATGCAGAACAAGTCAAACTTACGACCACAAAATTAATGCAAAACAAAGAGGAGAATAAAAACTCGGAATTCTGAAATGATAACAATGAATACCCCCTGCATCTTGAAGATACTTGAAGGGAAACCAAGTTCAATTTACTGTTTTTTGATCGACTGATGCGACGCGATGCGCGATCGCCGTAATAAATGTTTGGTGAAATGGACACCATTTCAGCGAGAATTCGATCAGGAACATGCCACACGTTCAACCACAAAATTAAGGGAAAATGAAAAGGAGAATAAAAACTCTTCATTCTAAAATGGTTACAATGTATAGCTTGTGCTTCGTCAGGCAAAATTGCCACTCTTCTGATCTATCGATCGACTGACACAACGTGTTGTGTTGCGTGATGTGTTGCATGCGTTGATGTTTTGGGGAAGACTGGTAACGAGTAATGGCGGCCGAATATACGAGCATGCGATAAAACGAGTTGTAGTCGGTCTAATTCCTGTGAAATTACATCCAAAACGCTTTTGAAAGAAAGGAAACCTGGTTAAGTTTAAAAGGAACAATCTTAAGTGATATATTTCGAGTTATTTATGTCCTAAAAATGATCTACCAGGTCGGTAAGAAGCAATATTCAATCTCAGGTCGAAAACAAAATGATATTGCCCCCCTGGAAAGTGATTTTATGGTCCAACCCCCCTCCCTTCTGGAATTTCCTGGGCCTCTGACCCCCCCACCCCCCTGGAATTTCCAATTCCCTCCGTGGTGGGGGTCTGGATATTTTCTGGAACCACACAATCAACACTTTAGTGAAACTGCACACTTTGCTACAAGGCAACTACTCTAGCTCTAAATGGCATCAAATGAAAAACCTTTGATATTAAAATCATGACTTTTCCCCCAGCATTATAAAAAAGAAACATTAGGCCGTTTAATTATTGCATGAAGTGAAAATTGATAACAAATCTCAATCCGTATAAAAGCTTTTAGAGGTTTCAAATTACATGTGACATTAGTTTTCTAAGTTTGTAGCTTTTTCTATCTTGAAACGAACACGAACGGTACTCTGGGTTTCTTTTATCATTTAAATATTCAGTGTTAGGTACGCCTCCCTATTTTTGCTGCACGTTTTGTGGTAACTTTTAAAAGTCTTGCAAAAACATTCCAGTTCTTGAAAATTATTTGTGGCTGCTATTCAAGATGATTTCAATCTCTTTTTTTGCCTGATTGAGCAACTAGGATCCTAAACTTAATAGTTGCACAGATGAAATTTTTAGTTGTTGCCCTGGGTAAGTGGGCAGCCGTTAATATCGAGCCCTGCTCACAGAATTTATTAATGAGCTTCCGAAGCTCTCTTAAGCGTCCACCCTATTAAATTTACCAAGCGATCACTTACGAGAGCTCATTCTCGTAGGCAACCAGCTATAATTATGACCACTTTTTTAAATTTCTGAGGAGTTTAATTACTTATGAGAACTTGAACTGTGTTATTATTATTATTATTACTATTATTATTATTATCATTATCTAACTTGGAAATTAAAACTGATACCTATTTCAGATTGGGGGAAAAAAGCCAATTTTCCACCACCATAGTACATATCGATCTGTCTTGACTGATCTACAGCTAAAAGAAAGCAAAACACACTGTTGTGGCATAGGTTGTATTCCTTTTGACCAATCTAAATCTGGATAATGCAACCTGAAATTTGATTTTTCATTCCATTAAGGACTAGACCAATCTAAGATTGCAATCTGAACGATCCACCTCTGCATGCACACTTGGATTGTTCAGATTGGTATCTCAATCTGTAGTTTCAGATTTTTGTGCCATTTAACAAAACTGCTTTTCAGTTGCAAGAACCAGTGCTCATTCAGTGATAAACACGGCAGGTCAAGGTTAGTTCAGGCAAAAGTTATTTACACTCCTTCGTTGTTCTATGCTGCTAAAGGATTGTAATATATTAAACTCAAGTTCCACTGTATAAATCTGTAAGAAACACAGAACACTTGGAACACTTGGATTTTCTCACAGCAAAACTAGTGTCCAATGTGTGTGTGTGTTTAGAGCACGCTTCTCAGTACTTGAGAATTCGTAATTATCTTCTGAATTTTCTTGAATCAAATTCCAGATAATTTTAAGTTGACGAGTCCCAGTATGAACAAGTACTACTAGTTAAAGAGCTACTTTTCTTTCCACTTCTCAACAAGAAGGCGCTTAAGTTAGCGGGGAGAAATATATAACAATGTGTTGAAATTGAGAAGAAGATCAGAGCAGCAGGCAGCTACTGTGTGCATCAATCTTATTCAGATTTTGGTTCTAGCTGGCATGAAAATCCAAACTAGCTGGATTGTCTAAATCTGGAAAAAATTTGGCTAAAAGGAATGCAACCATAGTTTCACATGCAATTAAGGAATGCTTTATGGTAAATACTGATTCCACATGAAAACAACTTAAAGGTATTCTAGTTATTAGAGCCAAGGATGGGTTGAACAACCCAGATGGTTATACTCATAGTAAGGCTATTAAGTTTTCATACACCAACAATTAAAAGCTACAATCAGGGACAAAAGTAGTTGACACACTAGCTTGTCTTGAAAGGGTGCTTTTATCAACAATATCATTCATTTATTATTTCATTCTATTTAAATGCTGTAAATGCCCCCACCCCCGAATCAATATTGTTTGAAGTAAAAGAAAGGCTTGAGGGTCTAAAATAAAACATTGATTTTGTGGTTACAGGGTGGGGGTACATATATAGGTGGAGGGGCTATTTTACCGCAGTGTCTCAACCCTTTTTTCCCTCATTGTAGCTCCAATTTTTCAGCTGAATTTTTCAGCTTTGTTAAGAAATGACACTTACAAAAACATTTGTCTTGTGCTGAATCTGCTGTCCTAATAGAGGCAAAAAAATGTTGAAATGTTCAAGTGGTAAATTTTTATTAAAAGGTGCAACTGCCTGTCATAAAATTTGTGTGCCTGATCCACCGGAAACTTCTTGCAGTTCTTGTTCCCACAGCCAAAAAATAACAGTAATCTATAAATTTACAGCAGTATATACATGTACAAAATGTACACTTTTTTGCTGGCAAAAATGTACAGTTAAATGTGAATATACATGTACTTACAGTGGAATTAGAATAAGAATGCCCATCACAACAATCGGAATGAGGATTTCAAAAACAGTCCCAATAGGTCTTCGTTTCTGTTGACATTACCAGGAATATACATATATATTACTACAGTGGTACAAGCCATTTATTAATTCTCGAAACCTTTATGCATTATGCATAGGCTGTTAAAAAATTATTGACACTGGTCACAATTGGAGCATGAAGTGTTGAGAAATTTATTACTGGTGCATTACAAGCCACTAGGGGCTACAAGCCTAGAAATCACAACCTCCATTTTGTGACGTGAAGCAGCAAAAAAAACCTACAGTGGAAGCACTGCTTCTCTTGATTAATCAAGGAAGAAGTCAAGGAACTACAAGGTTGCAGGTGGAGCTATTAAACATTTTCTCCTTACAAAGTTTTGTTGAATTAAATCGGTTATGAGTCATATAACTGCCCTTAAGTAAAAGGTTACAGAGATTTATGAACCCAGCTCTACAATACAGCAGAACCTAGAGCGGTCAGATAGAGAACTTACTTGAAGCAAAAAATTCTTCCATATCAGCAGTCGAAATTTCCTCAAATAATTCGCCATATTCGGGGTGTTTTCACGTGAAGCCGGTTTCCAACAATAGAAGCCCGAAACTGAGGAGGCCGAATTCACATCTAGAACGATGCCTCTTCAGTCAATCTCATAAAAAAGAAAAACACGAACCGAACAGGCAAAGCACAGATCGTCAAATGGCGTACATGATTTCCTACTTTCAGCTTGTCTTGAACGGGGTGGTGTCATTTACTATTGACACTCGAAAGCACGAATTGCCTCGAGTTGATGATGGACGTGTGAAAAAGAAGACTAGCGCTAGTATGGATAAAGGAATGACATGTATGACAGAACTTTGAAAATGGGTCATGGTTTCAGAGATGAGATGAGCAATTTTAAAAAGCCGAAAAAGCCGAGCTTTCCTTTCATTTCAGTGGCGGAACGACAGCGATTAAAGCTTTGAATGCTGGAAGAGAAGAACACCAATAATTGTAACGCAGTGCCTGATTGGCTCGGCTAGTCGAACAATATTGACATGTGTCGATCAAAGGTTTGTTTCATACTGAGAGGTCAGGTATGGGACGTAACAGGCATAAAATTAGACTGTTCACAGTCCTCTATTTTTCCGTAAGATCGTCGAGATCGAGCGCTCTCGGTTACGGGTTGCCATCTCGCATGAGTGTCAAAACTACTTAGGGGGCGGGGGCGGTTTTCGCGCCACCTCCCCCCTTCACCTAGAGCTATAATCCCCGACGCCCGCCCCCTCCGTACATTTGAAAATCAAGATAGCCGTGGCGGTAAGACGCGGTATACCTAAACGATCTCACGAAAAAATAGGGGACTGTGAACAGTCTAGCATAAAATTTCCTGTGGTTGTTGTTTATTTTGCCCCCCGATGCCAGAGAATTTTCTTCTGAAACGCAAATCTCTTCTTGCGACTAAGATCCTCAGGCCGTTTAATTTATTCCCCAGTGTCTCCTGGAAGCGATTTTCTTTTGTCAGGGTTTGCGATGGTTTCCTGTAATGTTCTGTCATGCAGGACCCAGCTCGTTGGTGTTTTTTTTGTTGTTGTTTTGGCGGGATGTTAAATTTTCTCGGATAGTGATTTACAGATCCAAATTTCGAACAATGGATTGCACCTTAAACTGAAGCTACATCGTATCCACTATGGAGGACTACTGTGACACAAAATACATTTTGGTTTCACACACGCGTCCTCTAAAGTTCCCCACCCCCTCCCCGCTCTTTTACTCGCGCCATCTGTCGCGCGGTCAGTTTGACTCTCGTTCCTCGTTCTTTGCTCCTAAACCGCACAGAAACGCTTGCTATGCAGGCTAAGAAGAATATGAAGAAAGATTACCTTTGGCGATATAAAAAGTGTTGTCAAAATATTTGGACGGTCACAGCAGAGATAATTTGGGACCTCTTTGAAATCCGAGATGCTATAGTTATGACGTTTCTATGTACATTTTAATATTTTTGGCGGGAATTTCGTGCACAGGTGCCTGTCGACGACAGATAACAAAACTTTTCTGTCCGGTATAAAGTTTATAGTCTGCTACTCCATTTCACTTCCCTAAGGATAGGTGTCCATCATGTGTCTGAAACCAAAAGGCATTCAGAATTTAAATAATGCTTGCTTTGCAAATAGTGTTTTGCAAGCTTTGTTATCAGTGAAAAGGTTTTCAAAGGGCCTTGAAGGCACTCAACATAGCAGAGACAAATGTCACGCAACGATGGCTGCGAGGGAGACTATCTACTGCCGTGTTAAAGTCGATTTAATTCGATCAGTTTAGTTAGGCACGGTAGTAGTGGACGACGTTTAAAACGGGCTTAGTTGTTATCAAATGTTTGTTCAAGGAAATTACGCTTCGCTAAATTTAATTTTTTTTTAACTGTGACACACTAGACTTCTTTCCACTATCTGTTAAAGGTTCGTGTTATTAAAAGGTAAAATAAAACCTCTTGGAAATGCATTTGGAATTTATGCTGCCTTGATTTGTTTTGTCTGTGTGAACAGAAAATGCGTGATTTGATGTTTGCGTTAAGTGCCCTAAATTTTGCATTTACTGTTCTTTTAATTTCCGGCCTTCAGACAAAAGTTTCATTTTTCCTTTCTAGGCTTGCAAAGTCGATTTTACCCCGTTAATTACCAGGGGAAAGTACAAGTAAACCCCCGCGGGGGGTAGGGGGTACTGCCATATATGGGCTATATAGGAAGGTGATTTTCGAGCAAAAGAGAGACTGCTCGCAGTCTCGATATTCACTCACACAATTAACAATTATGGACGAGGTTGAGCAAAATATCGTGATTTGCCAGTGGCGAGGAGATCACTTATTTGCCGAAGGCGAAGGCTGAGGCAAATAATAATATTGATCTGCGAGACACTGACAAATCACTTATCATTTGATCATCAATTGTTTGTTTGTTTTTTAATGAATATGTTCGGGAAGCGATGCGATCTGCCATTTTTTACGCAAGAGGAGAAAAGGGTGGTTTCTTTTACGCATTGAGCAAAATATTATTTGCAGCCAAACACAGTTGAACGACATTGCGCATGAGCAGACCATTATTTGTAGGCAGTTATTTCAATCTCGTTCCCAGAGGCCGCGATCCTTTTGGTCAGCGACGGGGACCCCTGGGGACGAGGTTGGCAGTTATTTATGAAAAGGAAGAATAATTGGTCTACTCAAAATACTCATCTCCATACTCCAAAATGACGTTGACACATCATTCAAACACAAAGCAATTCTCTACAAAGGAAGGAACCACATTGACTATCGATTCTGATTAGGGTTAAGCCCTAAGAATAGTAGCCTGCGAAAACATCCGTTTCTCCCCGGTCTTCGCCGCTGGGGACGTTTCGCGCGAAACGTCCCCAGCGGCGAAGAGCGAGGAGAAACGGATGTTTTCGCAGGCTATGAGAATAGTGATTAGAGTTAAGCACTGACTCGATAAACGGTTAGATTTAGTAGACTTTCATGAACATTTCTCAACCAGAAATTCCAAGAGACATAAAAAATTTCATGCAGGAAAAGGGCCGGGAAAAGGGAAATGTATCAGAATGTCTTATGAGAGGAAAATGTAAGTTTGGAGTATGAAGATGAGTGCTGAGCGTTGTTGTATAGTTGACAATCTGACTATAGAGGATAAAATCCGCTTTCTGTTTGAAATATACCAATATTCAATTTAAAAAATGAGAACACACACATCATTTTTATTTTATTCTACGTTACATAAAAAAACTCTGAGTCAAAGGGGCAAAACTGCGCCAAGAAATTAAATAAACAAAGGATCACGAGGGTCAGAGGCTACTTTTTTTTCTTAAATGTAAGTACTTTAATTGTTGACAAGCAGATCCGACACAAATTTACCATACGACAAGTTAAAAAAAAATTGCTTTTAAACCAAGTGACGTCATCATTGCCAAGGGCACATTTCACACGAAGAGTTTTCTCGTTTTGGATGACACACTTTTTGAATGACTTACTTTGTGATTCGAAACCGTCCATATAAGCAAGACGTCTAAGGACACAAATCCTGACAGAAATTTGATTGCGAACCTTTTGGAGGCTTCAAACAACTGTAAGTTATTTACTGCTGCTGCGCACAATGTTTTGAGTTAGACTAGCAGAATTTTGTATTGTTAAAAGATATAGCCACGGGCGCTTGCTCAAAGCAAATGCTTATTGCACGCGCTTATGGCAAGCATACAATATGGCCGCCGGAAAATCAACAGAAACATCTGGAGTTCACTTTTTCCATAAAAGCTCTTCACTCGAGAGCTAGCATACGTGCGCATAAACACATCTTTTAATACTTGAAGTGGTTAAACTGCTGAAAATCAAGAGGAGAGCCGTTTTTTCAAGGAGACAGCATTCCTATTTTGCTGTCACGCACTGTGAAAACTCGGAAGTTCAAATTGCTGTACTTTCGAAATGAAACATGCTTTGGGGCTGGAAACTTGTACAAAGATTTATTTTATATTTATTTTAAACGTAGTGTAAATAAGAATGCGTAAAACCTCGCTTTTTTGACTTTGCAATTTGATGACGTCACTGTGAAAACCATCAATAGAAAAGATGAAACAATGTTAAATAACAAAATACGCAGAAAGAGCATCGAGTTCTTGCCAGCATGAACCGATGCCCCTCTGATGATCTTTAAAATTGTCCAGCGTTGGAGAATGGGGGTGGCTTCAATTCGATAAAGACAAGTACTGACGATCGGTTCGTTCTTATGGTGGAAAAAAAACTTTCCCCGAGATCCCACCATGATACTGTTACGACAAGGAATGCAATTAACTGGAAATTGTCGAAAGGGTGATGATAAATGTTAAGCCTGGTAAACACACGAATGCTATTTTAAGTCTACTAAAGTTGATTAAAAGTAATTGATATCTTCTTATATGTAAATATTACTAAAAGCGAAATAGTCGCCAGTCTTTACAGACTCTTTGAATTTAAATAATGTCATAAGCACTCGTTTGAGCCAGATGCATGAAGCTTGCTGTATGTCCATTTTAAGCAAAAGAGGTTGCTTGATCATAAGTGCCAAGACTGTAGATTATCCGATGCACTGATGACAACGAAATACTTGGCCCTCTTAAAAATCTCCTGCCTGTCCCTTTGTAAAAGCGTTTTTTTGGTCAAGCTATTTTTTCCCTTTTCTTTCTTCTTTTTTTTTAAATTTCGTAATGGAACTCATGAAAAAAAACAACAACAACAACAACAAAAGTTGTATATTCACAGCTTTATTTTTCAATTCTGCCCTTGCTTAGCCTAGCAATGCCGTACTAATACGGCAGACAGAAAGAAGGTCACTCCTCCACTCCAGTGCAGATTATGATAGAAATACCTTTCACCACTTCCTGTCTCGGTTTCGTCGATAAACTCGTAAGTCGCTGACCTCAACGTCAGTAACCTTTTCAGCGCTCTCAGTTAGCCTAAACGAGCAAAAAAAAAAAAAGAAAGCAAAAATTGGGAGAGGGAGAGAGATGAAAAAGAAGAATGGGGCCACTGTTTCTCCCCATTCCTCCATTTTTTTGTAACGTCATCTCGTAACCATAGCAATCGATTGTCACTATTAGCCAGAATATGTCTCATGAAGAAGCAAACAGTTATTGAAGAGAAGGCGATCTAAAACCTGAACACGTTTTGAAATAGATCGCATTAAATGGACTGCTTTCAGAAAAGTGAATCTATTCACCCTTTTGTGCATAAATAGCAAACTTTCGTGAACTTCACAGAAATTCTGATAAATGTCGTCATTTCCACGGTGATGGGCATCGTTGTGGATTATCAATTCAGATTTAGATTCCGTGCTAGTTGCAGGTTATCAGAAGTTATACTCAAGCGTATAGATATTTGTGCCCTTTCCCTGGTCTCTGTTGATTGAAAGCTGTTGGCTATTTTTATCTTTCATTTTCATATTGTCATACTTCCTCAAGAAAACGTATACGAAAACGCCAGCAGAAGCTTTTAGAAACTGTAAAATTTTCAGCCATGAAATTTACAAGAAACGTTCAGCACACGCTATCGTTTCCTTGCCATCTGCGCTGCCTTGAGAAAAATACGAAAACGACCAATCGGCGGCTTTGAATAAAAAATATCCTCGGGCTTTTGTTTCTCTTGTCAAAATTAATTATGTGACACACAGCACAGTCATCAACCATCGCAATATGTATTTAAAAACGCTCTTATAGAGATAATTTTAAATAACTGCCCTTTCGTTATAAATATTTGCAAGATAGGAAGAGATAAGTATGTTGAAAATAAAGGGTATCAAGGCGGAACGTGAGTGTAGGGAAAGTAAATATCATAATTAGCATACCCTGAAAAGTATAAAGTTTGATGTCAGGTATCATTTTCGTGTTTCTGGAACTGCGACTATATCATGATATTCTCTTACATTTATCGACTTTTAAATATGTAATGGTACTTTTTTCCTGCTCTTTTAGTCAAACCCGTCAGGAAAACAAAAGCTAAGAGAGCTTCAAGATCAAGAGAGGAGTGTTTTAAGTTTGGGAAAAGAGAGAGCAGGGATAACTGAAACACCTCGTAGAAATTATCGCTTTGGCGGCGTTTGTGCCATTAATTTTGGCACCATAATTTTTCACAATATTTACTGTAATACGAGGGTAATTTGTTTTCGCCAAACGTGACCAACAAAATTATTATTTGCACAACCTTGAGGATACACGGTTTAACTACGTTGTTGTGGGATTAAGGCAACAAGTCGCTCCAATGGCCATGCAAACACTAGCAACACTTACGTGGTTGGTGGCCCTTCTGCATTTCTCCTCACCCACGACGGAAGAAGTCAAACTCGGTCTTTTAATCCCATTCAAGCGCACAGCTCGTCTCGGCTACTCTTTCCATCGAGGAGAATTATACGCTTCTGCAATGAGCATAGCCGTGGATCATATAAATCAAAGATCAGACTTGTTACCAGGTAAATACGTTACGTTCATTTGGAACGACACGGACTGCGAGGAGGAAAAGACTTTGCAAGCAATGGTGTATCAACTGACTCAAGGTGTTTCAGCTTTTATTGGCCCTGGATGTACATGCAACACTTCTGCGAGAATCGCGGCGTCGTTTAAGAAGACCATGATTTCATATGTAAGTTGCTTATTATTTTATTTTATTTGCTCTTTTTCAAGTTAATGTTCAACTGTGATGAATTCAACAGGAGCAGAAGAACAAAGAAAACCCTTTTAAATAACCAATCTAATTTCGAAGCCGAGTACCTTACTTGCACCTCAACATTCATAACCAAACGAAAAACAGAGTTAAGTGTGTTATTTTCATTTTTATTGTATTCATAAAGGTGTTCTAATTTTGTACTTCTTTTGCTTATGAAAAACGAATTATTTATATTGCACCCTAATTGCATTTGAAATGGAAAATGAAGTTGTCGTACTCGAATTAATTGATGGAAAATGATTGTTTGTTGCCTTTAATTTCTTTTAAACGATCAATACCAGATTTTTAGTGAAATCAGTAAATAAAATAATACATTCAAAAGGAATCAAATTGAATAATTGATGTGAATTTGTTAAATTTCATGCAGTAAATAAACTCGGGGTCAAGGTGGCGGAGAGTATAATTATAGAGATAATGATCGCAAAAGCTTATTTTTGTTTAAGCATTGTTAGTATTAAAATTAAAAAGCAAGTGGAAAAAATATGCCAACAACAACAACACTTTATTTCACCCATAATATACAAGAAATAAAAATTTATAATAATAGTACAGACGATGATAGGGGCGCTGGCTGTCCGAAATAACCTAAGAGTTAAAAATGCCAGGCAGCCAGTTAAAAGAAAAAATGTTTAAATGTTTAGGTCAGGGACACAAGAACAAAGAAAACAGAGAAACGCACACAAAAAGTTAAGTAAACTACCAGTATATTAAAGAGACTAAAATTCATACATTGCAAAACAGTATTATTTCCATTTTAAAGTTACCCAGACAATGTACAGATGTCTAGTACTCTTTGATAAAGTGCTGTTTCACTTTCAACTTCGAGAAAACTCATCGCCTCATTAACTGATTTTTTTAACTCGGAGATTGTCGAGTTAAGTGGATTGAGTTTGTCGTCTAAAATTTTGGTAAATTGGTCGCAATTAATAGCCGGCATACTGGTAGACACTCACAATATTAAACAGATATAATATATCACACGCTACAGAACACTAGACTCAAATTCACTACAATTTCCTCAAGAGCGAAGAAATAAGCAGCCATCTTGTCCGCTGACCGCTGACCCAGCATACCCACAAGTTTGGCCTTTTTCTTAAACGTTCGAGAAAGGATTTGCTAATTTATAAATTGATTCAAGTTGGAGGTTATTTTGCCTATATTATACTAGTTAAGAACTCATGTTCACCAATTAATTCCAAGACGGCAGGTTATTTTTTTAATTTTTCAGCTCTGTATACAGTTTCTTTCTCGATAATAATATATGTTTTGTGGCTCAATTCTACAGACCACGGCCGAGCTCCAAAAACCCTCACTTTCAAAATAAGGCTAAGTGCGCAATCTTTCTTGTAAAAAGAATTTATTTATTTGCATAGAATGCAAAATCATTTCCATACCAAAGGCTGAGCACTTAACCTCGTTTTGATGTAGAGACCCGGGGGAACCTGGAGACAGTTCAAATTTCACATCCATTTGTTTTTAAGTGTGATAATTTCTGTGTTGTAGTTAATTTATTATCTCAGTTAATTTTTATTAATAAATTTATTGCTTGTTTCCCTATTGTTGCGAAATTTAGTGTGCAAAAAAGAACGTTTTTACACGGTTTCAATAGTTTCACGAAACGCAAGAAAAAACTGACATGTATGACGAGAAGTTTTGCCGGAATGGGCACGGCAGCAAGGCGCTTTAAATCAAACCAATATTTCAACTAGCAACGATAATCTTTTTCAGGGCCAAAGAAGGATTATTTAACGGCTTTTAAAACTGAATATATATGGTCCGATTGAAACCATCTCAGATCTCATCTCATCTCTATCTATTCACCACACGTCAGGTAAATCCAAGAGGTTTGTTTTTGTAGAATCCGGAATCCTGCATGGGCTTGGAATCTGGAATTCAACTCTAGGAACCAAGAATTCCGCTTTACGATTGAATCGGGAATCCAAATTCCCCTGACAAGTAAAGCGAAATCCAGTACCTGGAATCTGGAGTCCTTACTTGGAATCCAGAATTTAAGACTAGCCGTGGATAATTATCTTACAAGGGACGAAACTATCCAGTTTTCTCTAAAACTGACCTCTTTCCTTTGTTTTTTAATAGATGTGTAGTAATCCAGAGGTATCATACAAAAAGCTGTATCCCACCTTTATTCGTACATTTGCCATTGACACGAAACTTACACCAAGTCTGCTATCACTTCTTAATTATTTCAACTGGAAAAGAGTGGCAATCATTTACGAAAACGTGACGAAATGGATAGAAATGAAGACCAACGTGGTGAAGGGATTAAAAGCGAATGGAATTATCGTAGCGCAAGAACTGTTAACACATCATACAGCGCTTTACAGGCCACAGAATGACAGCGACTATTACAGAGGGATCTTGAGAAAAATCAAGCAGGAAGCTCGGAGTACGTATTTCAAGTTTTACCTTTGGTAACACAGGAACAGAGCTAAGAGAGTATACTCCCTCATATGTTACGTTAAGTTATTTTTAGCAATATAAAATGGCAAGAAATTTAATTCAAAACAATTTTTTTTTTACTTTCAGTTACCTTCATAAACTTAACAAATTTGTCGTTTGCAGGTTTGTTGCATCTTAACATATTTGTCCAAATAATCATCATAAATTATTCTCTTTTCCAGTTGTGATCTTTGTGACTGACTTTCCTATAGCTCAGGAAGGAATGCTCCACGCATACGACGAAAACATGACAAATGGAGACTACGTGTTTATAATTTTTGAACTTGATCAATTTCAAGTGGGAATCAAGACTGACCAGCCATTTAAGTGGTTTTTTAGCAGCCACAGAAGTACACTTGATCGCTATGATGACGTCAAACAAGCTTTCGAGGCTGCTTTCGTCTTGGCTGTCAAAAGTCTTTCATCGAAAAGTTACGTGAAATTTACGGAGGAGTTGAAGATTCGGTCCACAGATGAACCATTTAACAGCAAAGCTTACACGGGGTATTTATTTCAGGGAAGTTTCTTGGCAAACAAAATTAAGGTAGGAGGTGGACCTTTGAAGCACTAAGCCAGGGCAAGTTGTTCGCGTTGTTGGGAATAATTATTCCAGGCTTTAATTGGTAACCTCCATTTCTAACTTAGTTACTATCTATGTATACTCCGAAAATTCCTTATTAAAAAAACCCCAATTGCTAGGCGACGAAAGACGGAAACACTCTGCAAGACAAAAGCATCCTCAAGATCTCAAATTCCCATTTTTGGTGTACTTATCAAGCAAAGTCTGTGAAACATGGCTACGTAAAACTTTTCTTACCGATTTTTGCATAGTCTAGTGTTTTGCTGTCGTCATTTGCAAAACTCCTTATTTTTGTCTTAATTTATAATTCCCTCCGGTAATTTCTCCTTTTGAAATCATTTTGTTTGAGAATTCATACCAAACAATCGACACAGTATCTCGTTACCTCGAAGTTCGTTAAAAATTCTCCGCTGCGCTTCGTACTCTCAACTCTCTTCTCAGTGTTAGTAATTGCGATGAAACACTGCACTCGTGTTTAAACTTTAAAGCGCTGAAGTAGTATGTTACGTATGTCTCTTTTTCTGTAGCCACCGTTGTATGGAGCATATCTTTACGATGCTGTGTATCAGTATGCCATTGCTCTGAACAAAACACTGGAGAAGAATCAACCCGCCACAGGCGAAATCATCGCAAAAAAGATGCAAAACGTACAATATGACAGTAAGTAAGCCAGCATCATAAGCATCTTCCGTCTCGTGCTGAATTTCCGTTTTGCATGTTGAAGTCAGACGAGCAAACTTCACCATCAAGCCTCGTTTTGAAATTGGAAAGTTGGAAAGTTTTTGCGTAAATGAATTTCCATTGCAGTAGAGTTGAAAAGAATAATATCGCACAGAGAGTGCACATTCGAAGAAGCTCGTTCGAAATCGAGACTTGGAGGTGAAATTTGCTCGTCTGACATGAACATCTCAAAATGGCCATTTTGTGTTTCTCATTCATGATGCCCAGAACTCACTTCTTGTTGCCCTGTATTAGGCCATTAAAACAATTTGTTGGATCCCATACACTAATTGTCGAAAGAGTTTAAAATTAGAACTCTTCATGGCTTATTGTTGAAATAGTTAGAGCAATTGGATAAGCTCCGGTCTGCCGAGCGGGAGATTGAGGTTCAAACCCCGGCCGGACCACTCAGGGTCTTAAAATAACTGAGGAGAAAGTGCTGCCTTTGTTAATTGTGACATCTACAAATGGTTAGACCTTGTAGTTTTCTCGGATAAGGATGAAAAACCGTAGGCCCCATCTCACAGTTCTTTCACTGTTCTGATTCTTTGTGAATGTAAAAGAATCCACACTGTTGTTTGTAAAGAGTAGGGGGCATAGACCACGGTTGTATGGTACAACCTTTCATGGGCTAGGTTGATATCAGTTGGGACATTAGTCCTGTTTCATCCCCTGTCACCATGTTGTGTCACCGTGGCGAAGTCAATAAAGTAAAGTTTAATAAAGACATAGATGACAGCATTTATATATTTGAGTTGAGGGCTTTCAGAACGCTTTTATGTCCACAGTTTCCTATTACCATCAAAACTTCCAAGAAGGTGAGATGGATTTTTTTTTTTCGAAGTTTGAAATACACGTTAATTCAGTTGCATTCGCTTTCAGGCATACTTGGTTACAAAATTCACTTTGATTCCAATGGTGATGCAGAGTTTAACCTGACATTGCTTGATATGCGGCCAATAGGTAAGCGGATGTTGATTCCGGCTTTTTCCGGAGAACTTTAGCGTCTGGAACGGTATTCCCGGGATCCGGGATTTTCCCCAAAAAACAGATTCCTTAACGAGATAAAAAGATTTGACTGTTACCAGGGAAGCAGTATTCGCCCAAATTTTCGGACGACCTGCACCGGCTCCAAACAAGGTTTGTGATTGGCTGGGAAAACAATATAAGGGATGGTGACATAACAATGCCCCTATCCCTGAAAACAAAAGGTAGTGCAGGTTACAGGGACCAATGAAATAAGAGGTTTGGAAGAGTGCTGGTCAATAGAAATTTTCAGCACTGGTGCGGGATCGGAAAGAAAACGATAGTCGTGATAGTGATGAGGGAAGTTCGGGATGCGGGATTCTCGTGCAAAAAAGCGGGAATACGGGATCAGTACCAACCCCATCTCCCTCTGAGACCCTAGAATACACCTGTCAAAGTTTATTAATCGCGCTTTCTTATTTTTTTTTCCAGAAAAAAGTGCACAACACGAGATGATTCCAGTAGGTGATTTCCAAATCAAGTACGACAATAAAACCAAGAAAGGGGAACAAATTTTTGTTCGGCGGTCAGGCATTGCCATTAAATGGCCCGGTGGACGAACCGGTCCCCCACGGGACTCCCCTGAATGTGGTTTTCACGGGGAACTTTGTATCGGACCAAACCGAAAAATCCGGTTAGGTGTCTAACCATAAGCAGGAGCCAACCACTTTTTTGGTTCTTTTTTTAGTTTTTAGGTGAAAAGCCACCTCAGTAGGGTAATCCAGAATCCGGAAATCTTTTATTGTGAAATCTGGAATCCAGGAAATTGTTGCTTGTGCAAAATTGGAATCCGGAATCCTGGGCTTTGGAGTCCGTACTCCAGCTTAAGGAATCCGGAATCCCGCTAACGATGGGAATCTAGAATCTAAGTTCCACTGATCCAGTAGTAGGATCCAGAATCCAAGACTGTCTTAGATGGATCGAGGCTCACTTGGAGCGGGATGAGGTGCAAAAAAACGTGGCATGTTAGTTGTTACAAAATGAAATCGTTTGTTCAAGGAACTTACGCCTCGCTAAATTTATTTTTTTAAAAAACACACTAGACTTTTTTCCACTATCTAAATGCTCGTGTTATTAAAAGGTATAACAAAACCTCATGGAAATGCATTTAGAATTTATGCTGTCTTTATTTGTTTCGTCTCAGTGTACAGAAAATGCATGCGTGATCTTATGCTGCGTTTAGTGCCCTTAATTTTGCATTTACTGTTCTTTTTTTCCGGTCTTAAGACAAAAGTTTCATTTTTCCTTTCCAGTTGCAGAAATCGATTTTACTTCGTTAATTACCAGGGGAAAGTACAAGTAAACCCCCGGGAGGGGGGAGGGGGGGTACTGCCATATAAGGGCTATATAGGTATGTGCTACTGTGAAGGGTATGGTTTTCAAGCAGTTTGTACTCTAGGATAGGGTATATAAATCAGAGAGTTTGGGTCTAGAATAGGGTATCATTTTCCAGGAAACTGATTAATTGGTTGAAGATTTTAGTCTAGACTAGGGAAACCGGGAATTACCACTTAAAAATATAAAAAAAATCAAATCAGCGAGTTTAAATCTACGCAACTCAGCCTAAAAGCTACTATATAGGATAGGGCAGCAAAATTCAGCTGAACTAACTCTGGTATCTGGTATAGGCTAAGGGTTCCAGAGTCCCAGCGGACTGTTGCGAAAGCGCAAATACAAGCGAAAAGAGAGACTGCAATGGTTTCATACACCGGGCGTCCAAAATGCTGTATATATGGAACCATTGCACTCTCTCTTTTCGCTCGTATTCGCGCCTTCGCAACTCGCGCCCTCGCAACTCGCGCGACTTCGCTGCTCAAATACTTTCGCTTACAGATTTTCGAGCAAAAGAGAGACTGCTCGCAGTCTAGATATTCGCTCACACAATTAACAATTATTGAACTCTGTTATCGCAAATTGCGATAATTATCATCAATTGCAAGTTTGTTTTTTACTGAATATTTTCGGGAAGCGAAGCGATCTGCCATTTTTCAAGCAAGAGGAGAAAAGCGTGGTTTCGTTTACGCATTTGCAGCAAAACACAGTTGGACGACATTGCACATGAGCAGACCATTACTTGTAGGCAGTTATTTGCAGGTCACGTGGTGGGCTTTCGGCCAATGAAAAGGAAAAACAATTGGTCTACGCAAAATACTCATCCCCATACTCCAAAATGACTTTGACACATTATGATTCATACACAAAGAAATTCTTTACAAAGGAAGGAACCACATTGACTATTAATTCTGAGTTGGGTTAAGCCCTGAGAATAGTGATTAGAGTTAAGCACTGACTCGATAAAGGGTTAGATTTAGTAGACTTTCATGAACATTTCTCAACCAGAAATTCCAAGAGACAGAAATTTCATGTAGGAAAAGGGAAATGTCTCAGAATGTCTTATGAGAGGGAAATGTAAGTTTGGAGTATGGAGATGAGTGCTGAGCGTTGTTGTATAGTTGATAATCAAGGTGTTTAAAATTAGGTACCTCCTAGCAGTGTTGACTGTAGGGGATAAAATCCGTTTTCTGTTTGAAATATACCAATATTGAATTTAAAAAATGAATACACAGACATCATTTTTATTTTATTCTACGTTATATAAAAGAACTCTGAGTCAAAGGTAAAACTGCTCCAAGAAATTGCATAAGCAAAGGATCACGAGGGTCACGGGTACTTTTTTTTCTTAAATGTGTTGACAAGCAGATCCGACACAGGTTTACCATGCAACAAGTTTAAAATTGCTTTTAAACCAAGTGACGTCATCATTGCCAAAGGCACATTTCACACGAAGAGTTTTCACGTTTTGGATGCCACACTTTCGAATGAGTCACTTTGTAAATCGAAACTGTCCATAAGCAAGGAGTCTAAGTACACAAATCCTGACAGAAATTTGATTGCGAACCTTTTGGAGGCTTCAAACATCTGTAAGTTATTTACTGCTGGTGTAGACAATGTTTTGAGCTAGACCGGCAGAATTTTTTGATTGTTAAAAGATATATAGCCACGGGCGCTTGCTGAAAGCAAGTGCTTATTGCACGCGCTTATTTATGTTCCATAGTACTTGCGATTTCTTTCTTGCCGCAGTTGTTGAAATTTTCATTTGGAGTAGAGGTAATTAAAAAAAGCTGTTTATATGGTTTATAAGCTTGTTATAATGATTAATTACTTACTCAGCCATTAGATTTATCCGTTGTGCTGAGACAGAATAGCCGTATTTTTTGTTTTTTATTTACCAAATTTGCAGGGATGCTCAAATTCATGGTCCACCCACAACCTACAGCGTAGCTCATAATTACTTGCTTAAATATTAGCGTGACGAGACAGACATAACAAACTACTAGAGCGCTAATGAATGATGAATAGACCTGAACAAAATTTTAATACGCTTGTTGAATGTCGGTTTTAATAATATTCAAATGGATACGCTCCGCTTGAAAAGGTGAGAATGATATGCCACTAAGTTCTTATACTTTATTTATCAAACGACAGTGTAGCTCAAAGTGGTGTAACCGTGTAAATATTTTTATTATGTAGAGCTCCAAGGGGCACCCACAACGAGATCAAAACCACTTAAACATAGCATTGTTAAACGTGTTTTACTATTTAAACGGTAGATACGGGCATATTTTTATCCCCTAAAAATTTTTCAGCTGTTCGGATTTCCTAGCTGAAAGTCTAGTGATCCGAAAATTATAGGGATCAAAATTTACCTTTTCGAAAATTTCAGCCAGAAAAAAGGCTCCCAAAAATTCTAGGTGATCTTTTCAGGGGTAAAAATCCGTTAAAAATGGGCAATTATAGCTGTATACCATTTTTTGGATGTTCGAAAATCCTGGGAGAGGCAGGCAAGCAAGAAATTTTACAACAAATGTTCCGAAAATTCTAGATCTCAAATCGTCTTCCGAACAGATATTTTCCGAAAATTGACGTTGGGTGCCCCTGGTGCTCTGAATGGCGGGACTGTTGACTGTATGTGAGTGTGTGTGTGGCAATTACCGTGACCCCCCCCCCCAGCGGCGTCCCCCGGTTTATATAGTAATCATAATATAACTAGTCATCTTAATGTGAGAGAAGAATAGAAAAGAAGAAGCAATGATAAGTAACAAACTACGCAGAAAGAGTATCGAGTTCTCGACAGCATGAACCGAAGCCCCTCTGATGATTTTTAAAATTGTCCAGCGTTGGAGAATCGGGGTGGCTTCAATTCGATAAAGTACTCAGTTCTCATGGTGGAGAAAAACTTCCTCTGAGATCCCACCATGATATTTTTACGACAAGGAATGCAATTAACTGTAAATCGTCGGAAGGGTGATGATAAATGTTAAGCCTGGCCAACATACGAATGCTATTTTAAGTCCACTAAACTGGATTAAAAGTAATTGATATCGTCTTATTAATTATATGTATACCCATTACTAAAAGCGAAATAGTTGCAAGTCTTGTCATAAGCATTCGTTTGAGCCAGATGTATGAAGCCGATGTCAAGCTAAAAGGTTGCTTGATCACATAAGTGCCAAGACTGTAGTAAGTATCTTAGCTGTGCACTGATTAAAACAAAATACTTCGCCCTCTTAAAAATTTCTTGGCCGTCTCTTTGCGGAAGTCATTTTTTTTTTTTTTTTTCTTTTGTCAAGTTATTTTTTCCCTTTTCTTTCTACTTTTTTTTTAATTTCGTAATGGAACTCATAAAAAAAACTACAACAAAAATTGTATATTCACTGATTTTCCAATTCTGTCATTGCTTGGTCTAGCCATACCATCTAAGGGACGGACCATTAGAAAACTTATGGGGGGTGCAGGCGAAGTACAAAAAAAAATATTCGCGCGAGGGAAAATTAAATGAAAAAAAAATTCATGCACGTCAGTTAACCCTAAAAAATATTCATGCTATAGCCTAAAAAAAATTCATTCAAGAAATTTGATAACGAAAAAAATTCCTGCGGCTCGCCCCCGCCCCCATTAACTTTTCTAATGGTCCATCCCTAATACGGCGGACAGAAGGAAGATCACTGCTCCACTCCAGTGGAGATTAGGAATATCTTTCACCATTTCCTGTCGCGATTTCGTCGATAACCTCGTAAGTTGCTGACCTCAACGTGAGTTCTAGCCCCGTTCTAACCTTTTCAGGGCTCTCATTGGTCCAAACGAGCAAAAAAAACAGGAAAGCAAACATTGGGGGAGGGAGAGAGATGAAAAAGAAGAATGGGACCATAGTCTCTCTCCAGTCCTCCATGTCTCTTTTGACGTCATCTCGTAACCATAGCAATCGATTGTCACTATTGGCCAAAATATGTCTTATGAAGTAGCAAACAGTTATCGAAGAGAAAGCGGTCTAAAACAATACTTTTGATAAAGATCGCATTTAATAGACTGGCTTCAGATAATTAAGTGAATGTACCCACCCCTTTGTGCATAAATAACATGGTGATGGGCAATCCTCGTTGCGGATTATTAATTCAGATTTAGATTCCGTGTTAGTTGCAGGTTATCAAAAGTTATACTCAAGTGTATAAATATTTGTGCTCTTTCCTTGGTCTCTGTTGATTGAAAGCTCTTGGCTATTTCTATTTTTCATTTAAATATTGTCAGTGTTGTCATTTCCGATAAAAAACATGACGTTTTTCATTGCTTTTGTTTTGCTTTGCTTTTTAATAACGCTGCCCACCTATTCGAGCTCATAAGTGATACTTTCTCAAGCAAACACCAGGGGAAGCATTCAGAAACTGTGTAAATTTTCAGCCACGAAATTTACACGAAACGTTCAGCACACGCTATCATTTCCTAGCCATTTGCGCTGCCTTGAGAAAAATACGAAAACTTAATATCAACCAATCGGCCGCTTTGAATAAAAAATATCCTCCGGCTTTTGTTTCTCTTGTCAAAATTAATTATGTGACACACAGCACAGTCATCAACCATCACAATATGGATTTAAAAGCGCTCTTATAGATATGATTTTAAATAACTGCCCTTTCGTTATAAATATTTGCCAGATAGGAAGAGATAAGTATGTTGAAAATAAAGGGTATCAAGACGGAACGTGAGCGTGGTGAAAGTAAATATGATAATTAACATACCCTAAAAAGTATAAAGTTTGATGTCAGGTATCATTTTCGTGTTTCTGGAACTGCGACTATATATTCTCTTACATGTATCGATTTTTAAATATGTAATGGTGCTTTTTCCCTGCTCTTTTAGTCAAACCGTCAGGAGAACAAAAGGCGAGAGATCTTCAAGATCAAGAGAGGAGTGTTCTAAGATGGGGAAAAAAGCACGCCGGGATAACTGAAACACCTCGTTGAAATTATCGCTTTGGCGGTGTTTGTGCCATTAATTTGGGCACCATATTTTTCACAATATTTATGATACTAGGGTAATTTGTTTTCGCCAAACGTGACCAACAAAGTTATTATTTCCGCAAACTTGAGGATATAGGGTTTAACGACGTTGTTGTGGGATTAAGGCAACAAGTTGCTCCAATGGCCATGCAAACACTGGCAACACTTATGTGGTTGGTGGCTCTTCTGCATTTCCCCTCACCCACGACGGAAGAAGTCAAACTCGGTCTTTTAATCCCATTCAAGCGCACAGATCGTCTCGGCAACTCTTTCCATCGAGGAAAATTTTACGCTTCTGCAATGAGCATAGCCGTGGATCATATAAATCACAGATCAGACTTGTTACCAGGTGAAAACGTTACGTTCATTTGGAACGACACGGACTGCGAGGAGGAAAAGACTTTGCAGGCAATGGTGTATCAACTGACTCAAGGCGTTTCTGCGTTTATTGGTCCCGGATGTACATGCAACACTTCTGCGAGAATGGCGGCGTCGTTTAATAAGACCATGATTTCGTATGTAAGTAGCTTCCTCCATTATTTTATTTGCCTTTTTTTTAAAGATAGTGTTCAACTGTGATGAATTCAACAGGAGCAGAATAGCAAACAAAAATGCTTAAAATAACCAATCTAATTGTACGAAGCTGAGTACCTTACTCGCACCTCAAAATTCGTAACCAAACGAAAAAGAGAGTGAAGTATGTTATTTTCATTTTTATCTTATTCATAATGGTGTTCTAATTTTGTACTTCTTTTGCTTATGAAAAACAAATTATTTATATTGCACCCTAGTTGCTCTTGAAATAGAAAATGAAGTTGTCGTGCTCGAATTAATTGATGGAAAATGATTGTTTGTTGCCTTTAATTTATTAAAACGATCATTACCAGATTTTTAGTAAAATCAGTAAATAAAATAATACATTCAAAAGGAATCAAATTGAATAATTGATGTGAATTCGTTAAATTTCATGCAGTGAATAAATTCGGGGTCAAGGTAGCGGAGAGTTCAAAAATTATCATAAAGATAATGATCGCAAAAGCTTATTTTTTTTAAGCATTGTATTAAAAAGCAAGTGGAAAAAAAATACCCAAAAGTTTGCCCTTTTTCTTAAACGTGCTAGAAAGGATTTGCTTATTTATAAATTTATACAAGTTGGAGGTTACTTTGCCTTTATTATACTGGTTAACAGCTCAAGTTCATCAATTAATTTCAAAATGGCAGGGTTTTTTTTTGATTTTTCGACTCTGTATACAGTTTCTTTCCCGAGCTGCAAAAACCCTCACTTTCAAAATAAGGCTAAGTGCACAGCCTTTCTTGTAAAAAGGAGTTAACGGAGAACTGTGAATCGGACCAATACGAGAAGGTATAGTTATAAAGTAATCGTTAATATCTTGGTCTTTTCACTGCAATCCGGAATCCACGGCGTGGTACCCAGAATCCAAGACTCTCATGGATTCCTTTACATGCGGCTAAACAGTCCTATAACTTAGGTATTAAATGCCTAAATCAAAGTTCGCCTTTACATAGAACTGGACGAAAAAATGACGCACAGAGAGTCCCTGTATTTTAGCTACGCACGTGTCACGTGACCGTTTTATGACAGCCTACACGGTGAAAAGAAACTACAAATGCCTGGAGAATGATAGTTGTCAACATCTTTCGGTGATTGCTCTCTAAAGGAGCGCGGAACAGTCAAAATGAAGTGCATTTTGTTAGTTGTATAGTTCCGTAACTTGTAAGCTGCTAAATATGAAAGCTTTCACGAGCTGCAAAAACCCTGACTTTCAAAATAAGGCTAAGTGCACAGCCTTTCTTGTAAAAAGGAGTTAATTTGTTTGCGTGGAATGAAAAATCCTTTTCCATATCAAAGGCCGAGCACTTAACCTCGTTTTGATATACAGATTCGGGGGAACCTGGAGACAGTTCAAATTTCACATCCATTTGTTTTTAAGTGTGATAATCTATATATGTTGTAGTTAATTTATTATCTCAGTTAATTTTTATACATAGAGGATATTACACGGGGGCGCGAAGATATGAATTTTATTTTCGAGTGGCAAAACAATATTGTTTTTGCCACGAGAAAATAAAATTCTTATCTTCAAGCCGCCGTGTAATGTTCTTTTTATTAAATAGACAAAAAGACATCCATAAAATAATAGAGGGACCGAAATTACGTCCCCGATAAACTCACGTGTGAGATTATGGAAAATAAACCACTCGGGTCCCGGCTGTAATTTTTATGAATTTTACGAGTGGCATATTTTCCAGTAAAACACTCATGTCTATATAATAAATAAATTTATTGCTTGTTTCTAAATTGTTGTGAAAAGTGTGCAAAAAAGAAAGTCCTCAAGGTTCCAATAGTTTCACAAAACGCAAGAAAAAAAACCGACATTTATGATGGGAATTTTGGCCGACATGGGCACGGCAAAAGGGCGCTTTAAATCAAACCAATATTTTAACTAGCAACGATAATCTTTTTCAGGGCCAAAGAAGCATTATATAATGGCTTTTAAAACTGAATATATTGTCCGATAGAAGCCATCTATTCGGTTATCTATCTATTCGCCCCACGTCTGGTAATGTCCAAGAGGTTTGTTTTTGTAGAACTGATCCGGAATCCTGCATGGGCTTGGAATCTGGAATTCAACTCTAGGAACCAAGAATTCCGCTTTACGATTGAATCGGGAATCCAAATTCCCCTGACAAGTAAAGCGAAATCCAGTACCTGGAATCTGGAGTCCTTATTTGGAATCCAGAATTTAAGAGTATCCGTGGATAATTATCTTACAAGGGACGAAACTATCCAGTTTTCTCTAAAACTGACCTCTTTCCTTTGTTTTTCAATAGATGTGTAGTAATCCAGAGGTATCATACAAAAAGCTGTATCCCACCTTTATTCGTACATTTGCCATTGACACGAAACTTACACCAAGTCTGCTATCACTTCTTAATTATTTCAACTGGAAAAGAGTGGCAATCATTTACGAAAACGTGACGAAATGGATAGAAATGAAGACCAACTTGGTGAAGGGATTAAAAGCGAATGGAATTACCGTAGCTCAAGAACTGTTAACACATCATTCAGAGCTTTACAGGCCACAGAATGACAGTGATTATTACAGAGGGATCTTGAGAAAAATCAAGCAGGAAGCTCGGAGTATGTATTCCTAGTTTCCCCTTGAGTAACATAGGACCAGAGTTACTGAGAGAGGTTACTCCCCCATATGACACGAAATGGTCCCTTAAGTTATTTTTAGCAATATAAAATGGCAAGAAATTTAGATTAATTTTTTTTACTTTCAATTATCTTCAAAACCTTAACAAATTTGTCGTTTGCGGATTTGTTGGATCCTAAGACATTTTTCCCAATAATCACTTTAAATTTATTATTATCTTTTATTATTATCTTTTTTAGTTGTGGTCTATGTGACTGACTTTCACATTGCTCGGGAAGGAATGCTCCACGCATACGACGAAAACATGACAAATGGAGACTACGTGTTTATAATTTTTGAACTTGATCAATTGCAAGTGGCAATCAAGACTGACCTTCCATTTAAGTGGTTTTTTAGCAGCCACACAAGTACACTTATTCGCCTTCATCACGTGAAACAAGCTTTCGAGGCTGCTTTCGTCTTGGCTGTCAAAAGCCCTTCATCGAAAAGTTACGTGAACTTTACGGAGGAGTTGAAGATTCGGTCCACAGATGAGCCCTTCAACAGCACAGCTTACACGGGGTATTTATTTCAGCGAAAAAAAGACGAATTCTTGGCAAACAAAACTAAGGTAGGAAGTGGACCTTTGAAGCACTATGGGCAAGTTGTTTGTGTTGTTGGGAATAATTACACCAGGCTTAGCTTTAATTGGTAACCTCCATTTCTAACTTACTCAACTAAGTACTCCGAAAATTCCTCATTTACAAACCCCTAACTGCTAGGAGATGAAAGACGCAAACACTCTACAAGACAAGAGCATGCTCAAGATCTTAAATTCCCATTTCTGGTGTACTTATCATGCAAAGTCTGTGAAACATGGATCCTGAAAAACTTTGGACTTTTGTCATTCCTTGGGTCCTGTAGGTAAAACCTTTCTTACCGAAGTCATTTGCATCTCAGCTAGACTTGTTTGAATATCAAATGAAAAACTCCTTATTTTGTCTTAATTTATTTTCCCTTAATTTCTCCTTTTGAAATCATTTTGTTTGAGAATTCATACCAAACAATCGACACAATATCTCATTACCTCGAAGTTCGTTAAAAATTCTCCGCTGCACTTCGTATTTTCAACTCTCTTCTCAGTGTTTGTAATTGCGATGAAACACTGCACCTCGTGTTTAAACTTTAAAGCGCTGAAGTAGTATGTTACGTATGTCTCTTTTTCTGTAGCCACCGATTTATGGAGCATATCTTTACGATGCTGTGTATCAGTATGCTATTGCACTAAACAAAACGTTGGAGAAGAATCAACCCGCCACAGGTGAAATCATCGCAAAAAAGATGCAAAACGTACAATACGACAGTAAGTAAGCAAGCGGTGTATGACATTTGCAGACTGCAGACTGCAGACTGCATGAGGCAGCAAGACTGTAAATTGAATGAAACCAAAAATATCGTAATAAGGGTGGCGTCATCATTAACATTACCTTGTTCCGAGAAATACACGTAGGGCCTAGAAGCGAAGTTTTTTCACGCAAATTACACCGACCTGATTCCTGAAGGAGTTGTTGGCTGTTCGTCTCGTATTGAATTAGAGCAGAATAATGTCTACCGATGTCACAAACTCGCTCATGAATCCATAGCAACAGGCTAGCAATTTAGCCTGCACCACAGACGAAACTAAACTCTGGTTATATAAGTCTGTCTGTGAAACAGCGCCGGAATCCTTATTCTACGGGGGCCCCAACTGTGTACTAGGATTTGAGCATGAGCAATGATTGGCCTGTTAAAAAAGCCATTGTCGATTTGCCTATTTAGAAATTCAAAATGCACTTCCGGTAATTCGTCGAGTCCAGGTAGGATCTGTTTGGTTTAGATTATTTGGCATATCCTTAAATACTGCTAAGATGAAATACGTCATTTAAAATGCGTTAAATGTCCGTGATCTATCCTAGTTGTTTTTGTAGACGTAACTGTAGTGAGCACGAAGTGTTCGCAATCTAAACACTTTTTTTTACAGAAGATTACTATTTAGACAAGCATTAATGGGCATTGCTACTTGTCATCATCAATTCACAATAATCAAAGAAGAATAAAGAATCAACGCAATTACTGATATGACGGGTGAGTCAATAAAGAGTCGCGTAGTTGAAGAATAGCCAACAGCATCTTGGAAATGAGGCCAATGTAACTTTGCGCAAAAACATCAACCTTGTTCCCAGGCTACTTTCTCACTTTCACACGGTGTTGTATTTTTGATGGTGTCACCTTTATTAGGAAGATTTTTGGTGTCCTTTAATTTACAATCTGAAATCTGTGGTCTGTAGTCTGCGGTCTACAGTCTGCAGTCTGCAAATGTTATACACCGGTAAGCAAGCCATAAGCATCTTCCAGCTCGTTCTGAATTTCCCTTTTGCATGTTGAAGTCAGACGAGCACACCTCACCATCAAGCCTCGTTTTGAAATTGGAAAGTTGGAAAGTTTTTGCATGAATAAATTTCCATTGTAGTAGAGTTGAAAAGAGTTTTTTCGAAGTTTGAAATACATGTTAATTCAGTTGCATTCGGTTTCAGGCATACTTGGTTACAAAATTAACTTTGACACTAATGGTGATGCAGAGTTTAACCTGACGTTGCTGGATATGCAGCTGACAGGTAAGCGGATGTTGATTCTGGTTTTTTCCGGGGCGACAGGAAGGGTATTCCCGGGACTAGGGATCTGCCCAAAAAACAGCAATGGATTCGGGAAACGTTAACGGAATACGAGATTTGACTGATTTGACTTTTACCGGAGAAGTGGCATCGATTGCAAACAAGGTTTGTGATTGGCTGGGAAAACAATAGGGATGGTGACAACAATGCCCCTTTCTCCGAAAACAATAGGTAGTGCAGGTTATATGGACGAATGAAATTAGAGCTTCAGAAGCGTGCTGGTCAAGGAGATTTTCGACACTGGTGCGGGATCCGGAAGAAAACGATATTCGTGATAGCGAAGAGAGAAGTTCGGGATGCGGGATTCTCGTGAAAAAAGAGCGGGAATACGGGATCAGCACCCCCTTCCCCACCTCCGTTTCAGACCCTAGAATATACCTGTCAGGGTTTATTAATTATGCTTTCTTATTTTTCCCAGAAAAAAGTGCAAAACATGAGATGATTCCAGTAGGTGATTTCCAAATCAAGTACGACAATAAAACCAAGAAAGGGGAACAAATTTTTGTTCGGCGACCAGGCATTGCCATTAAATGGCCCGGTGGACGAACCGGTCCCCCACGGGACTCCCCTGAATGTGGTTTTCACGGGGAACTTTGTATCGGACCAACACGAGAAGGTATAGTTATAAAGCAATCGTTAATATCTTGGTCTTTTCACTGCAATCCGGAATCCACGGCGTGGGACCCAGAATCCCAGACTCTCATGGATTCCTTTGCTTGCGGCTAAACGGTCCTATAACTTAGGTATTAAATACCTGGATCAAACCTCGTCTTTACATAGAACTGGACGAAAAAATGGCGCACGGAGAGTCCCTGTATTTTAGTCACGCACGTGTCACGTGACCGTTTTATGACAGCCTACACGGTGAAAAGAAACTACAAATGCCTGGAGAATGATAGTTGCTAACATCTAGCTTTCGGTGATTGCTCTCTAAAGGAGTGCGGAACAGTCAAAATTAAGTGCATTTTGTTAGTTGTATAGTTGCGGAACTTGTAAGCTGCTAAATATGAAAGCTTTTCTGTCAGCGTTTTTCTATAGAGAACATTAGGTTTCTTTTTTACCTTTTTAATTAGATGTGAAAACTAAAATCATCGCTGGAGTATCTGGTTCACTGGCCATCCTAGCTCTGTTGCTGTTATTAAATATTTACAGGTAAGTATACACAAATGATCCCCCCCCCTCCCCACTCCCCCGAACAACGAGAATTTTAATAAACGATTTTAACAATAGCAGCCACAATCAAAATGGTTGTGAAATCTCTAACTGAAGTGAAAATTTTTGACGCAATAACTTTTTTTCTTGATGGTGGATCGTTCCGTTCTCAGTTTTAAAAAATGTCACCAATTTATCATTTCATTGTCATTATTATTATCATTATCATCGTTATCGTTATCATTATCAATATAATTATCATTATCATCTTTATTCATCATAAATATCATCATTATCGCTATCATTGTTATCATCATCATCATTATCATTATCAATATAATTATCATTATCATCATCATAATTATTATCGTTTTCATTGTTACTATCATTAGTATCATCGTCATCATCATTATCATACAAACGTTAACCACAAAGGACTGCAATCATTATCATCATTATTATCATTATCATCATCATCAACATCATCATTATTATCATCATTATTTTCACTATTATGGTTATCATTATCATTATCATTATCATCACCATCGTCATCATTATTATCACTTTATCGTTATCATTATCATTATCATCATTATTATCATTATCATCATCATTATCATCATTATCACCATTATTATCATTATCATCATCATCATCATCATTATCATCATCATCATCATCATTATCATTATCATCATCATCATTATCATCATCATCATCATCATTATCATCATCATCATCATTATCATCATCATTATTATTATCATCATTATCATCATCATTATCATCATTATTATCATTATCATCATCATCATTATGATTAAGATAAAACGACTAGGTTTATCTGGGTATAATTGACACTTAAGTGACGCACTTCCGTTTGATTGTGTAACATTCACTAACCCGCCGCGCCACGGGTCAATCAGTCTCGGTTCGCCTCGCGCTCTACGCCAGCTCGATCTAGTTCTTGATTCATGGACGAGGAAACACAAGCGTGGTGCGAGGCCAATGGCTTTACCGGCCACACCGTCAAAGCACTTATTACTGAAGAATTCGTCTCTATGCAAGCTATAAGGGCCATGACGGCCGATGTTATTGCGAGTTTCTCTTTATCCTCTGCACAACGCTGTCTACTGAGGAAAGCTGTTCTAAAGTCTCAGTCACCTCCGCCTCTGCCTCCACCTGTACCAACGTCCACAACTAAGGATGCAGACCAAATGGCCAATGATCTCGACGTACTAGAATCGTCTATCTTGGCCCTAGCCCAACAAAAGGACGCCCCTACCGAATCGACCAAGACTGGGGAAGGTAAGCCCTCAAAATCAATACCACGTGCCCACGAGGCTATCTACATAAAACCGCGTAGCGGCAAGTCAGATTCCAAGGTCAACCCTCTTGATTTGACCTACTCGGAGTTTACTGCTGGTTACTTTTCGATCCTGGATGGTTTGTTACAAGGTGGTGAACACGCCCAGGCTCAGCAGCTCTGCCGTTACTTGAAATTCCTGTCCAAAAAGGCCATCGCGTTTTCTACCACGGCTATTCTCCAATTTGACGACGAGTTTCGTGGCATGGTTGCGCGTGGAGAGGCCGCTTACGACGATCATACCTCTCTCAACGATCTGCAAGCCCACCACTTCGACTCCTCGGCAGTAAAAGCACCTCACGTTCGGCCGCGAGATCGCAGTCGCATTCGCTCAAGTAATTCTCAAGCTGGCAGCTCCAAGTCTTTCGGAAAACACTGTTACAAATGGAACGAAGATTCTAATAACTGTGGCGGATGCAATTACACCCACGCGTGTCTGGTGTGTGATTCCACGCAACATGGCGCTGTGTTTCATCGCTCTCAACCTCCTTCTGGGAAAAAATCTTCCTCTAATTGACCAGCTAATTCACCTATGGCAGCGGCCTACTCATCCTCATCAGCCTATTTTTCTGCATCGTACTCTCCAGATCCAGATCTGCTCAACATCTGCTCGCTTACGAGACATTTTGATACTTGGTGTCGCGAACTGGACTCTGACCCGGATAAAGCCTTTATTCTTTCGGGCATCGCGCATGGCTTTCATCTTGTCAACGATCTTTCTATTGTTTCGCCAGCGGATTGTCACAATTATCGGAGCGCCGAAAATCCTGCCGTAAAACCTGCCCTCGATAAACTCTTTCAGGACGAACTCTGTTTCCAGCGCATCGAGGAAGTTTTCAACAAACCACTTCGTGTTAACGCTATCGGGAGTGTTACAAAGAAGGACACTGGCGAGCCTCGACCTATCACCGACATGAGCCGCCCTCTTAATAACTCTGTCAATGACTATATATCCTGTGAATCTTATCGCTACAAATCTATTGATGATGCCATTGCTCTCATGCGCCCAGACTGCTTCTTCGCCACAGTCGACATTAAATCTGCCTATCGATGGGTTCCCGTTTATCCCCCTCATCGCACACTTCAAGGATTCCGCTGGGCTTTTAATGGTTCTTACAAATACTTTACAGACAATTTTCTTTGTTTTGGTCTCAAAAATGCACCAAGTATTTTTCACCGGATTTCCTGTGCGCTCACGCGTATGATGGCTCGAAACGGCTTCAGTAACATTGTTAATTATTTGGACGATTTTCTCATTGTTGCTTCTTCACGCGAAGAGTGCCTTCGTGCACAACTAACCCTTATTCATCTTCTCCACTCCCTCGGTTTTCAAGTCAATTGGTCTAAACTCTCTGGCCCCTCACAAAGTGTCAAATTCCTCGGAATTATTCTCGATTCAATTGCTATGCAGGCCTTTGTCCCCGAGGACAAGATTTCAGCCTTAGAAGATCAACTCACTTTCCTCATTTCTCACCGCAAAGCTTCCAAGCGGGACTTACAGCGAGTCGCCGGGCTCATGAACTTTCTAGCTAAAGTCGTTAAAGGGGGGCGCACCTTCTTGCGTCGCGTTCTTGACTTTATTATTCGCTTGAAACGCCCCTTTTATAAAGCTCGTATTACTTCAGACCTCCGAAAGGACTTCTGTTGGTGGCTAAACTTTTGTCGTGTGTTTAACGGCAAGGCTATTAACATTTACTACTCGCCTATTGTTGAACATGCTTACACCGATGCGTCCCTTTCGGGTTTTGGTGCTCACTGGCGATCTCATTGGCTTGCTGGCGTCTGGTCCTCCGACAACTCGGTGCTCCCGAGTCTTCGCATGTCCGGAAATTGGGTTCACACGACTGGTCACGAAATTCCGTTCCCCATCAAAACGAACATAAACTACCTTGAACTGTACGCGGCGTTACAAGCAATCCGTAGGTGGTCTCCGCATTGGGCGAACTGTCACGTTTGTTTACACACAGATAATACACAGGCCATGGCTTTCCTGAATAAGGGTTCGTGCAAAAACCCTACTGCTATGGACTGGTTACGTGAAATATTCTGGTTATCAGCCATCTACAACTTTCGCCTGACTTCTCGCCATATTACTGGCCTCGCAAACGTCTTTGCCGACCGCTTATCTCGTGTTACAGAAATCTATACCCCCTGAATACCGCCTTTGCTATATGTGGTCTAATTGGGCCCCCTTCTCCTTCTCTCCTAGATGTTGGCGATTCTCTCGACGACGCCGTTGCCTTGGCTATTTCCAACGCTTATGCCTCCTCCACTCTTGCCACTCGCAAGTCTCAAGCCCTGAAATACCTCCGATTTTGCCGCCTGCTTCAGACGTCCCCATTCCCTATTTCAGTTAGGAACCTTTGTCGCTACTGTGTGTACCTGAGCCGCACACTAAAGTATTCGTCCATCGCTAACTATTTGGATGGTCTCCGCTGGCTCCACGTCATGTTCGACTACCCACCTCCTCCTATCTCCCATTGTCGCGTGCAACTTACGTTACGAGGCCTGAAACGTCTTCTCTCCGCGTCGGTTAAACGCAAGCTCCCGATCACACCGACTATTCTCTTGGCTCTTCGTGATGTCATGGACCTCTCCCTGCCACTTCACCTCGCTCTCTGGGCGGCTTTCTTTCTTGGTTTCTTCAGCTTCTTTCGCAAGTCAAATATCATCCCTCCAAGTCACGCGCAGTTTTCACCGAACAAGCACCTTTCACGCTCCGACTTTTACTTCACTTCGTGGGGCCTTATCGTTTCTGTCAAATGGTCTAAAGTCAACCAATTTCGCGAGCGGACGCTCCTCATTCCCTTAGTTTCCATACCGTCTCATGCCTTATGTCCAGTTCAGGCTCTCCGCAAGTTCTTCGACACGTGTCCAGCTCCGACCTCCAGTCCTGCTTTTGTTATCCCCACAGCGCATGGTCTTCGCTCCCTCTCTTACAACTCGTTCACCAAACACCTAAAAGCTCTCCTTGGCCTTGCAGGTTTCACCCCCGACGATTATTCCGGACATTCATTTCGCCGTGGCGGAGCCACCTATGCAAGCTCCCTAGGTATCTCCCACGAATTAATTCAACTTCAAGGCGACTGGGCCTCCACTGCTTACCTCGAGTACCTTGCGAGACCACTCCGACAGCGCTACTCCTTGGCCGCGCAAGTTGCTACTCAAATTGCCTCCTCTCCGTCCTTCCCCGATCCTGACGGCCTTCCTTTATAACGAAACTCATACCAAACACTGTGTTTGAACTGTGTTGGCGTGATCCTCTTTTGGCGGGTTTCGAAATTAATCATCACCTGTCAATAAATAAACTGCCAGACTGTCACGCCAACACTGCTTGATGTTTGATTTGTCTATTATGATTAAGATAAAACGACTAGGTTTATCTGGGTATAATTGACACTTAAGTGACGCACTTCCGTTTGATTGTGTAACATTCACTAACCCGCCGCGCCACGGGTCAATCAGTCTCGGTTCGCCTCGCGCTCTACGCCAGCTCGATCTAGTTCTTGATTCCCTTCCCACCCACCCATTTATTTTCTTTCTTATTTTTGTTTTTATTGTATATTGCATCATTGTAGTTTGTCACCTTCGGCAGAGGTTTGTGATTATATTTGTGATTGCATGCGGGTTTCGAAATTAATCATCACCTGTCAATAAATAAACTGCCAGACTGTCACGCCAACACTGCTTGATGTTTGATTTGTCTATTATCATCATTATTATCATTATCATCATCATTATCATCATCATTATTATCACCATTATCGTTATCATTATCATTATCATCATCGTTATCATCATCATTATCATCATCATCATCATTATTATCACCATTATCGTTATCATTATCATTATCATCATCGTTGTCATTATCGTTATTACTTTACAGGCAATACAGATTGGAGCGAGAACTCAAACGTCTCTTGTGGAAGATTGACTACAACGATCTATGTTTTGAGAAGAAAACAACCTCTGTCTCTTCTTTGGGAAGCAACTCGGTAAGAGGGTTAGCCTGCCAAAACATCCGTTTCTCCTCGCTCTTCGCCGATGGGGACGTTTCGCGCGGAGGAACGTCTGCGACTCAGCGGCAGAAATTCCATACTGATGACGCAATCCAGTGTTTACATAATAAGTGGTTCCAAATACAAATTTGTCCAATTTTACGTGTCTTCTGGTCGATTTTGGTAAAGTGTTGTGTTCATCTGCCAACAAGCTACAGCAAAACTCAAATGCTTCTTCTAGAGAAGACTATATTCCACAAATATTGACTGTTTTGTTAGAGATTCTTCGCGTTTACATTTGACCTTTGTGGCCTTTTGTCTCTTGTCTGTCATTCGTAAACAATAGCTAGAACAATGTAATTACTCCGTCGACCAATCAGCGCTTCTGACCGGATTCTGGACAGATTTTACGTCATCAGTATGGAATTTCTGTCGCTGAGTCGCAGACGTTCCTCCGCGCGAAACGTCCCCATCGGCGAAGAGCGAGGAGAAACGGATGTTTTCACAGGCTAGTAAGAGGGTCGGCAATAGGCCATGCGTCATCAGGAGAGTTCTTTTAAGTTTTAAGGCACATTTATGTTATTACGTTTTTATTACTTTTCCCAAAGCAAAAAGAAACTGAACCCGAATTACACGCACCTCTTGTTAATGATGAGGAAGATGATCTTTTCAAGTACACAGCCATTGCTGTTTACAAGGTAATTTGTTCTGCTAAATTATAACCCTTTAATTTGTATCTATAAAAGCAATCTTAGCTTTTCGCCACTTTAGCAACGAGAAAGGAACTGGGACAGTTACAAGGGACAGGAAAATAAATGGCCAATACGCCACTTCCATATTTCCCATAATGCACCTTATTCCCCCCCCCCCCCAAAAAAAAAATTGCATAAGCATTGTTTTCAATTTCTCCTTGGGACGGCTGTAATAACCAAGAGAAATGAAAAACATACGTTATGCAAAATTTGGGGCAGGGGGCGGGGGGCAGATAAGGTGCATTATGGGAAATGTAGAAGTGGCGTATAGCTGACCGGCGCGTTCCTGGTAGCGATTCCGGAAACAACTGCGGTACACATTTCGCCACCAGTCCTCTCCTCGTTTCTTAAGTGGCGAATAACCTGGGCTACAATAGGCTAGAACATAATGAACAAGAATATTCTGCTCCTAGTTTGTCTGGCATAGAGTGGAGGTTTCTGGATAGTACTCTAAAAAAGAGTTACAAAATTACAATCGAACATCATCTGGTAGCATTAAAACTTATCTGGAGACGTTTATAATTAAAACATTCCAGTACAAGCATAAAAACATAACGAGTCTTTATTTCAGGGTAACCTGGTGGCAGTTAAGCGTTTGGCAAAGAAGAGCGTGGATCTCACAAGAACAGTGCTAATGGAACTCAAACAGGTACTCCGTGATTAATCTGGAAGAAATCAGAATGGCCGCCCTATAAGCACTTGTCTGCCTTCTTAGTCGGTGTGATGATCATTTTATTTCAAACTCTCTTCTCATTTATCTCATTTTAATTATAAACTATGGTTATCAAAATTAGTGGGATTCTAGTCTGCTACACAGCCGGCAGCAGGACTAGTGGGATTCCGGACTCCTTGAGCTGTATTCCGGATTGCAGGAGAAAAACCTTCCCGGATTCCAGATTCCACAAGCAACAATTTCCCGGATTTCGGAATTTGGATTCCCTTACATGGGGCGACATAATAGGCATTACAAAGTGTCCCTTGCCCAAACCCTCAACAAAATGCAAGCAATTCTGTCAAACATGACGTTATATCGAAAATAGAAATAATTTTGTCCGATATTGAAGTATCCAAGGTTCGAGTTGTGCATTTCTGGACGTAGGTGGGATCATTTATTTCAATTTTTTCTTTTCAGATGAGAGATATAAGGCATGATAACCTGAACCCTTTCATTGGTGCTTGTGTGGAGTCTCCAAATATTTGCGTTATTTCGCAGTATTGCTCCAAAGGCAGTCTTCAGGTAAGCGTGTGACAAAGTAGGCCTACGAAATACAAAATTGTGTTAACGAAAAACGCGTTTCGATCTTGTGTAACAGCTTAGCTTTTTTGCAGGATGTTTTGGAGAACGATGCCGTGAAGTTGGACCACCTTTTTACGGCTTCTCTTGTGTCGGATATTATTAAAGTAAGTCAAACATATTTGCAGTACATAACTGTTACCACCACCTCTACCACAGTATATTAGCTTCACGTGTCAATTAAGCAGCTATCCTTGGAGAAAAGCAAACTGACCACCGACTACTTGTTGACCGTTTAACTAACGCAGGTCAAAAGAGAAGTAGGCAATGGAAATCATTGTTTATGATAATTATCCTTACTTATAATAAGGTTTAGATTGATCTTTTTGTATCCATCATGGTTTGCTCATTCCTAGGGTATGGCTTATCTTCAGAGCACGGACATTAAGTCACACGGAGATCTCAAATCGTCCAACTGCCTCGTGGACAGCCACTGGATGCTTAAAATTGCCGACTACGGGCTCAATACTTTTAAGGAGAAGCAAGCGAAAACCTATCCTTCAGAGCATTCCTATTACAGAGGCAAGAATGAAGACAATTAATTGATGAGTACTTGAACGTTCAAGCTGATTTTCCAATAACTCTTGTAAACTGTATAACCACCTTTAATCGGGCTGGTCAATCACCCCAAATCAATAGGTAGAGCGCATCAAAGCGGTGCCGTGCAGGCTAATGGCCACCACAATTTAAAGGAACTGTGTCACAAAATTCATCAAAACTCAAACAGTAGAAACTGTTACCAAACTTGTCAGAACACTGACAAGATCATGAAGTGTTCCTTGACCATTTTTAGGCCCTTTCGTTAGAGGAACAGGTGGACTTTCCACCCATTCATCCACCACTTTGTTAAATTCCTTGTGTTTTTATTTCAGATCTTCTATGGGTGGCACCAGAAATTCTTCGTCTACCCCATCGCCCCACCAGGGGGACGCAGAAAGGAGACGTTTACAGCTTTGGTATCATCCTGCAAGAGTTTCACACCAGGGAGGGGCCATACAGCTCAAGCTATTTGGACCCGCAGGGTAATAAAAATTTGCTTTAAAAAAATGTTCATTCTGGCATATTTACACATAATACAATAACAGACTAAACAGCTAAAAACCAAAACGTTCCAAGAAAATTATTAACAAAAGAAAGCGATAAATGTACAGTGACTTCATCTGTTTGTATATAATGGTTCGCTTTTAAAAGGCGGTTTGGGAGGGGTCACGAAGATTTTATGGCTGTTGCCCTTGGTTGTTTGGCAGTTGCCAGTGGCGAAACCAGGGGGAAGACCTGGGGTACGAGGACTTCAGGGGCTCCAAAGTAACCTTTGTCTCACTTTGAGTTCTTTAGAAATCGTAGACAAAGTACAATCTGGTGAGATTCCTCCATTTCGCCCTACCGTATCAGAACTGATTACTAAAGTTGAGGAGCTGCGTGAATTGATGAAACAATGTTGGGTGGAAAATCCAGAATTACGCCCAGACTTCCAGGAGATCAGGAAAATAGTGAACAAGATGTTAACCAACAAAGGAATGTGAGTAATTTCTATGAGAAATGTAGTTCTGCAGCGTGTTAGGGGGTACAACACTTAAACGCTTATATAGGTTATACGTTTGAAGACAACCCGCCACTTTAGAAACTGGAGCCGAAATGCCAACCGAAATTGTTCCTGGGATCAGATTGGCCAATTTTTTTCCCTCTCCCTAGAAGCAGTCCCAGAAGTCTTTGCGAACGTTAACTCGGCCCAGTTTCCTCCTCGTTTCTAAAATGGCGAATCCAAGATGGCGGTTCCAAGATGACAGTTTCAAGATGGCTCTCTTTTGAACTTATCACCTACAAGTAAATAACACTTCATATAACGTAATCGCGTCACTTGGACAAACTTAGGCTATTTTGGCATAGTTAAGCCTTTACGAATGCCATAATCGTAATCATATCCTCATCCCAGTCTCGTTATTAAAAATATGACCATCTCCCTCAATCTCTCTCAAGAGAGATGTAACCATTGATAACATTTCGTTTATATTTGCTTTACAGGAAGACAAACATTTTTGAGAATGTAGTTTATATGATGGAAACGTATGCGAATAACTTGGAGGAGCTCGTGAACGAAAGAACTGGCCAGCTGATCGATGAGAAGAAAAAGACCGACAGTCTTTTAGAAAGAATGCTACCGAGGTAACTTTTCGTACCATAAATGCTTCATTCAAAATTAATCCTCTTAACCCTAATAACAAAGTTCAAATTCTCATTTGGCGCAACTATTTGGTGAAAAATATCGAGAATGAAAAAATTTCAGTTAGGTAAAAGCTAGACTTTAATCCTTTTTTGCCGCCAAAAAGCCCGCGCTTTTCGCTACTAGTGGGCTATAACATATAGCCTAGTAGTAGCTCGACCAATCAGAACGCAGCATTGATAATAGACCACTAGTTGGATTTTACTTATAATTGATATACTTATCAGTAATTGAACTAATGTAGTTACACGTAAAAACTTGTTCCATCAGACCGGTAGCGGAACAGCTTAAGAGAGGAAAAGCTGTAGAGGCAGAAGCGTTCCGTGAAGTGTCAATTTACTTCAGTGATATTGTAGGATTCACAGAACTATCGGCAGAAAGCACTCCGCTACAAGTAGGTATTTTAAATATATTCAGACCCTTTTAATTGTGGTCGCACTACTCCCCTCTCCGTCTTTCTTTTTGCCCTCATCACCATTTAACATCATAATTGTCACCATCAACATCATCATCATCATCAACATCATCATCACCATCATCAACATCACCATCATCATCACCATCATCATCAACATCATCATCATCATCATCATCATCATCATCATCATCACCATCATCATCACCATCATCATCACCATCATCATCAACATCATCATCATCATCATCAGCATCATCAGCATCATCATCATCATCATCATCAACAACAACAACAACAACATCATCAACAACATCATCGTCATCATTGTCAACATCGCCATCATCACCTTAACTGCGTCATAAATATCATAATCACCAACATCATCATCACCATCTTCATCATCATTACTGCCTTTACGTACATCACGGTCATTTTACTCTATCACTTTATCATCCTGGCTGTTCTAGTTCAGTTTTCAGAAACACTGATCTAATGCCAAAAACACTATCAAAAACAAGACCCAAGAAGTGACTTCACGGGGATATAAAGACAGTTACTAAAAGCCCCTACAACCCTTTTCCCATTTTCATCGATGATAGGTTAATTTTTCAAACTATTTCCTCAGGTTGTTACTCTACTGAATGATTTATACACATTATTCGATGATATTATAAGTGAATATGACGTATACAAGGTACGTAAATTGCAACATTACTATGAATTATAAATATCGCATTATCCAGTTCCGGCTTAGGGCTTTTCAAAATAATATATAACAATAGTTGGGGAAAGTTTGCTGGAACGCTTGTGGCGCAGTTTACAATAAATTAAGTAACAAATGATGAATGCATCCCAGTGAGGAAGCGAATTTATGTTAGACAACCACCCAAAATGTCCAACAATCTACTTAGTAAGTAACTAAGACAAGTTGTTACAGCTTGACCACAGTTACCACCCTCAATGTATATCAGACAATGTAAAAGCCCATTTCTCCCCTTTTGTCATCATTAAAAGGGATTTTAGAAACAAAAGACTGGGAATTCATATCCAATTATATATATACTGCAGTTCTAGTTTTTAAAGTACTCAGTTCAGTCAACTGTGAATGTCGAAAATCGCTGCAAAAAACGATTTTACTCCAGGGCGCAGTGTATAATAGAGATGTAAATGTGAGTCTTCAAACTACAATTTTATGCTGGTAACCCTGATCTCCTAATCGCTATAAAAGTAAGGCCCGGTTCAGACGCCGCTCCACTCATGTGCCGAACCTTACTGATGAATTAAGTACGGCAAAAGAGCAGCGTCTGAATCAATTTGGTACGGCAATTTTAGTTTGGTGCGGCAAAAGCGTTAAGTTCGACAGAGTCTGTCGAACTTTTGTCGAACTGAACTTAGGTTCGACACACGGTACGTCGTCTGAATCAGATGTCGCGCCAGTGTCGCTCCAAAGTCGAACTTATTCAGTTAGGTTCGGCGCATGAAAAGTACGGCGTCTGAACCAGGCCTAAGTCGCTCGTTCAACCTCCAATGTCCCATGTTCGATATATCAAAATTCTAACATGATTCCGAGGTTTAAGGCACAATATTGCAGATCTTTCACCATTCCATTGCCCCGCAATTCCCAGAAGAGACTTAAGCACAAAGAAAACCATGCCAAAGGTAGAAATATGACCAGAAAACCTCGGAGTCATGTTAGAATTTTAATATACCGAACGCGGGCTATTTTGTGCCCTTATTTGCTTGAACTCTATCTACTGCGCTCCTTCTAACCGTCAGGTGGAGACAATTGGTGACGCATACATGGTGGTATCAGGATTGCCAATCAGAAATGGACACAAACACGCAGGGGAAATAGCGCGCATGGCGCTGCACTTAGTCGAGGCTGTGAAGAAAGACTTTACAGTGCGACACAAAAGTGACTACAAACTCAAGTTACGGGTCGGAATTCACAGTGGTAATAAAAAAAGCTCTCACATTTTGATAGGCCAGTTAAGCCATTTGAATTTCAATTCTTTATAACGGACTCAAGATTGAAATTACGCCTCAGTTGAGGAAACGTAAAACGTAAACTTAAACTGCCAAACGAAAAAAACAAAAAGACCAAAGCGTTCATCCAAGTATCAGCGTTTAAATATCCTGTTGAGACACCCCCACTAGTGTTTTTCGATGTATTTCTAAAGACTCTCAGATATTTTTTTTATGAGACAACAATTGAGACCATTTATCCATCTACTCATTAATTCCTCAATTGCAAATTGGTGAAATCAAAAAACATGTGCAAACATATTACTCTTGCTCTCGAGTTGATTTTGTCACTCCAAATTGCATAAATTTAGTCGGATTCTAGTTTTTTTTTCTGTCAACTGATAATGATGCCATGGTAGCCTGCGTCGCAAGCGTTTCCGTGTGGTTACGAAGAACGAGAGTAAAAGACCGCACGAAAAATGGGGTGAGTTCAAGTCGTTTCTCGGTCCCTCTTTGCTCCGAAACCACACGGAAACCCTTGCTACGCAGGCTAATATGCTATGGCGGCGACATCGAAACTTTGTGTTTGACGTTTTTTTCATATAATATTTATCCTTAAGTTAGAAGAGTACTCAGTCAAATATCAGCTTTTTGTTATCCATTACAGGCCCTGTCGTGGCTGGGGTTGTTGGTATAACAATGCCTCGTTACTGTTTATTTGGGGATACAGTGAACACAGCTTCTAGAATGGAATCCAACGGGGAAGGTAAGAGTACAAATTAGACTTGCCTACAAGTCGAGCTCAAATTTTTTCACGAGCGCGAAGCGAGAGCATTAGATTTTTTATGTTTTCTGCGGCAAAAGCGAGCGAGCGAGAGAGTGCTGGGGCCAACTACCGGAACCGGAAATGAGAAGCGAAGGACTTTGAGAAAGTCTAAGTAGAAATAAAAAGTATGTTCTTTTCGCCTACTCGCGTCTGTTTGCATTCTTACCCTACCTTACGATCGTCAAATCATCGGGTTCGTCTTCGACTTTACGTCCCTCGCTGTCTTCATTTTCTTTTCTTCGTACCATAATCGTAGCATTTTTTCTCTCTTTTCACTCCTTTCCTTTTTTCCTCCTAAGCCTTGTGCTGATGGTGTGGTAGCTATCCCATTTGACAGTTGACAATTCGTGAATTAGATCTACTTTTTATCACCAACTTTTTGACGAGGAAAGACAAATGTTCCCGTTTTGTGTGATACATTCAGCTCAATTTTTCAGAAAAGCAGAAAGATAAGTTATTGCGGAAGAACCTAAAAGATAAAAAGTGACAGAAGCTACATGACCTAAAAGATTTCAGGTTGGTAAAAATTTTTGGATATTGCCAAGGTAATGAACAAATTCTTCTTTCGTTCTGGTTTATAGCTCTACGAATTCACATAAGTGAGGTCACGAAGAGAATACTAGAAACCATAGGGGGATTTGTTGTTGAGAGCAGAGGAGAGGTTTATCTTAAGGTAAGCTGAGAAACTGCACATTTTTGCACTCTATAAAGCTTCAAACAAACTGAAAGCTCAGCGTAAAAGTAGATACGAAAGCTGCAGTTAGAAGGAATCGAAGGTAATTCTTTCCACAACCCTGTCATTAAAACGATCTCGCGGTGTCTCTTCTTTTCATCCGTTTATCAATCATTGTTCAAATGGCGTGTTGAGACACTCCTACGTATGTCTCCCTACCATTTTGTTTTCCGTTGATTATTAGTTCTGCTTATTTTACCAGGGAAAAGGAAGTGTGACCACCTTCTGGCTTCTAGACGCTGCGCAGAAACCGACCCACAAGCCCCGTCCGGTATCCAAACTTTCAAACAGCATTCCCTCGGAATTCCCCCTCTTGTCTCTTCCGGGATTCAAAAGCGGCACTGTAGGATCTTCTTCCTCTATCGTGAGTGGTTTGAAACGTTCTTCGTCACTTCGTGTCAGTCACTTCCGTAAATCCCAGGGTTCTCCGATTCTCAAACGATGGCAAAAACTCGAAGATCCCCCGAGACAACCTTCGAGAGACAGTTTACCTTCAAAGTTGGATCCTAATGGTAATCAGTCGACTCATATGTGAGAAGTGAACTAGATTTATAATCGTTATATCATTTTGGGAAGAAAAACAGTGACTGTTGCATATGTGGGCGTCAATTGTTTGTCTATGCAAGGAAATCTGGAATCCTTAATCCGGAAAGTTTTGCTTCTTGTAATCCAGTATTAGGGAAATTTTTGCTCACAGGATCCGGGATCCTGAGTCCTGGGCTTTGGAATCGGGAATACAGTTCAAGGGATCCAGAATCCTACTATCTATTGCAATCCGGAATCCAAGTTCCACCGACAAAGAATCGGAATTCAGTACCTGGAATCAGGAATCCACTGCGTGGAATCCAGAGTCCAAAACTGCTTTGGATTCCCTGACAGGGGGTGACACATGAGATATCGACCGACTGGATTGAGAGACAGAGAAAGTTACGACGCGTATCAGAGTGGTATATCAAGACGCTATAAAGAAATAATTCTTTAGATATTGTGTATTAAGCATCATAAATATTGAATAATTTAACACTTTAAAGATCAGAGAGCAACACAGTTTAATATCATAATAAAAAATCAAAGTATTCCAACATGTTGAATATACAATAATTTTCTTTACGTTAGTTTCATCTTTACTGTTTGATGGAGTTTGTTTGTCATCAAGACATTTTATCTTTGGTTACCATTTTATTCATAATTCTCATGACCTGTATGTTTGATTAGGAAGTGTTAAGGAGAAAATGGATACCAGTCGCTATTAATTGTCGCTTTAATAGAGGGTAAAGATAGCCCTCGGAGCTTTGACAATGTTTGTAGCAGAAGACCTGTGTGGCATTTCTAAAACTTGAAAAGTTACGCTTACCCATGTGATATGTTTATCTGACGGGAAGATAACCTAAGGTTCCAAGATAGAAACGAATATCTTCCGGGCTGCAAAAGTTCGAGAAAGTGCTCGGTGCTCCTCAGACTGTAGTGGTATTGGGCTATCGAGCCAATCCAACACAACTTGCTTCGGACTGCAAGGATCGACAAGGACCATTTGAAAGAGACAGGCGGGTGCTTCATGTTTGGTCTCGCTTTGGGCATACGGAGCCGACGAGAGCTTAAAGATCATAACCCATGCAGGAGGGAGCAGTTCTCCAGCGTAAGGTTTATATCAAAATAGATCTATAGAAAGAAAATTAAACGCCGTACTGTTAACTCTGTTGAAGCCCGCATTCTGTTTCTCTGAAATTCAACCAATAGAAAACATGGGATACCGAGAAATCGAGAGAAAAGTAGTCTTAACACGTGACAAATCCTTCTACAGCCGGCTCACGCGCGTTCCTCATGTAAATAGTTATGTAACATACCATTGATGTACGTGTGTGGCCGTTGACGAGACTTCCTTGAAAAAAGAGACGGAGATCAAATAAACCACACGCAAATGCAGTCGTCATGAAAAAGAAAACTTTTCAAGGGGAAATTGCACGTGATAAAACCCAGACCTACGTCTGGGGCGACGTGAAGAGAAGCAAAAGAGAAGAAATAACAGAAAAGCATCCTTTTTTATTTTCTTTGGAATTTCAACGGTTTGAATTAAGACTCATTTCATTTTTTGCCCTTTCACCTGGGTTTATTACGCCAGCAGGAGCCTGATAGATAGGCTCAAAGTCATAGCTAGCAGTTGATTTGCAGGATATCGTACGCAGTCGCGTGGGGCGGCACGTGAAAGAAGTCGCGACAGTAAAGGGCAGGCTCAAGAAACTTTTAACTTGGGCTTCCGTTCCCTGCTGCTTTGCTGCTATTTACTTGCCCGTTTTTTCGCGGCTCGCCAACTTGCTTTGCACCCTGAAAGTAGAGCACGCTCACCGGCTTCGTCGATCACTAAGATGTTTATGGTCATAATAGATCATCCCAGCCAAACTTCTTTGAAATAGCGAGAATAATTATTTAAAAAATGATTAAAAATGCATAATTTATGATAATGCTATTAAAAGTTAGCGGTAAATTTCTTGAAGCCTTTTTGCTGCATGCCGCACGCTTTATCATACTTTTTAAATTTCCATTTACCTAACCATTTTACCCTAAAAATTCAATTTTCTTTCGTTAACAGGTATTTTAGAATTAAATAAATTTAGTGCTAATTAACACAGTCTCGACGCGGTTCATGGATTAAGATCAGACTTGGTCGCAGCTTAACTTACGTAACGTAACCGATCGTCCATGTAATTAAACTCGTACTTCTGCCTATGTGACTTTGTATGCGAAAGGTCAGAAACTTTATGCCGTGACTTCACCATGAGCCTAAAGAATCAGTATGTTAATCCCTAATGTACTCAGTCAAGTTCTAAATGCAATTTTAACAACGAGCGGAAAATCACATCAGAGTCGACAGAGCCATTTTCACAAAAACATGTCACCTGTTAACCAGGGGATGGGGGGTGAGGCACTGAAGGAGGCTTTGAGTGGAGTCGGTTGTGCCGCTCAAACCCTACCCTTTAAAATTTAACAACAAGCGGAAAGTCATATCAGAGTCGACAGAGCCATTTTCACAAAAACATGTCACCTGTTAACCAGGGGATGGGGGGTGGGGCACTGAAGGGAGCTTTGAGTGGAGTCGGTTGTGCCGCTCAAACCCTACCCTTTAAAATATTTAAATCCGTTCAATTTGCTGCCCTGCGTAGAGACCTCCGTCTCTGAGAACATCTCCTCTGTTTCTTTATGATTTTTGGTTTCAATAAAGTTTTTTGGAGTTTACGGATCGCACCACCCATGTGAACCGCGCGCTACCAAGCGATGACGGCACATACCTGTCTTAGTGGTTTTAAAGTGCACCTCCCGGGGCTGTTTACCCATTGAAAAGGTGACAACAGGTGTAACACACTGTCGTTATCTCCTCCAGATTATTATTTTCGTCTTACTTATACATAGATCACACCCCAGGCCAATAGAGAATTTTGCTATTTACTAAGTTGAGGTGGATGAAATTTCCTCCAAAATACTCCGACTTTCGTGGAAGTTATTCTGTGCCTTCGTTTCTAAGGAAATTAAATTTTACAGTTATTATTATACTATCATCATTCAAAGACACAATTTCTGTAGCCTAAGGAACGCTATTTGCTTTGTCATGATTTGCATAACAGTGTATGAGAAGTCATCAAAAGTTTCTTCAGCATTTTTAATGAAAAACTGCTGAGCCTTAGAATGTCCTTGATGATCTGTACCCCAATAAAAAAATAACCGCCAGAGCGCCCCTGGTGAGCTTGCTCGTAGGCTAGGGCTACACAAAAACTGCCTTGGAAGGGAAGTTTCTTTTTGAAAGCAAGTGGCACTGTCTCGTCGATGCAACACAAGGTTTTATTCTTAAACAAAAAGCATCAATGTTACTAAACAAAAAGCATCACGGTGACTTAATTTTTTAAGTCTAGCTCTCGACAATCTCTTTATCACCTTTAGCTGTAACCAACGCATCTAGCCTGTGTAGCAGGCGCTTGGAAGTAGTGGGCGAAAGAGAGAACTGGCGTGCGCGAGGGAGATTCTCCCCTCGCGTGTCTCCTTCTCGCGCGCCCGTTTTTTCTTGTGCCCACTACTTCTAAGCGCCTCTTTAAGTACTTGGTGAGCAGTCTGACATCACAGAATGTGGCCTTTCATTTCACTATAAATAACTGACGCGCTGGCCACTTAGCACGTGCGATTTAAACTTCACTGTTTTAAGTTTTAATTCACTGAAGCTGCTTTGAAATGTTTAAGTCCGAAGTTTTAGTCTTAGGCATAACGATGTTTAACAAACCATAAAAAGAACAGAAAATGGAAATTTTTAACCATCTCAACCAGTTCATTGTCAAATTTACGCTACCAAATGTAGTCAAATGATTCTCCGTTAATCTTTACGCTCCTTGTAATTAAGTACTTATAAATTGACAATAGTTGAGGTGAAAAAAAAATCACAAAGATTAGGACCTACTCTTCTCTTCGCTAAATAGATTAATTCGTTAAAAACCACTAAGTTACACAATTTAAACACACCACAAAAATGTCATTGTAGATTGCACGCACGTGCAATTACATTGCGGGCGCGAACAGCAAAAAAGACGCGAAGGCGTGACGTAGCAGAAACGCGAAGAGTACAGTTTTAAAACTCAAGATACTGAATGACCTGAATTGGATTAATAATATTTTATTTATTATATAGACACGCATTTTTTTTGGAAGGGAGTGTACTCATAAATAGGTCTGGTAATCAAAAACTCAAATCTGGGCTTCACGTATATGCAGGCCTCCAGCTAACTTTTAGACTTTGGTCCTAACGTCTTTGACAATCAAAAACTTCACAAGTTCCTTGATGAAACCGCACCAGCTACCCATGATTTAATCTTAGTTTTCGTTTAACAACTCACCCTTCCGGGACTGAATTGTTTTTCTTTTCGAGAACAGCTGAGCATTTGGTTATAATGTTCTTGTTTCAATTTCGCAGCTTCCTATTTTGAGTGAACGGAATTATTGTGCAAGAAAAGTAAAGATAAACAGTTGTTTTCTCATGATCTGCTTAGCAGGGTTTGAGAATTCATCCAGTTATAAAGTATCACTGCTTTTTCTTTGTTGCTGTCAAAAGTTTGTTCAGCATCTTTAATGAAATGTCGCAGAGCCTTAGAATGCCCTTGATGATCTGAACCACACAAAAACTGTCTTGGAAGGGAAGTGTCTTTTGAAACCATGTTGCAGTGTCTTTGCGATGTAACACAAGGGGTTATTAGGGAACTAAAGTCATCACGATGACTTAATCTTTGAAATCTTTCTACATTTCCTTTTGCTGTACACAATGCATCCAGCCTGTTGCTACCAAGATGATAACGCTTGATCTCTTCTCTATTCATATCAATCCATGGAAGCTTGATGGTTTCATTTGGGGATGCTGTGTTTGGCCGTAGATTCTTTTCGTTTTTACATCTTACAAATTCCTGTTGCTGTATGCTTTCCGGTATTAGTTCTAATCTGCTTGGTAAAGTATTTCGTCTTTGAACCTTGGTGGGTTTATCCAAAAACTCACTGACGATGGGTTTGGGCGTTGATGCCCTTCGATGTAAAAGTTTTTTGTTCATCTCAGTTCTTTTGTTGGATGGTATTCAATGCTGTGGACAAGATACACCGGCTCGACATATATAACTTAGTCCTTCACAGTTTGAACTCCAACTGTGGAACCCGGTGCATGATACATCACTTTTAAGTACTGCGTGAATCAGTGCCATAACATAACGTGACCTTTTAGAAGAATCAACTGACGCGTTAGTTCAATAGCACGAGTGCAGCATGAGCTTCATTGTTGTTTAAAACAATAAAGCTCACTGAAGTTCGTAACCCCAGAAGTCTTATTCTTTGGTATAATGATGTTTAACAAACCATAAAAAGAACACTGAGAAAGTGTCAATATAATATGTTTTATTAAAACTACAACCATTCATTGTCAAATTCACTCTGCAAAATGTTTGTTCATTGAGAGTGTTTGAAGTGAAAAAACCATCACAGAGTTCACGACCAAATCTTCTCTTCGCTAAAGGAACAAGATTAACTACTGATATCGTGTCCTTTAAAGTCATTAAAAAATCATTTTGTTACACAATTTAAAATGGCCACAAAAATGTCAAGGTAGATTGCATACACGTGCAATTGCATGCTGGTGAGTCTATTTTATGCCCGTTACCGCATGCGCGAACGGCGAAGGAGGCGCGGTCGCCGAGAAGCCAGGCGGGAAAAGAGCGCTCAAAAAAGCGCGTCCAAGAAAAAAGATGTGATACAGAGGAATAGCGAAGAGTACAGTTTGAAAAAGCAAGAGAATAAAATCTTGAGTAGGGAGCAACCGATTTGTTTTCTCCAAGTTGAGAGCAGACACGTTGGTTTTCAAAACAAATTGGAAGTTAAAACTCACTACGTCATCGAAGGAATTCGACGCTTCATTATTATTCGGTAGTTACATCCAAACCGCAGTTTCAGAACACTTTCTCAGCAATAGCCACTCTGTTACTTATATCGGTTACTTATCCCAATTGAAACACTTAGATATGAACGCGATTGTCTCAGGAAAGCACGCGAGGCGCACCTCATTCGGAAAGCCTAAACCATCGAATCTCTGGGAATGAACAAACGTGACGAACTATAATCATTATGTAATCTTTAACTTTTTTCTTGGTTTATTTTTCTTAGCAGCTTCACCTTACCACGTCATACCATGTAACTTCTGTTTATTATTTTACAGCAGTATATATTCTGTATATTCATGTTTTTTTCCTAATAAACCTGATAAAGACTAGTATTGGCCAGTCGAAATATAGTATACCTCAGACTTTTTCTCGTTGTTTGATCAGTCTGCGCAGTAATATATAACGCAGTCTTTTTTACTTTAACTTTACATTTCTATTAATGAATGATAGTATTATGGTATCAATGTCCACCCCCTTTATCTGCGCAACAAATATCTCAGCCGAAATCGCTGGTGTATCTTCAATGTTCACTGCTCACTATCGACTCCTACCCCAGACGAGTTTTCTTTGGAATAGTTTGGACAATCGCCAAAGTGTTCAAAAAAGACCCCTGCATAACATATGAAAGGCTCATGAAAATGTTCTTTAAAGTTATTTTCATGTTATACTGAGTTTTCAGTCGTCCTTCATCTCTTTAAAACCCTTATTAATCTTCCGGATTTTTTTGCTGTTTCATTAAACCAATGACAGCCCTCGTTTGAATATTTTTCAAGCCTTTCCATTACATGTTCTCACTTTACAAAAATTTTTTCTCATAAGACACTAGAGAAAAAAATAGAACTGAAGCTAAAATTTGGTGTCTCTTAAAACTATTTTCAAATTCTCTTTTTTGACTTGATGTAGAAATCTACTTACCTCATTTTTTTTTTTAAACTTTCTAGATTCTAATCAAAAATTTGGACTCAGCCCAGATTGTGTATTACGTCTTCCTTTATATTATTTGTGTACGTGAATCAATGTGATGAGTATATAAACAGACTAAAACGCCAAGACTTCTGTAAGAGCCTCTTAAAATACCAAACATTTCTGCAGAATAAACCTGTCAATTCCTTTTGTACCTGGTCCACTTTCAAAATGCAGTTTCATAAGCTAGAGAGAGGAAAGTGATTTTAGGCTTGCCAGCACCATCACAATAAAAACATTTAACATTTCTCCCTTTAAGACCCAATAACGACATAAAAATTCCCCAGACAGGCCTGTCTCCACACATTTCCAAAAGAAATAATGACATGTAGTTGAGACAATTTGTTATAAGATCAAGCATTTTCCCTTTGGTGATCATTTCATTGGTTCACATAACGTTTTTCTTGATGATGTATGATATGTTAACTGCGCACAGTACTGAACTAGAGTAATAATAATTTATTTTTTTATTATATAAACACGCGATTTGTTTATAAGGGAAGCTATACTTATGTACAGATGGTGGAATAAGAAAGTGAACTTATATACATGGCTCTGGAAACTGGGCTTTCAGTAATATACCTATAGGCCGACAGTTCACTACAAATTTTTCTTACCGTCTTTGATTTCGGATATTCCTTAATAGAACATTTGATTTTAGCGTTAGTTTAACAACTAACCCTTCTGGGATTGAATTGTCTTTGCTTTCGACTGTGCCTTCGGCTCTTATATTCTTGCCTCAAGTTCACAGTAGCCTACGTTTTTTTGAGCGAACAAAATAAAGTCATTGTACAAGAAGTCAGAAAATATGTTTTCTCATGATCTGCTTAGCAGTGTTTGAGAACTCATCCAGTTGTAAAGTATCATTGTTTTTTCTTTGCTGCTGTCAAAAGTTTCTTCAGCATTTTTAATGAAATGTTGCAGGGCCTTAGAATGTCCTTGATGATCTGAACCACACCGTCTTGGAAGGGAAGTGTCTTTTGAAACCATGTTGCAGTGTCTTTGCGATGTAACACAGGGAGTTATTAGAGAACTAAATTCATCACGATGACTCAATCTTTGAAATCTTTCCACGGTTCCTTTTGCTGTACACAACGTATCCAGTTTGTTGCTTCCAAGACGATAACACTTGATCTCTTCTCTATTCATATCAATCCATGGAAGCTTGATATTGGTTTCATTTGGGGATGCTGTGTTTGGCCGAAGATTCTTTTTGTTTTTACATCTTACAAATTCCTGTTGCTGTATGCTTTCCGGTATTAGTTCTAATCTGCTTGGTACAGTATTTCGTCTACAAAGCTTGGTGGGTTTATCCAAAAAGTTATCGACCATGGGACTGGGCGTTGAAACCCTTCGATGTAAGAGTTTTGTGTTCATTTCGCCCGGATAAATTCAATGCAGTCCACTTGAGATACCAGCGCTGTGTGCCCGACACCTTCAGTTGAACTCCAGTTGTGAATCACAAAAGCACGATACAACATCTTTATTTACCGACTGATCAGTGACATAACATAACCTTATCTTGAACCTTTGGAGTGAATTACTGACACGCTTATTTCACGTGCTCAATCCTCATTGTTTTAATTCGCTGAGGTTGCTTTTAATTAATGATCAGTAGGGTATAATAATGTTTAAAACAACCATAAAAAGAATGGAAATTATAAACATAAGTTTAATTAAACCTACAACCATTCATTGTCAAACAAAGTACAAAATGTTCCTTCGCCAGCTTCTGAAATGCTGGCGCACTTTGTACTTAAGTACTTGATAGAAACTCGACTGGACCAAGTGAACATTCCACAGTGGTGAGGATCAACTTTTGCCATATCGAGAGAAAATATATACAGTGTAGATTGCAAAAGAAAGGAGAAGACAAATATATCGTGCGTGTTAACGCTACGTTTCACTGAGCAAGGGTAAAAAGACAGAGACCTGATCCGGGACTGACAAAAAACCGGCATGTTATGCAAACACCGGTCACGAAAATGTCATGGTACACTGACTGCACGTGCAACCGCATGCGAGGGGACTCCGTAAGCTAATTCGAGAAAGGTTATCGGTTGAAAGCGTAAGTGTACGCATCAATCCATTAAGGCAAGAGGGAATGAGCCAAAGGTAATCTCGAATATGATTAATGAATTTTAAGAAGTCAAATAAATAAAAAAAATATATTAAACCGACTATGCCTATGGTCCGTACAGATGGAGGGCCAATGTATCGAAATACGAAGTTTTTTGGAAAGGGAAATAATATTAGTACGATGGTTGAACGGAAATAAAACTAAAAAACAATTACGCCTCAAGGCCCGGTTCAAACGTCGCACTTTACATGTGCCGGGTCTGTCTTTTCCTGATGCAAGTTAGCTGGAACAATAGGTTTTCCTTATTAGCATTGAATTCCGCACATGTGATTGGGAACTGGCTACGTTTGAACCAGGCCTGTAGGTCAACTCGTTAAGTAAAATTAGCTCAAAAATTGGCTATTTCAGTCTCAAGTTCACGTGCAACACATGCCTGTCAACTCAGTTACTTATGCTCTTTTATTTTCGAAAACATTTGGCAAGCCGCAACTTTTCTCTGAAACAACGGTTTAGAAGTTAAAACGTATGCAAAAGCTTTGAGTTGAGAACTTTTCCGACAGTTTAGCTGTCGAACCAACATTTTGCTTTCTTGCAATCAACTTGCAAACGGCTTTCCCTGAATGAACGATTTTCCGGTAATCGGAAGTAAGGAACTTAAAACTGCCCACTGGCCACATCCCTTTCGGAGGTTGTCGCGTGCACTTTTCTACAGTAGTTCATTTCTCGACACCCGCCGTGACGTCGTGTGAAAACGTTCGTTCTCAAAATAATCTCATAGTGCAGTTCGACCCATTCTCAGTTTCTTCCAAGCTAACGCTTTTTCTAAACGATGACAAGACTAACGATCACAGTAGTATACCATAGTAGGCGAAGAGCAGTAAACCCCCATCTGCTTATTTGCTAACTCGCCACGTAAATTGTTAAAATTTCCCGGGTACAATTTCAACCTACCAAGGAAGCAAACTTACGTACTCCGACGATTTCTCCACTCCACTCAGGAGTCTTATAAGGAGCATTTTACTTTAAAATGCAGTGTTTTCCACGTCGTCACTATCAGTGTCACAACACTGAGCGTGACAATACTGGTTTGCGTTACTCAAATCCAAATACGAACAATGACGTAACATCATCTGTTCTAGTTGTTCGTGAATGAAAGTGAAGGATGGTCTTTCGGCTGGCTTCTCGTGCCAGCAAAGGCGCATGAGCTCGTACCTATCAAGAAAGAGGAAAGAGTTTATTTTAAAAAAATATATAAAGCGAAAGAGAATTCATGTATTGTTGAAGCTTCTTATTATTTTCACGGAAATATTATGGAATCATGCAAGGTATTCATTTTGAACCACTTCATCCCTTCCCTTTTGTCACTAAATATTGCTGAACATTTACGAAAATATTGCTCTTAACTATAAATCCGCTAGATAGAAAAATGCTTAAATAAATGTGCTCAGTCTTTTAACAAGAAACACTTTAACAAACTGTAACACCTGTGCTGAGATCTGAAAGTGATCACCATCAAATTTCTCCCTGTGATGCCAATACTTTACAAAACCCATTGGCGACGAGAATTAAAGACATGATCTCACAAGATTAATCGAGTTGATTCTCCCTACTACTTCTATAGGAAATGTACAGGTACAAAAATTGAGAATCTGCATTTTTATTTCAGGGTGTTTAAAGGGTTTAACTCTCATCATGAAAGATAAGGTGTTCTTTTGTTCGCATTGCCTTATTAGAATTGTCTCGATATCAAAGAGAGCGAAAAAAAAATTCTCACGTTTCTTCTGTGCACATTGGAGGCTTCTCCAGTCTATATCCACTGCTAAGGACTTGAAAAAGTCTCTGATTGGCGATGGTAGGATATGGAGTGCCTCCTACAAACAAGGCAACACATTCAATTTGCACTCCTTATAAACAGGAGGAGAACTGGAGCCGAAATGTGCCCGCAATCAATTCTGGGATCGTTCCTGGAGACGCGCTGGTCTGCTATTGGCTATTTTTTGCCATGTGACCACTAACCTTCACTACTAACCGTCCCAGAAGTATTTGCGAACGTAAGGTGTCTCCTCATAGGTCACAGAAAACAATATCACATCATTGTTTACCATTATTCCCCATTGTTTAACGGTTAGGGTATCAAAGCAATTGGCTTTTAGGGTTAGGAGAGCTGCTACATGACTACTGTAGGTAAATGACGAGAATTAAACTGTTTTAAAATATCTGCACCCCCATCCAAGTCCAAACTGCTTTAAACCATGACTAGACTTCAAAATGGTACATACTGGTATCAGAAATGATCAGGAGCTCCTAAAATGATAAAAAGTTAGCCCCTCTGAGCTTGTTACATACCGAGTGTGCCCACTTCCCACAACAGAATTCCAAACGCCCATCTGTGGACAGAGACAAAGGAATTTTGATAGGTTGGATAGAAATGCAGACGCCCAGGTAAAGAAAAACCACGAAGACAGACAACGACGACTTTTTATAGGGCAAGAAGACTACAATCGGCGTCAAAATTATTGAATAGAGTAAACACCCGCATGTAAGAGCAAATGGATTAAGAAAATTAGGCTGAAATTTGGCCCACAAAACAGAACCAGTTCGGCCTGATATACATACAAAACATGTTCTTATATAATAAGAGAGAGGGTGTCGGAATAAGAAAGCAATGTAACTATGGTTGCTGCTAGACAATTATAAATTAACTATTAATAACAGTTGCCTGGAAGTCTTTAGGATTTTACTTACTTAAGAACTAGATCCGCCTTAACCCCGAAATCATGTGTTCTTATACGCGGGTGTTTACTGTATTTCGTTTGACATTATTTCTGTAAGACGACCACCAACGGGATCACTCCCCCACCCAGCCCCTGACCGATTAAAGTGGGCGTTTTCGTTGTTTCCAGCAGGCAAGGTGACAGGCAAGAACGATCTCCACGAGATGAGAAATAATAGGCTGATTTAGCATCAGGACGGGAACGTCAATTGACGACGGGAAAGCACACGAAAAGGACTAAACACGACTTCCGGTGCCCAATTTGCAGCTCTGCCATTGGTCAAGCCAGTTGTTTAATTTGCACGCGCCGTTGTCAACTGACGTTCCCCTTCTGTTGCTAAATCAGCCTAATATAAGACGATTAGGAACGATTCAACCCCCAGTTAAGGAAACCTAACACATGTTACAAATAGACGTTTTTTTAGAGATGAGTGAAAGAGATCGACAAAGGATCTAAGGTACGCACGAGGTGTAAAATAGATAAGTCATCAATGAACCACTGAAAGTGGTGCGTAGGTTCTGATCATGTGACATTGGAAACGTACACGTCACTTTCCGTCGTGAAAACTTGATCATGGATCGCTTCTGGTGACATCCATTTAATCGGTAGTTTTCTAGCTTTCTTGCAATGATAAACCTTCTCCGTATAAATGTAACGCGACAAACCAAAGTCCGCGACCTTGACCAGCTTGCCTTCACAAACAAGCACATTTCTCGCTGCCAAGTCACGGTGAACAAAGCCTTTTCCTGACAAAAACTCCTAAAGAAAGAAACAAGAATTATTTGTTACAGGACAGTCCCTTATATGTCTGACAAATAAGAGAAATAAGAAACAAAATGGTAAAACATTATATGTTGCCAAATCATCATTAGCAGACCGAGGTCACACCTTGAAATTATGTGGTGCTATGCACTATTTTAGAAAGATGGAAACAATTGCGTTGCTTAATAATTTCGAGCTGGCAGAAAATTAAAGAAAAGGAGATTTGGACCTTGCAAACAACCAAACAAAACAACAAAATAACAAAGTGTAAACATATACCATTCCTTTCGCGATTTGCCATGCGAATGTTAGTAGGTCAGCAGGTGTCAGCTTTCCATCGTCATGTAATTCATCATCATCTGTAACTACATTATTACAATGTTCGCCTTTGTCCTTGGGGGTCGCTTGGCGGGTTATGGTGGATGTATTTACATAAGTGGCGCACTATCAAGAAAGAAATGAAAAAACAACGATAAAGAACTTTCCTTTACCATTCTTTTTTGAGTTGTTCCCCGGGGCACATTCCCTGGAACCCTTGACCTATACCAGAAAAGTTTTTCTGCCCTATACTAGAGTAAACTCCCCAAATCCCCCTATCCTAGAGTAGCTGTTTCCTCAGTTGACCAAAAAAACTGAGCAAAAATGATACCTTTCCCCAAACGCTCTACCCTATCAATAATGGCCATTTTTATAGCCCATATAGTTGTTCCTAGCGTCGGTTTCAAAGCGAGGCTAAGTGGTAGCGATTGATATTTATAATACTTGTTTCCACACGAAAGGTTTTGCACTTGGTGTCGTTTTGAAAGTGAGAGTTTTTGGAACTCGGAGATTGCCTATCTATCACACATTTACTTCAAGATAACTTGAAAAAAGGGACCCAGATAGGAACGAAAAAGAATCGCCATACGTGTTATGTCTTCATTTCGTTGATCATCCTGATCTCAATGTTTTGATTCCCTAAAGTTTAACGATAAATACACTACGCCTAAAGACAGATTAATAAAAAATATCCTGGGCTGTATCTTGGTATCGTGTTGAGTTAGAACTAGCGATAACATGACAAATAAAACCAAACAAACAAACAAAATAGTTAGCTCAAAAATTAATTTAATTCCCCTAGACTCTTCTTAGATTTACGAAATGAGACTTAAAAAGTATAGCACAACCAGTAACAAATTAGGAACGTAACATTCAGATCTCTAACCTGTTCTCTTCTTTGCCTGAGATAATTAAGGAGATCACCATATTTCGCAAACTCGACAACTAGGAACATAGGAGTTGTCAAAGTACAGCAAGCCAATAAGTTCAATACGTTCCTGTGATATCCGATCTGTTTCATGAGTTCTATTTCCCCCAGGAAGTCTTGCTTTTGCTCCTCCGTGGCACCATCTAATTATAAAAAAAAAAAACGGAACAAAATTGACGAGTTCTGTTACATTCTCGCTATAACGCTAGGGAAAGAGAAAACTTCTGGAAAAAAAAAGCACTTTATTTGAGTGTCAATGTATTTAGCACGAAAGTACTAATTGGGGACACTATATTTTACGTCTCCAACTGGACACGGGACCGCCATTTTACGTGGTCATCCGAGCCACGCGAAGGTCTAGCCTGTTGCAGTGCAAAGGGAGTACCTTCATTTCTCGGTTATTTTAAGACCCTGAGTATTAGTCCGGCCCCAGGAATCGAACCCGCGACCTTCCGCTCTGCAGTCAACACGCTCTACCGACTGAACTAACACTGCCTCGGTATAGCTACAAATATTCTCTTCAGTTCCCTGCAAAGCTTCGTTTTAAAGCAAGAACCATATCGAACATTATTAATGTTTAGAATTAATGTTAAGAATAGGTTGAAGTTAAGGTTTCATGTTTAACAACCGATCCAGACTTGCCACAAGTCGACCGCGAGGGGGCGCCGAAGGCACGAGGGACGCTACGCGAGTGACGAAGGGAAAGGACTTTGAGAAACTGGTCTACAACGGATCTTAAAAGTGTGAGGTTGAACATTTTTATAGTCGTAAATCTTACTTCGTAACATCTTCACCGCTACTCTGAGAGGTTTTTTCTGATCTTTTGTGTCCTTCTTTCCCCAACGACTGGAAATTCTTCTACTCCGTGAGCCATCTGATTTTTTAAAAAAGTCGCCACTGTATACTTTTCCAAATGCACCTTCTCCGATAATCCTAGACAAAGTGATGTCATCAAAGTGGACTTCCCAATGATCAGTGAGTTCGGAATTTGTTCTAAAAATCAAAGAAATCTATTGAGACATATCCAACACCTTGGTATTATGATTCCCGCCCTTATTTGACGAAAGAGCTGTGTATCGCCCTATGTAAGAGAATCCAAGACAGTCTTGGATTCTGGACTCCATGCCATGGATTCCGGATTCCACTCCTAGTCAGTGGAACTTGGATTCCGGATTCCAATCCTTAGTGGGATTCCGGATTCTTTGAGCTGTATTCCGGATTCCAAGGTCCAGGATTCCAGATTTCACAAACAAAGTTTTCCCGGGTTTCGGATTCTACAAGCAAAACTTCCGGATTCCCTTACTAGGGGAAGGGGGGCGGGGATGGGGTGGGGCGGGGTGGGTGGGTGTAATTTTACGAGCACCTGAAAAGCAAAAGTGTTATCTAAGGCATTACTATAGCACATTAATAATGTATTTCTTTTTTTTTATTTTTCATTATTCACATCTAGTAATCCCAGAACATTAAATTACGCTTCAACGATTAGTATTTTGCAGTCCACAAAGAGCTGAAGGGAGGAACCAAGAAAAAAAAGGGCCGGGATCCGGGAATTGAAAGTGCGATAGGCGGGAGGTCTGGATCCCCTGGTATCCCCCCACCCCCGCACCCTACCAATTTTTTTGCAGTTCAAAACCTTTGTCACCTCTGGTAATTCCGTTGCACTAAGAAGCGGGAACAGGGAATGCAAAGTACGGGAGGTTCGGATCCCCCTGTTCCTCCCCTCCTCCCCCGACACTCCTCCACCAATTTAAATTGCAGTTTCAGGCTTTGTCACCTTTGGTAATTGCGTTGCACTAAGATGCACTAAGAAGCACTCCCAGTATACGACATTAACAGCCGTATTCTTCAGTTACTTACCGATTTCTGAAAAATCTCAGACCAAACCAAACAGCTGCGCCAAGGAAGACAAGGCCAATAAAGCTTCCAAGAAGTGGTGCTAACAACCCGGATTTACTTGAGCTTTGAAGATGGCTCCTTTTACTCGAGTCTACAGAAGATACATTTAGCAGACAATCTTTTAGTATTTAAAATGATAAATACACTCAAAAAAAAAGTGCGCTTATGGCGCTTTGAAGACGTACAGTTCAATTCACCTTTGTGAAAGAAATTCATTTTGTACCTCAAGGAACCAATAATTACGATGCACGATGCAAACAAATCAACTTGTCTATTCTAACAAAGTTAACCACATATTAATACATCAGAAAAGTGTCCAACTCCCCATAGGATTTTCTTAGTACATCAACATGGTCGCAGTTGCATTGTTTAGAAACCAATATGACCGCTATCACGACGTTATGTGAAAACGCTCTGTACACGCGCTGTATTAATACACTTCATGGCATTTCATTACCTGCACATTTGCGCTCAGAGCAGGCATTGATGGACATGTTGATACCAATGCAATTCTGTCCTCCCCATTTTGGTGCTGGTTCCGTACACGTGCGAACGCGTGATCTGTTTCCTGTATCACATGTTACACTGCATGGTTGCCATGGAAACCACTGGCTCCACTCTCCGTTCACTATAAATCAGTTGTCGAAAGAAACGTAAGAAACGATTTTAATACATGTTACCTCAGCTCAATCCATATAGTAAATTTTAAGAAGAAGAAGTTGAAAACGTAGTCTCCCTCACAGCGGTTTTTTCTCGTCACCCAACACTCCTTCCCAACAGGAGGGGAGGAGCGTTGCGTGACCAGACAAGACGGCTGCTAAGGAGACTATCGGAAACGCACCTCTTTTAAAACGGTAAACAAAATTAGTCCAAGCCTTTCCAACGCCGTGAGCAAGCCCTTGACAGTCGTAAGATATGCCATGCCTGTTGTACGATAAATCGCCATTTTTTCCACTCCAACACTCTTTGTAGTCTTGGACGCCAAAATATCGGAAGCCATGATTCTGAGCTACTGCCGCGCATGCGCGAATCACTGCCATGAACGACGTGGTGGGTTTGTGCCAATTTATGAGCTTTTGGAAACTTTTGAGTAAGACTGGCAAAGCACGTGGGTTGCCTTTGTCTTTGAAGCAGCCAACTGGCTCAAATTCATCCATAACCGTCTGATCTGAAAATCCAGCAAGAGTGAAGTGAATTAGTCTCCCTCGCAGCCGTTTTTTGGATGTCACGCACCGCTCCCCCAAAAGAAACAATTTAATCATCATCACAGCGCGCGCGCGCTCAAGGTTCAAGGCAGTACTCGTCAATTTCTACGCGACATTTTTTTTACCGTATCAAGAGCCATTATGGCTCTTGACCGTATATATTCAAAGATCTTTATCTACCAAAGATTGTTTTAAGAAACCTCAGTTAGAAAAGATAAATAAGGTTTTACAATCTATTAATTAGTATTGGGACGGAAAACTGCTTATTCAGCGAAAATATTTTTTTTGATCAAGACCGCAAAAAATTAATTACATACGCCCTAGTGCGCGCAGATGACAGCACCTACGTCATCCCGTCACTATCTAGGCAGTTTGAGTAGCCAATCCAAAAAAAATGAATTTTCTTACTTGACCAGATCTCGCCTTCGGCTTCTTGGCTAAGAGATCTGGGTACGAGATTTCATTTTCGAGGGTTTGTTTCAAAGTGAGGCTAACAGACCCTTCCAGGGTTTTTTTAACTTTTGACATGGACCAGTTGGAGAAAATAATCATTAGAAAACGTTAGCGCGTTTGCGTTTGCAACTGAAGCGAGATTAATCCATCCTCAATGTTACTGTTAAAATCATCACAGGCTAATTTCATTTTAACATCCATAATGAGATGAAACAAACTCATTTCACTCTTACTTTTACATCTCTGAAGACCGCAGTTGCTGATGGAGACGTTTGTGCCAGTGCAATCCTGTCCTCCCCATTTGGGCGGTGGACTGGTACAGCCCCGGGTGCGAATTCTGAACCCGTATCCACATGTCACAGAGCAGGGTTGCCATGGTGACCAGTGACTCCACCCGCCATTTACTGTGGAGTGAAAGTATACATAAGTAAAGTACTCACAACCTCGTTCCCAACGTCTTTCCCTTTATATTGGTCCTCGGGACTCCCTGGACAAGTTCCCAGGGAACTCAAGGATGGTGATTTTAATTTCATTCATGTTTTTATATAAACAGCACAACTAACTTATCTTTCACAAAACGATACACAAAGTTACTCCAATATTTTCCCACACCGTAATCCCCAAAGTCGTAGCAGCCGTCGGTTTGTCCGTGCTTGTTGTAGTACTAATTTTTTCAGAATTACTATTTTGCGAAATGACCTTTTTTCACTTTTATTTATTATTTATCAAAATATATATATAGATGAGTGTGGCCCTATAATTTGGACCATATATACGAAACAGTACTGTCGCAATAAACGATCGATGATTACTCCTAAAGCCTGAGCTCCTGTGAAGTTGTTAATAGTCAATGTTCTTCAAATAAATTGAGCGCTCTACGAAATACACTCTACCAAGAATACAAGAATTTGTTTCTTTTGCAATAAAAAAAGCAACAAAGGAATGCATTCGAGTACGCACCATACACCCGTCCGAGTTAAATTTTAAAGCATACCTTCAAACACAGACTTTAATTTCGATAGGTTATTCCTCTCCATCCACTCTCCGAGAAATTCCTGCGTTTACCCATAAAAATACGCAGTCTTCAGTTCAGAACTTTTCACGAATTGATGTTTACGCAATGAAGCGCATTAGATCATATTCAAATGCTATTTTTGCGCCTTACAAATAATAAATTATTATAATTATTATTGTTATTATCATATTATTACACATACAAAAACAACTTCACTGCATCATAAAAGAGCCTAGATAATCCATTTCGCAAAATAGTAGTTCTGGCAAAATTACTACTTGGCGAAATGAGTTATAGTACGGTCAGTAAAATGAGAGGTGCCCAGACTCGTCGAAATATTAATCATTTTATTGGTGGACAGAATTTGTTTCGGACGAAAAGGACATATTTGCTGAACAAAGGTGAAAAAACGCCATTTCGCAAAATAGTAATTCTAGAAAACTTACTATTTTGCGAAATGAGTTCTTGTACGGTCAACAAAATGAGAAGTCCCCAGACTCTTCGACATATTAATCTTTTTATTGGTGCACACAATTTGTTTCAGACGAAAAGGACATATTTGCTAAATAAAGGTGAAAAAACGCCATTTCGCAAAATTGCATACGACATAGCGCGTGCAGATGACAGCACTTACGTCATCCCCTCACTATCTAGGGAGTTTGAGTAGCCAATCCAAAAAAACATGAATTTTCTTACTTGACCAGATCTCGCCTTCGGCTTCTTGGACAAGAGATCTGGGTACGAGATTTCATTTCCGAGTTACCCAAACCGTTAGCCAAAGTGAGGCTAACAGACCCTTCCACGGTTTTTTTTAACTTTTGACATGGACCAGTTGGGGGAAAATAATCATTAGAAAACGTTAGCGCGTTTGCGTTTGCAACTGAAGCGAGATTAATCCACCCTCTATGTTACTGTTAAAATCATCACAGGCTAATTTCATTTAAACATCCATGATGAGATGAAACAAACTAATTTCACTCTTACTTTTACATCTCTGAAGACCGCAGTTGCTGGTGGAGACGTTTGTGCCAGTGCATTCTTGTCCTCCCCATTTGGGCGGTGGACTGGTACAATTCCGGGTGCGAATTCTGTACCCGTATCCACATGTCACAGTGCAGGGTTGCCATGGTGACCAGTGACTCCACCCGCCATTTACTATGGAGTGAAAGTATACATAAGTAAAGTACTCACAACCTCGTTCCCAACGTCTTTCCCTTTATATTGGTCCCCGGGACTCCCTGGACAACACCCCGGGAACTCAAGGATGGTGATTTTAATTTCATTCATGTTTTAATATAAACAGCACAGCTAACTTACCTTTCACAAAACGATACACAAAGTTACTCCAATATTTTCCCACACCGTAATACCCAAACTCGTAGCAGTCGTCGATTTGACCGTGCCTGTTGTAGGTCAACCCTCCATTAGGCCCCGTCCAGCATTCGTAGTAACTCTGCACAGCAAAGTATTGAAAGCCATACCGTTGGCTTACATTTTCAGCGCATGCGTGAATGATTGCCATGAAGGAGGAATTCATCTTGTGCCAGTCAACAGGCATTTTGAAATCTTTGACGCGGTTTGGCAGAGCACGTGGTTCAGGTTTATCAAGAAAGCATCCAACTGGCTCAAATGAGCGCCCAGTTGTCCCATCTGGACAAAAAAAGAACGGAAACTCACAGGCTCTACATTCACGTTTGTCTGTAGAAATCTAAAGACACTGAAATTACAGTGGAACCTCGGCCTTGGTACACCTCTATTCAAAAATTTGGCTCCGGAAAAATATTCACTTTTAGTCTTTGTATCTTACCTCTATTGAAGGGACACTTGTCAAGACTATACTCACGCTAAATAATAATCCCGCCGACTTCGCAGGCTAGACCATACTAATCGCACCGCACAATAGTCACCAAAAACCCATCAAGAAAACACAAATGCCAAATTGTCTAATGATGATAAATGCCTTAATTTCGATATAACATAGCATATAATATAATTCCGTTTGATAAAAACGATATTTCCAAAAAAACAAACTAAAATTCAGGTAAAACCTATCGGTGCTTGTCCAGCTCGTGGAGTATTTGACACGGCATTTATTACCCTGGCGGTTATACATTCAGATTGTCTGACTCACTTCGGTGGTAACAACAAACGTACATACAAGGACAGCTGTTTCGTTTTGTTTCGATCAAATATTGATGGTCAATAATGCGCCATAATATATGAAATATATATTGTTCAACCAAAACTAACTATTAAATTCCCTCCGATCCAGAGCAAACAACCTGACAGCTGTCTCGCGGTGTGTGCATTGAGCCTCCGGGGGGAACTCACATATAAAAGTGACGGGATGCCCGTCAGAAAATAAAGGAGACCATACTAGGACTAGCCTGCGCGGCAGGCGTTAAAAGGGGAAGGGGGGAATTTGGGTGCGCGCGAGAGAGAAAGGAAAGGAACGCCTGCATTGTTTCTTTATGCACAGCCGTAAGCGATAAGCGATACCTGAATGTGCAAATGTAGTGACTTTCCATCCCAAACACCCTAAGTGATACCAAAATCTTCAATTTCATCCCTAAGCGAGACGACGAGCATCCCGGTCACTTTTATATGGGATTGAGCCCTAAACATGCTGGATCTAACTTGTCAGGAACTTGTAAGTAAATCTTTATCTAGTGATGGCTGCCCAAGCAAAGCGAGTGTAGCTCATAAGTTATGTAGTATAAGTCGTATAACTACATAAGCTTATATAAGGGGGGAATTGGGGGATACTCAATACCGTAAGAAAAATTGGCAACTACCAAAAATCGGAAAAATACCGATACCGCATTTATGATCGGTCACGCTTTCTTAAAGTTGCATTCATCTCGCGTGTTTATCTCAAGGATATATGCAGCAGAAATCAACCTCAGCCATAGCGAGAAAACGTAAGAATACCTAGAATTGATCGGTACAACTATCGAAAAGCCCGGTAACTGGAAACCCTACCAACTTCATCATAGATTAAGAGTCAGAACGTGTGTAATCATTGACCATTAAATGTAAAATCCAAAAAATATCAACCCGTTTTAGAGAGGAGAGGGCAAATGAACAGTGCCGCAATTTGCCTCAATACTGCGAAAGATCTTTTACCGATACCGTTACCCAAAAGGATGAGAAAGCGCGTACCGCAGGGCTCGATGATACCACAATACCGCATATTGAAAATACCGCTTGAAAAAAAGTTTAATGCCGCAATACTGTAAACCCACATGTCCCCCCACCCCTCCAAAATTTTCATGAGTAAAATTTTAACAGATACGAGTTCAGTAACTATATGAAAAAAAAAAGGAGAAAAGTAGGATTTCTGTTCTGCCAGAATGCCGGCTTAAAGCAGAAACGAACTCCGTGAAAAAATCATACACAATATTCATAACAGATGTATTATCAAGAAATGAAAATATAGCATGACTTACTTGATGTTATCGTAGAACTAGATCCAACGGCTTTCCCATCGAAAAAAGCATTCACTGTTGCCAATCCGATCACTGTATAAAATCCATAACAAAGAATTTCTTGTACACTGATTCCTCGCGAAAAACCACGAGATACGAGCTTCATGATACTCGACTGAGGAACCCCCAAATTATTACTGTTTTTCGTAATAGCAACAATATTAATGAAACAAACTCTAATATTTTGTCTTGATATGAGCGGGTGAAATCCATCAAACACCTTGTCTTAAATAAACAGTTTTTACTTCTGAGAAGAGCAAAGGAAGTGATTATTGGTCGCAGGTAACGATAATATTTCACCACAATTATTAAATATCACTGTATTTTCCTGTTAACAAACGTATATATAATGTGCTTTATATGCTTTTTCTTGGGTACCTAAAAAAGTTTCTTTTTTGCTCACTTGCAAACAGGCGATGACCGTCCATTTTAGGGTAGTCTACCCGATTAGGGCCCCTCTTCGTTGCCGAGGAAACTGCAATGGCGCTTGCAAAAGGGCAGCTGGTCGTGATCCGGTAATATCCTTCTTCATGCAATTCGAGCACGAATCGGCAGTTTTCGCGGTCAACACTCGTTAGGGATCACCAGAAAGTGTTCTAATCTTGCAATATCTAGAAAAGTAGTACAATTTTTCTACAAGTAAACAACTAGAAGGCTTCTATCTGCCATTCTTGCCACCTGGTTAAAATTTGTGTCTCCTGTCACCGCAAGATGGCACCGATGAGTACCGGATTGTGAAAGAAAAAGATGGCAATGAATAATGTATATACTTATAAAAACGAGCAAACAGGAAGTCTAAAATCGTGACTAAAACGAGAAAAGTGACAGAACAATGAACAATAAGCCACGAACAGCTCCGTTCATTTTCGTGCCTCTTACTCATCAGGGGAACCCAACGAGAATATGGTTCAAAACCACTTAAACATAGCATTGTTGAACGTATTTTAGAATTTAAACGGTACATATAGGCATATTTTTATCCCCTAAAAACTTTTCATCTGTTCGGAATTCCTAGCTGAAAGTCCAGTGATCCGAAAATTATAGGGATCAAAACTTACCTTTTCGAAAATTTTAGCCGGAAAAAAGGCTCCCGAAAATTCTAGGTGACCTTTGTAGGGTAAAAATCCGTTAAAAATAGGCAATTATACCATTTTTTAGCTGTTCGAAAATCCTAGGAGAGGCAGGCAAGCAAGAAATTTTACAACAAATGTTCCCAAAATTCTAGATCCCAAATCGTCTTCCGAACAGATACTTTCCGAAAATTGACGTTGGGTGCCCCTGACTCATCTTAGATGCGTCCCATTGGTCTCGATTCGTAGGGGTTAATAAAAAGAATTTATAAACATGAATAACTTTCAACCGGGTTTTGGAACCTCTGCGTGGTGGTTCCATTTAACATTTTCATTTGACAAACGACTTCTGTAGACCTCTTTTTAATTAGCTTCCCATTTGAAAGACTACTTTAAAAAAACCTTGAATTGCCGAAAGGTACTTCAGAGTTTCCATAAGGTTCAAAGTGAGAGGACTGATGAGGTATGAATCTTATACGCGATGGTGCGGTAGAACAGTTGCAGTATGTCTTAACAAATTTTGAACTCCTTCCTCTACCACCTTTACAAAAATGGTTCGTTCCTGTTTTATGGCAGCATTTTTGAGGAGCAGAAATGTTATTTCATGGATTTTTCATGTAGTTGTACTGTACCAATATCTGTGAATTTTGACGGTGCTAAAAATTTAACTTTAATTTGAATTTTATGTAGTTATACTACATAACTTATTCATGAGCGACACTCGGTTGGCTTGAGAAGCTCACTTGTGGTATTCTGACGTTAAGTGAAGATTAACTTACCAGTACCTGGCAGGTAAGAGCCAGTATGATTACGGCGCAAGGCAGACACCGCGAGACAGCTGTTTTACTCCTGCTGGTTAAGTTTGCTTAAGCACATTAGAACACTGTTGCTTGACACAGCGCTCTGTATGGCCCTAGCTGCATGGAAAAAATCTGTTGCTTTTGTGCTGGTTGGTTTTGCTGCTAGCCGTCCACTTCTTTTATTTGTTGTTGAGCGAAAAGGAAAATCTTTCAAGGTGGAACTATAAACCAACTCATTAAAAATTTCTATTTTCTTTTTAGCGGGTAATATTTGGTAAACGTCAAATCTACATTATAGAAAGCTAGTCAAAATTTTTTCAACATTTCAGTGCTAGCAAAACGAAACAGCTATGTTCGCGCGTCTAGGCAAATAGGTATCTGAAAACATGGTCAACCTCCAAACAACTTTATTGTTAGGAGAATAACAAAATGGTTATACAAAATAGTGAGTAAATGCACTAATTCAGAACTGGTGCTTGGTTTTTCTACAGTCCTCATATAAAGAACGACTCAGTGAAAAGTAAATCATAATCGTGTATAATATTCACCTAATATGCAACAGAAGTAGTATCAAGAAATGAAACTATGGCGTAACTTACTTGGTGTTACGGTAGAACCAACGGCTTTCCCATCGTCAGAACACATTCCAAAAACAGCGATCAATGTTGTCACGCAGATCACTGTATAAAATCCATAATAAACAATTTCTTGTACATTGATTCCTCGCAAAAAAGCATCGGTGAGGAACTTCATTATACTCGACTGGGTATAGGAGCACCAAAATTAATTATTACTGTTTTTCGTAATAGCAACATTAATAGCCTTTGAACAGGCTCTCCTTTCCCTCTCCCCACCCCGCTCGACTAAAGGCCTGTTCACAGGCTACATTATTAAAAAAACTCTAATATCTTGTCTTGATATAAGCAGGTGAAATCTATCAAACGCGTTGTCTTAAATAAACAGTTTTTACGTCTGAGAAGAGCAAAGGAAGTGATTATTGGTCGCAGATAACGACAATATTTCACCACAATTAATATCACTGTATTTTCCTGTTAACAAACGTATATATAAATAAAAATAAAGAATATAGCAACGGGGATGAAATTCTCTGCTTTTTCTTGGGTACTTAAAAAAGTTTCTTTATTACTTACTTCCAAACAGGCGATGGCCGTCCATATTACGGTAGTCTACCCGGTTAGGGCCCTCTTCGTTGCCGTGGAAACTGCAATGGCACTTGCAAAAGGGCGGCTGGTCGTGATCTGGTAATATCCTTCTTGATGCAATTCGAGCACTAATCGGCAGTTTTCGCGGTCAATACTCATTAGAGATCACCAGAAAGTGCTCTTATCTTGCAATATCTAGAAAAGTAGTACAATTCTTCTACAAGTAAACAACTAGAAGGCGTCTATCCGCTCCTCAAAGATCAACCAACGGAAATGACGTGTGCTGTCCAAAAATCTGGAGGCTAATTGGTTGGCACGGCGGGGTGTGTTTATGGCCCACAAAGCATACTTTTCATGCGTTAATGGCTTCCTTTGCCCTCACTGCACGTTTTACGATTGTTGTACGGTAATTGTATCTTTACAAAAATCTTTAGATTATAGTGTAATTTTCATAGCGCGTGTTAAATCTTTACCAACTTTCTTTCTCTGGATTATCTTGATTTATCTCGTTGCTCTTGAGGGATAGACTTTTAAGTTTGCTTTACACTTCTCGCGGGTTCTCACCTCTTATTCTTTCTTTCAAAAATGTACCATTTTCAATACAGAGCTCCCGGTAAATATTAAAAGTTTAGCGACTCGTTAATTACCGGCACATTAGTGAAATTCCTGTCAGTAGAATCTAATTCATCTTCTTAGTAGGCCACGCCTTGTACAGTATTGTAAAATACTGCCGTAGCAATAATTAAATTTCTCAAAAATTAATTTGAGTTAATCTTTCTCCTTCTATAATTTATATAAGATCCGTTAGGTGGGGGATCATTCAGAACTTTTACTTGCGTCTGGCGAAGACAGACAAACAATATACCAAGAAAATGAAGTTTTGATTTGTTTATTTCTTTTAGCTTCCCTTTACTTCTCACCCTTGGTTAAAACTAAAAAACACGACGTGTTTGATAAGTTATACTTCACAATTATCAAAACTACTTTATTTTCTGCTACTTAATTCACGATTAAAATAGTACACATCAATGTTAGTTATTGCAAAATTTTATTTTACCCTGAAACAGCTAGATCACGCAAGGGCAACCTTACTTCGCATTTGTGTGAGTTAATATTATTTCCGCTTGAGTTACTCGTTCGAAACTCGTGTTTACCGTAATTCTACCAGGTTGCCTAGCCGTTTCTCCGGAGTAAGAGATAGTTTACACATATTCAGTAGGGGAGGGGAGGGTAATATATTTCAGCTGAGCAGAGGTGAACTCTCCTTTGATATACCCCTCTAAAGAGCGTTTTCACAGAACGTCAAGTTCACCATGTTGGTGTTCCTGTGAAACCAGTCCTGAGGGAGTTGAGCCTTTCTCTTATGTAAAAAAAAAAATTCTTTTATTCCAATAAATTTGCAAAGCTGCTGCTCACGTGAGTGAAAACGCTCATAATGTACGAACACCCTGCCCCGCCCAAGCCCCCCCCCCCCCGCCCTCCCCCGACTTCCAAAGAAAAAACGGACACTCAGAGATGTTCCCGGTTGCCCCTTGACCATCTGTAAGATTGACATCTTTCCATTACAATCGTTAGCGAAAGTCCCAATGACATAGTGCCCGTCTTAGAAAGAGCAGACTGCATGATATGCACCGAACTAGAGGAGAAATATGTGTCTCCTTACAATGCATTGCGATTCAAAGAAAGTACTGGTCGAAGTTTTCGTGACATCATAGTTCGGCTCAGACGATATCAACCTCGTTCCCAGGGTTCTTTCTCAACGCGTCATTGCGTAGCGTTAGTGAACGTGCGAAACCCCAACTTGTACATCTTAACCCTTCATATTCATTCAAGGTCTCGATCCCTTGGACTAAGAAGTAACAACAGCATTGTTTGCCGTCAAAATATAATACAGATCTTTGTGTTTTAAAATCTTTCTAAGAAGCATAAATAAAATAAGAAAATAATTCTTTGAATTTTTGCAAACAAATACTTTAGAGATTAATACAAAACGCTCAAAACATAAGCGTCAAAAAACTAAAGAAAGCGTAAGTTATATTAATACATATTAAGTCTACTTTACTTAGAAATTTAAATCTGCCATTCTTGTCACCTAGTTAAAATTATTGTCTCCTGTCAACGCGAGATGGCACCGACGAGTACGGCAATGAATAATGAATATACCCATAAACGAGCAAACAGGAAGTCTAAAATCGTGACTAAAACGAGAAAAGTGGCAGAACAATGAACCACGAACAGCTCCGTTCATTTTCGTGCCTTTTACTCATCTTAGATGCGTCCCATTGGTCTCGCTTCGTAGAGGAAAACAGAAATAAAAACAATTTATAAACATGAATAACTTCGAACGGGGTTTTGAAACCTCTGCGTGGTGCTTTCATTTACCATTTTCATTTGACAAACGACTTCTGTAGACCTCTTTTTAATTAGCTTCCAATTTGAAAGAGTACAAAAAATATAATGTTTTGTCATTGAAACGTTGTCTACTTTCGGAAGAAAGTAAAACTGTTGCCGGTTTAGTCTCTCGAATAGCAAATAATGAAATAGTTTTATTGGTCCTTTTGAGGTCACGTGCGAGACTAAGTCGGTGGGAGTCGAATAGCTCTATGGGACTGTCCCAGAATGCAGTTCGACATTAACACAACCCTACCTGACAAGAGGCTAATAGAAAACGCATCTATATCTTACTCACAGTAATAAAAAAAATTAAAGACTATTAATTTTTATCTGTTTGTTTTTTTTCCTCAGTCTCATCCTGTGCTTCTTGAAGCGGGACGTCTTCACTTACAACGCCATTAGCAGAATAGTAGACATACTTGTAAAAGTAAGACATTAACATGAACACGAGCATGACCAACGCCAACAGTCCGGCGAAGAAGAAAAACTCGTTTGCCTAAAAAAAGGGGAAAAGCAATCAGGAAAAGTTTTGCCAACAGTTTCACTGCATATAACTTTACCTTACGTACAGTAGAAGGGTGGAAGAAGGAATAAGCAAAAAGGGGGGTAGGGCTCTTAGAGACGAAGACGCCTACAGGAAGCCTGTGGTCCAAGGGGTTACGCTTCCTCTCCAGTTAACATGAATGATTTAAATTGCTGAAGGCCTTTTCACTTGTCAAAAGACACGGATCGGCTAGGGTAGAAATTAGTATAGGTTCTGACAAAACATGATAGTTTACACGTACAAGTTTTTTAACGCAGCCGAAAGAAAAAGGCATGATATTGAAGAGCACCGGGCAATTGGGTTAAAGACTGTTTACGCGTCTTTTTTCATGACCAGTATTGATAAAACCCCCAAGTTCTATTGCAAAAAAGATTGGGGGCATTAGACCTTGAAAAGGAAACGAAAATGTGGGTACAGAAACGATTTTTATCCATTTCATTCCAAAAGAGGACCAAAGGCGCTTATGCATGGACTCTTTTGGAAAGGTGCGGAGAAAATTGCACATCAATGTTATCGTAGCCGACCTCCTTTTTATCCGAGCATTCCATTTTTTTTCGCCCGTGTAAACGGCGCGCCTTGAGTATCGTTTTAAACCGCTAACGCATTAGTGAAAAACTTTAATTCGTGCGGACACAGCCTCAACTGTTTTAAAAACAAACCTAGCATCACCCGCATTCCCAGGAAAAAGGTCTGGGAACGAGACCGAAGCAAGTGTCAACTTAAACCTACCATGTTGTCTGTCAGACGTGCTTCAGCAAATATAACAACAATAGCGTTTCCAACGGAGACAGTCAGCAACCAGCCAGCCATGATGCACGACTTCATGCTAACGGGAGCCTGGGAGAAAATTAACAGAGCATGGCAAATGAGCGATGTATAAGGCTTATTTTACACGCTAAATCGGCCATTTTTTCTTGATCGATAAGAAGGCGCGTACATTCACGCAATTATTTTAGTACAGTGAGACCACTCTCGGTTGAAGGGGTGAAAGTGATAGCTTACCTGAGAATAGGCGAATTCCAGTCCTGTTATAGAAAACAGCACTTCTCCGGTAGTTATGGTGAGATATTGAGGAATCTGCCATAACATGGAGATTGACATGGGATGCACATCCGCGAACTTGATAGCGATGAGCTAAAAAATAGTTTTCAAGCCACCTTGTAAGTATATTCATCTTATTGAACCGATAACAACTTACTTCTGACCATCAAAACAGGCAATAAAATGCAAACGCATAGCAAAAACAACGCAACGTAAAATGAAAAAGCGGAAGCGCGCGGAAAGAACTGAGCGCGATTTCCGGTGATTAATTTGCCGCTCTGCTATTGGTCAAGTCCGTTTTAGAACTGCATATGCAGTCGTCAGTGTGATAACCGGGCAAAGCCACAAATGTTGTGAGAATACTAGGCCAACATTGTGACAATGATGGAACTGATTGATCAGGAATTTACGCAAACGAGAAAACTAAATTCTAACCTTGTCCTTTTTGCTAGGATTTGGTTGAATCACAACAGAGTAGACACCGCCATTGGCAAAGTACATTTTCTGATCCAAAAGTGCTTTATCTGTTCCCGCTTCCATGACCTTTAATGAATACCTAACAAGGAAAAAGATTATTGTTTGGTTCGGATATTTTTGAAAACTTTGAGCACTTTTCCGATCCAACATAGAAATGAGAAGGGGTACAGAACGGTCAATTCACCAACAACGAATACCGCGAAAGGTTAACCGATAGCTATTTTTCGGAGGGAGAGAAGCTAACCGAGTCTTGAATTCTCGGCATTTATCATTAAGGTTCCGTTCTCGGCTCGTCATCAGGCAACCCCTTTTGCAACAGCTATTGATGCCGACGGAGGAGGCTAGTCCCGGTCAATTTTCATGAAGTTCAATTTTCGAGGAACACATCCAAGCTTTGAAAGGTCCTGAAAGAATAAATTCGTCGTCGTGTGTTTACGTTGTCTATAAACCGCGGCGCCGCGTTTGTAATGTTACCTCAATCGTGCAGTCCTTAAGATAATACGTTCTTCATTTTGAGTTGTCTAAGATAAACAAACACAACCTCGATTTCTTGTATCGGCAGATTTTATCACTTGTTTGCCCTCTGAGACACCACGTGACATTGCTTTTAACCCATCAGCCCTTTAGCGCGTGCAAAGATGTTTCAGCTTTTGAAATCACTAGGTTTAATAGCCGTCGCCGTCGAAGGCGTGGTAAGGTACTTCATGTATGGGAACATATATTGTACCTAAGGTAAAGTTTAAAAGAAGTTGTGTTAAAGTTGAAGTTGTGGTACAGTATATGTCCCTGTACATAAAATACCTACCGCAAAGCTCGATTATCGGCCGCTGTTCAGGAAATGAGACCTTGCTCTGGCACCTCGAGAGAGAAACCGAGCCACTCGCAGTCGAGTCGAGTGGTGGTTGCTTAAACTTCTCATTGACAAAAGAGCTGTTAAAAAGCCTGCTTCTGTATAGCCTACGAACACAGACGTATTTCCTGTCGTCGCTTCTCTCCACCCGAAAAATAACGTCTGCAAACCTCACCCGCTAAATGATTTGTGACGTCAACCTTTTGTTTTGTTGCTCGAGTGTCTCCTCGCGACCTCGCGAGCTGGCGTGTGAAGAGAAACGTCATCGGTCAATAACAGCCGTTTAAAAAATGAAAGGTCCCAAAAAAATTTCATGTACAGTTAATTACTTTTCCGCTTACCTCTTTGACTGAAGTTTCTTATAGTCAGAATCTAAGAAGGTCCCAACTCCTTTGTACGTTAACGATTTGTTAAGACGGATATCTACTGAGGAAGCTAAATCCCCACCCGTGAACAAAAACCTGGAAAAAAAATGAAAGGAAGTCCTCTTTCAACGGAACGGAAAAAATATAGCTCGCATACTAAAGGGCCATTTTACAGTTATGGATGAAGTGAGGCTAATGGTGACCTTGTTTTGATACAAACCTTCCTGCTTTATTATGTAAATCAAGTTATTTTTATGTTAACTAGTATTTTTCAAGGACAATTTCCATAACAAAGTAAAGGAGGTTTGTATCAAAATAAGTCCACGACTGTAAAATGTTCTATTCCTCATCGTTTAGCGTTCAATACTAAACCAAAGACTGACGAATGCTCCTGTACATTTAAGTCGGTGGCGGGCCCGGTGTGATTTCTAAACAATTTTTACCGCGTCAATAAGCCGTGGATGAAAATGTACAAGTAATGTTATCGATATATTTTCACCAAGCTCTAAAGTGCAGCGTGAAGAGTTTGAGTCGGTGAAGTGGTGAATTCAACTCTTAGGCAAAATTCTCGTCTTATCCAATGACATTTTCTGTCTTACCTAACTTTCGTTTCTCCTCCTTTAAGTGGCTCGACAATATCCTCCAACTAGAATTAAGAAGAGAAAAAATTAACCACAGCATGAGTATAAATTTAAAGTACGCAGAAATATCAATAGACCTTTTACTTCCCCACGTAAGACCACGTGATTAAAATACACATTTCCCCGAATGAGCCTCGACTTCAAGCTAGTTCCAGATCGCTACCGAGGATACAAATACAACGAATCAAGCTCGCATCATACAGTTTAACTTACCTTCTTTCCAATCAGGGCATTCTTTTCAATTCCAACAACGAAAGAAGAGGCGCCTTTGTCTTTAAATGTGACATCGAATGAGTCCGTGAGTTCACTCGCGCAGTTCACTGTCTTCACGTTTATGTTACTCAGCGTAATAGGCACATGATAGTACTCCGAAGCCTTTAAAGCAAACAGTAGAGACCTTTAGATTCGAGCACGAGAACGACTGTTAGTAAGCGATTTGATTTAAAGTTTTTTCGAGTATTGTCAAAATATAGACACCCGTGACCCCGGAATTCTTCATTGTCCTTTTTTTTTACCAGAAAAGTCAGTCCCAGAAGTCAGTGCAAGCCTAGTTTCGTACTAGTTTCTAAAGTGGCAAATACACCAAAAAATCCCTACCTGCATTGGGGGTATCTCAGCATTCAGACCAAGGCCGAAAGCATTGATGGGACAAACACCTGCATTTATAATACGAAGATTGGCAAAAGAACTTGGTGCCTCGTTAACTGCCACACGGCTGTTCTGTAAAAGAACACAAGATCAGAGATTAACTCCGCTAAAAACAGTACAGTATAAGTCACATTGATTTATTGACTGATGAGAAGATAACCCCTTAGGAGACAAAATAGAGAAAATTCAAATCCCTTCATTACTTACTTGAATTGCTATTTGAACAAAGGCTGCCATCATAAATGAGAATGCTGCCAGCAGCATCCCTGCACACATACGCTGTAAAGGCCTGAAAAAAAAAAAGACAGCCAGAAAAATTTTAATTTTTTTGTAAAATGCTAAAAACAGACAGCTTCGTGTAAATGAACTGCTGAAGAGGTTTAATTTGAATGGATACACTAAAGGATTTCATCCACAGACTCAAAAGTTAGAACTAATACAAAGTACCACGGGAAAGTACTGCTCACAAGTTTTCATTTGAATGGTCACACGATAGGATTTCATCCACAGACTCAAAAGTTAGAACCGGCGTGTACAGCATAATAAACAGTACCACAGGAAAGTACTGCTCAGTAGCTTTCATTTGAAGGGTCACATGAAAGGATTTCGTCCAAAGACTCAAAAGTAAGGGGGAAGGTAAAATGCATCCATAGTTTACCTTACAAGTAGATTACATTTCTTCAATGTAGGATAAATAAGTGTCTCAAAGATTGGAATCATGATCAAAATAAAAACTGGATTGAGCGCCTGAAAAATAATGCAAAACACAGCAATATATATTTTTTTCCGATGATGAGGTATATTGCAATCAAGTACAATTTACAACTGTAGATGTAATGCACTGCTCTGTGGCCAGGTGACTTAAATGTTACAACTCACATAAAGCCCTCTAATGTTAAAAGCTATCATAATGTTTATTGAAGTTAAACATACCTGGACTTGATCTGGCTTCAAAGTACCAAATGCACCCTGCACGAGAGAAAAGAGGGTCATTTCAAAAGCTGTACCAATCAAGTAGAGTTGTTAAAAAATGGTTTCTGTCGAGGTTAAAAAAAAGTCGCAGGGATACGAAACTAAATAGCCAACTTACAAGATCCCCATTCATTTCTTCAGCCTGGAGTGTCCAGCGTGAGCCCTGAAAAAAAGAAAAAAGGCAAGTCAGGAATACTGAGTTAATTTCAGCTAGTAATCAGAGTTGGGTTCAAACTAGGGGCCTTCGGAATTGCAAGTCCAGTTCAGCCCTTTTCCTGCTTGCGAAATGTGCCTACCATACTTCTTGATGACTAAATTTGTTTAAAATAAGTTAAGGTGGGTTGTCCCTTGTTGTTTCAAACATTTAAAGGACATAGGAAAAATACTTTCCTTAACATCTTAAACGGCCTACAGAAAACGTATGCAGTCAAAACTTCTACCATTGGCCACCTCCCCAAAACGGCTACGTTTCTTTGTTCCAGAGAAAAAAAACATGTATTCACTTTTGTAACCTAAAAAAGCTGTTACAAACTTTCCTTTAACTTAGGGCTAGGAAACTTGGTTGAAGACTGCTCAACTTGACAACAGATTTTATCTACATGTACAAAACAATGTCCACTTCTGTTTGCTCTATACTGAAGGTAGCCATGGTGGAGAAATTCAACTGTACAACTATTAACAAACAGAAAACGTTAAGAAAAACTCTCACTTGTTGATCAAACAATGTCCAGAAAACAGGCAGAGGAAGAAACATAAAAAGAACTTTAAAAAGTGCCTTGACATCTTCAACCATGCGGGACTGTAACGTCATAAGAACACAATAAAATTAGTAACACAAACATTACTTAAAACTGTAGCTTTCATTCCACCCAGTTTATAAAAAAAGCAATCTCCACAGTCACTGTACCGTAAAGGACTGTGAAACTTTGAAAAACGTTCAGCACACACCTTACATTGTAGGAGCATAACCAAAAGAGTGGTTGCATTAAAAAATGATTACTTACTCCATAGTCCTCCTTAGCAAAGTCCATCCAGTGTTCTTTTTTCTCACCAGATCCAATGCTTTTTATTTTCTTTTTGATGGCATTCTAAACCAAACAACAAAAGAACCTAAGACACAGCAAACTTGGAAAAAAAATTGTACCAACATAAAATATTATGAAATTTTGGTAACAAAAGCTACACAATTAGACATACATCTGTAGTCAACATCACTGTGGTTGACAAAAACAGACAACTAACCAATTATACCCCCATCCCTACATTTCCTATTTTGTTTGACTTGACCAAAGCATTTTTCCCTCACAGTCAGGTAAGCAATTATTTTTAATTCTGATAACCCAATATTTTGATTAGTACGGTACTTGTAATGTTAGGAGAAAATTATTATGGTGGTCTCTGTTAAAGAGAAATCCACTATTGCTCAACATACCCCAACAGCACATCCAACAAGGAGAACAATATTTCCCTCTGGGGGAACTTTTTTGTACTTGTTACGGCCACAGAGAAATAAAGCTTTAAGAAAGAAAAGAAAAGCGAAAGGATTAAAGCTTACAGTAGTTATCAATGTCATGTGCCCTTGATATATTGAGGGCTCTTTCTCCCTGTTAAAACTTGACTTTTCAACAATTTCAATGGAAATAATCTTTTAAACACCTAAAATATTTTGCATACAGAAAGTGCTATTTCATTCATTCAGAGGCCATCTTATCGTGCCCTCCAACACAGCAAAATTTTAAAACCTTTATCAGTCAAAAATTAATATTCTTGCAAGTCTTTGTCATTCAGCTGATAAGATGAGGGAACATTTTCTGGCCATTAAAGCACAGGAAAAACCATGGATGAAGTTGATTAACACTGGGGTTTCAACTGAGAGAAAAAAAACTGAAAATGCACATTTTATTGGTATCTGCACTAAATTTACAAACTTACTATGTACAAATGATAAACATAATTACATTAAGAATTAAATGCATTACCTTTCAAGAGTGGTAATTATTTTTGTGTTTAATTGAATTATTTTAATTTTAATTTAATTTTGTGTTTAACTCACAGCAACCAAGATTAATACAGTCACAGGTATATACTTTGATGTCATCATAGTTTTTTCTTTTTCTTTTTTCAAAGGACGAGGCAGATACGTTAGAATGGCAAAATGCGAATAAAAGGTGTAAAACTTATACTTACCTAATGACAGTATCATTAAGACAGCTGGAACTCCGAAAGCCAACATGTAACAATCATGACCAAAACAAGATACATCACCTAAAATATTATAAATAATTACAAAACCATTAAATACTCTGTACTTTGTATCAAGAAGAGTTTCTTCTGAAATGTTAACTGTAAATTAAAGTAATAATGATGGTAAATAAGATTGTAAATGAATTTAGCTCATCCTTGTACATTCATGTTATATACCATAGTGTGGTTACACTAGTGATTAGGCTGGTAACTGAAATGACATTTATTTTCAATGGACACAAAACTGGGTTGCCTGTGAATGTAGTACAACTTTGGGCATCCTGTAGATATCCAGGGACAGATTTCCCTCTTTTCATGAATGGATGCACAAAGATGCACAAAGATTTTGAATCTCAGTGGGATTTGCTGTTCTTTTGGGTTTGGGGCTCCAAATGGCATTTCTTTGATGGGAATATAAAATATATGAAACATATGCAAACATGTTAAAATCATTAACTAAAAATCAGTGCATTGTGCTCCATGTGCATTGTGTGATCATGCTAACCTCGTAATATTGGTGTTATAATTGTAGACAAAAGGCTGCCAAGATTGATGGCAAAATAAAAAATAGAGAAGAATCTCTGAAGTAAATGCTCCTGAAATGATGAATGAAAACAAAAGGAAAAAAAAAATAAAATGTAACAAAGTCATGCACAAAATATCAACTGATATACCTCTTAAAATGGGTGTGACAATCATAGATAAAAGGCTGCCAAGATTGATAGCGAAATAGAAAATGGAGAAGTAACTTTGAAGCAAATGTTCCTGAAAAGAGAAAGTGCTGGACAACATTAAGCCATATCATAGGTACATGTATGTTCATGCATCAGGGTTGTCACTAAGATTTCAAGTTGCCGGGTAAACACAACAAGTAGGCGGGGAATCAAACGGCTTGGGATTTTTTTTGGTTCTATTTTTCTTCTATTTTCCAATAAAAGTAGCCGGGGCCACTCTTTTAGTAGCCAGGGAAAATCCCCGGCCCCCGGCTCTTAATGACAACCCTGATGCATCAATAAATTACCACCCTGTAATCAAATAGACAAGATTGATGAGATAATTGGAGGAAGAATGATTAGTACAAGAACAATATTAACATTTTACAGAGTGACACATCACTGAAAAATACAAAGATTTGTTACCTACAGGACGGTATAAATCGTTTCTGTTACCTACAGCTACATGTAATTTAACAAGGTAATGAATGTGAGAAAAGAATAGCTAGATAACACATGTGCATGCATGCATTTTCCGCAAGCTAATAACTTCTGTCAAAATAGGAAGGCTCCCCGCTGAACAGCTATACAACAAAACAAAATTAATGATCTTCTGAACTATAAATTAAAAGAGGAATTACATCTTAATTCAATTAAATAATTTATTCAAAATCATGTCAATGTTAAGTACTTACTTGGCTAGCAGTGAATTGATCCCCACCAAAAGCTGAGACACAAGGTTTGATTCCTCCAGTGCCAAGAGCAATTAATAACAATCCTATCATGGGACCAGCACTGTGGAAAGAAATCAAATTACATGTATATGCAAAGTAATATTAAATAAATTTCTTGAGGAAATTTATCAGGCTACATGTAGCAAGAAAGAGTATGTAGTCAAACTTTAATAGATTATAAATCCTTCAACCAAAATCTGTTCGTTAAAAAAGGTGATAGTTTCGATACGTTTCAAGCATCTTTCTCAAAACTACTGAAGTGAATATTGTCAATAGAATGGTGTTAATTGCAACCACAAAATTCATCTCTACCCCGAACCAGAAAAGGGGAGGAGAGAAAGTCTCCCCGAAGTGGCTGTGTGCTTGAATGTCATTGCAATTACAGGTAACATCTATTGACAAGAACACTAGTTCAGCCTGTAAGGACATAATGGTTGCTGCAATTTTTAAACCACTAATCTTCAGTTTACAAATGTAATAATAAAAATAAACTTACAGTTTTACTTGATCTAAGACTGCTGGAATTGATGTTATAGCCACTGTAATGTTTCCTATTATGTAAACTATTGAAACATAAAGTATCGTTCTGGGGAAGAAAGACAAATTCCAAATGAGTTTTATTGAATATTTAGCTTTGTCATTGTAATAATCTGTAATAAAAAAATTATGTTTAACCACAAAGCACTTTAGAGTTCTGTACACCTTGTGTTGATGTGTCTATGCCTTCTAGATCCAATTGGAATTTGGAAGTGTCGGTTTTTGTGCAGAGGGAAAGACTGAAGTACCCAGACAAAAAACCTCTCAGAGCAAAGGAGAGAACCAACAAAAAAATTCAACCCACATACATTGACACCGTGCTATACTGGTGGCTGGGAAGGCAAATGCTCTCATTACTGCGCAACCCCTGAAGATCAAACTGCATAATAATTCCACATCTGGAGCTTACTTGTATTTGCCTAGCAAACTGTCAGCTAACATGGCCCCAAAGAGAGGACTAAAATAACACAACATGTTGAAAGCATGATAAATCGCTGTTGCAGAATCATCATCCATCTTCAGCATCTGTGTTAGGTAGATGACAAGAATGGCTGTGGACAGAAAAAAAAACAAACTTAAATGTTTACGCCATAATATCCATATACTGACTGCTCTTTATACACAGTACATTTATAAGATCCTCAACCCTTTAAGCCCTAATATCCACATACAAATTCTCCAAACTGATCTCCATACATTTCCTTTAAGAATTAGTTGAGAGAATTTGATAAAAGATCATGGAATTTTCTCTATGGTGATTATTTTATTAATTCTCATAACTTTATCTCTTGACAATGTATGGATATTATTAGGAGAAAATTGTTTTTGGTCACTATTGGCACTTAAGAGGCTGTCCGCGTAAGAACCGATAAGGCAAATTTTGGTCTATCACGGATTGTCCTGATTTTTTCAGTGGAAGATAACTATCCTATCCCATGAAGAAATATCACATTTATTTGGACCAACTCAATTTTTTCTCTATTTTACAGAAAGATTTTTTTGGTCACCTAAAACTGGCCAGTTTGCCGTCGGAAGTGGTGCGATTTTAAGGAAGCTATAGGGCTCTTGCAAACCTACCTTAGATAGCCGAATAAGCTGATTATTTTACACATTAATGTTTTAACTCTGATTAATAGTTTCAAGGTTTAATGGTTGCATTCTGTGGAAAGTTGGCTGAGATATGATTTTTTTAAAATGACCTTTAATTTGCTTATCGGGAAAAGTAATTTGCATAACTAGAGCTGAACGGTAATTTCGCAAAAGTGGCAACTGACCCAGACTCAAGTCTATGATAAAACAGAAGCACTAAGACCAGTTTACTTCTTAATGCAATAAAATTTGTGGGCACTCCTCTTTGCGTGCTGTACAAAGTTCCGTTAATGTTCCAACATTCGCCATTTTGACAGCAAAGCTGGAATTGTAACGGTCTGCATCTGGTCGACTAATTTCCACAGCTTTAACGTTTCTAGTTATCACTAACTGTCATTAGACCCTTTAAATGTTGGACTTTCGAAAACATGTGAAGAAAACTTGGTAATCGCTTTTTCTTGTTTTTTTTTCTTGTCGACGATGAACGTGACTTCATTCTCCGTATGCAAATTAGCCTTAGATGCGTCGTTTCAACAACTTGACATGAAACAATCCTTACATTTCACTTTTCTAAGGAGAAAAATAACTCTCGTTTCCACAGAAAAACACGAACCATCACTTAGAATCCCTTTAAGGTCGGGTTTTTTTTTTGTTTAACGAGGAAGAAGCAGCTGAATAATATATCATGATATATGTTTGCGTGGCTTAAAATAATTCAATTACTGTGGCCTGTCACGCATTCCTAGAGAGGGGCGGTCGATTAGAAAACAATAGCTTTGAATCGATCAATTTTATTACATTATCATCTTTTTTTAAATGGTAGTTATTGATAATAATTAAAAATAAGAGTTAACTTGCAAGGTAAGTCCTCTTGTCAACACAATAAAATTTGTGGGCACTCTTTTTTGCTTATCAGATCTTTGTACACGGCACTATGATAAAAAAAAAAATGCCCCACACTTTTTCTATCTTAATCCATGTATAGCTTTGCAAAAGGCAAATTAGCTGTAAATTTCAGTTTCATTCAAAGATCTTTAAAGCGTTTATCGGTAGCAGAATGAAACGGAAAAAATAGTTTCTTTTACAGTAAATACACGAAAAAGGGATTATCTCAGTTTTTAGGTTTTGTTAGGGTATAACATCCGTATTCCCAAGATGATCTTGTTTTTTGGTTTCAATCTAATTGAATTATAATGCAACAGGTGCCAGTTTCAAATATAATTATGTCATTGAAATCGCCAAGAGATCAATTGTGAAAAAAAAGCTGTTCTTTTTTCGCGAGATCGTCAAGACAGAGTGTGGTCCCAGTAGGGGTGTGGAGGGAAATGTGTTGGTCGCAGAGTGCATGAATGATATTACGTCGCACTTAGCCAGCTGTCACTTGTCTGAGTGTAGCAAAGTCAATGACTGAATGAACTCATTTTAGCGAGGGTAGAGGTTTGGTAGGTATTCGAACTGAAATGACAATCTGCCCAAGGCACAGACCATAAATAGCCTGTGTACAGCCCCCCCCCCTTAAGAAAAATCGGAGAAGGGGCCCCTTCTCCGAGGGGGTGGGGCTGGTGTGTACACAGGCTAACACTAAAATGACAATCTGCCCAAAGCACAGACACCTACTTGGCAGGTTTTTGCGAGCGCCAAGGTCTTATTAGGCTCGATTGTAAGTCGCTGTGTTGGAAAATGAGCCCCAAAGGGATTGGGAGCGGCGGAAATCGAGCCTAAGGTCTTGTCAATACCCCGTCACACTCTGGATCATACTGGCAAAGTAACTACTGTGGCAGGAAATAAGTCAAAGTTTTGCTTCATCATGTAAGTATCATTTTTTTTCTTTTTCATGCAAAAAATTTCTAAACGTACAGAGATATTCTTATTTCTCCATTTAACATTTTATCTTGCGATGTTTTCTGATGTTCGTTTCCAGTTCAGTTGAGCTTGCAAAGATAGTTCATTTATTTCTACTTTTTGACAGCTGTGTATCTTGCTCTAATCAATTCTTATCTATAAAATACTATACATAAAGGTTAATCCGTGTGTTGTAAAGATAGTTTTCTGATGATTGTTTGAAGAGCATCATAGATGGGGAAAAAAGAAAGAACTTTCTACACGGAGCCAGGATTCAACCTCGTCCCTAGGGCTTTCCCGCCCCTGCCATTTTCTAAGAAGAATGTCCCTGGGACGTGTGTGAAAAGTATTTCATTCTTGCAATAAAAACAATTTTTTTTAACTTAAACAGTGTTAAAACATGTCTCTGGTTTTGTAAAAATTAGTGAGACTTAAAAGTACCAGAATGTTCAGTTCAACTTTATATAGCCGATTTGCTCCTCCTGTGGCAAGAAACGTGAAAAAACTTGACGCCAAAGGGTCGAGAAGAGTACGATTGATCAGTCAGCAACCATGTCCACACCTTTGCCGGAGAGGTTTATTGGACAAGATTTCTCTCTTTTTCTTAGTTCTTTTTTTTTAAGAACCGCCAAAGATGCTGCTAAGGCTGCAATAAGCGCACTCGCCTTTTCATATACTTCACCTAGTGAAAGCCTACCCTTTCATATACCTGAAACCTGAAAAAGATACCCCTTTTCGGGCGGAGCCTCCCCGTATAGGCCATCATAGGGAGTTTCCCCACCCCTGCTCCAATTCCGTGCTAGCACTCACCTATTGCCAGCCCATGTTGGACTCTAGGCCCGTTTGAGTCAACACCTAAACATAGTCCTAAGTGTAATTACAATAAGGCAATGGACGAAATAACCAATGTAATGAACTTGAATATATATTGAACTTGACCATAGAGATCTGCTGCAAGAAGACGAAGTGTTCGAAAGGCAAAAGCTTGTTGCAGGAATCGCTGAAGAATAATTGAGACCACAACACCCTCAATCAGAAGCTTTCAACCTATGTGTATGTCAAAGAAAGATCAACCAAGTGAGTTCAACGTGGTAATAGAGCCGTAGAGCAGCTGCCTCCTCTGGACCTGTTGAGCCAGACAAATCAAGTCTGTGGATGGATTTGTTTTCTTTAGACTCAGTTATTTTGATTATAGTGATTTGCAAATGTTTGCCATTTTCATCTTCGAGGTCTATTTTTCGGAGACATATCTCATGACAAGTGCTGAAAATAGCATTTCTGAGCCTGCAAATTTGAAAATTTTTCAGGGGGAGGACACCCCCAGGCCCCGCTACAAGGCTCGTGCCTTCGGCTCTCGCGATAATGCCCCTCGTTACAAAAAACCTAGCTACAGCCTGGGTAATGCTTAAAAAAAATAAGTTGTGTCACTTTGAAATACCGTTCAAATCCAGGGAAAGAAAAGGAGACCTAATTTACAAACTTTCGTCTTTCATACACTGAGTGCACGTGTTTTTCTCCATCAGCTCAGTAGTAAACATAGACAACATAGGGATCCTTAATTTAGTGTGATTAACAGCCGGCAAAAACTTTGTGGATTTAACAGGAGACGGACCGTAAACAAAAAAAACTATGCCTTTTTCTTTTTTCCAAGTGACTACTTTTGGCTTATTGTCGTGTATTACACCATAGGCCGTCATATCAAACCCTATCCTAGTGGCGCCCGGTGATACTGACTCAGTTAAAACGGTCGTAGAATGAATCCCGGGGGGGCTACTTGGGTCAATTTTTGCTGGGTATGTGCCGCTGGCCTCTTAGAGCCCCTAGCCCATCATAGACTATTCTGTGGCCAATTATAGACCCCATCTCAGTCACTTTGGGGCAAAAATGTAATTTTTGCGATCTCAACTTAGTCACTTTCTATTTAAGTATCTACCTTATATTGAATGGAAAACACCAACAGTACAAACATTCTGGTACGTTTGCTAACTGCTAATATGAAGAACTGTCTAACCCCAAAAATCAGAAAAACGTGGCGACCCCATTCTAGTAAATTCTATTAAAAAACGAGACCCCATTATAGTCAATCTAGTCGTGAAAATGCGACCCCATCCAGCGGCACATCCCCATTAGCCTCTTATAAGCGAGTACCCTCCCGGGAATGAATAAATACAACAGCACGGTATTTCCCACTCAGTAAAGAATCGAATTAACAGTGATTAAATTGTATGATTATCAATAGCCTGTGAAGACTAAAGGCCTGTTCACGGGCTAGATTATCAATAACTATCACCCCCAAAAATATAATAAGATAAAAGAACTGATCGATACACGGTCACTCTGGGGAATGCGTGATTTGTTTCACAGTAATTAAATTATTTTAATTCGCAGAAACATATCTTCTTCTGCTGCTTCTTCCTCGTAAAAGAAACAGACCTAAGGGGATTCTAAGTCATACATCGTTCGTGTTTTTCTGTGGAAAGAAGAGATATTTTTCCCTTAAAAATATGAAATACAAGTATTATATTTCCTGTCAATTTGTGGAAACGACACAGCTAAGGCTAATTTGCATACGGAGAATGAAGTCATGTTCCTCGTCGACAATGAAAAAAAAACAAAAAAAAGCGATTACCAAGTTTTCTTCACATGTTTTCGAAAGTCCAACATTTAAAGGGTCTAATGACAGTTAGTGATAACTAGAAACGTTAAAGCTGTGGAAATTAGTCGACCAGATGCAGACCGTTACAATTCCAGCTTTGCTGTCAAAATGGCGAATGTTGGAACATTAACGGAACTTTGTACAGCACGCAAAGAGGAGTGCCCACAAATTTTATTGCATTAAGAAGTAGACTGGTCTTAGTACTTCTGTTTTATCATAGACTTGAGTCTGGGTCAGGTGCCACTTTTTCGAAATTACCGTTCAGCTCTAGTTATGCAAATTACTTTTCCCGATAAGCAAATTAAAGGTCATTTTAAAAAATCATATCTCAGCCAACTTTCCACAGAATGCAACCATTGAACCTTGAAACTATTAATCAGAGCTAAAACTTTTAGGTGTAAAATAATCAGCTTATTCGGCTTTGTGAGGCAGGTTTGACAGAGCCCTAAAGTTTCACCAAAATCGCACCACTTCCGGCGGCAAACTGGCCAGTTTTAGGTGACCGAGAAAATCTTCTTGTAATATAGAGAAAAAATTGAGTTGGTCCAAATAAATGTGATATTTCTTCATGGGATAGGATAGTTATCTTCAACTGAAAACATCAGGGCAATCCGTGATAGACCGAAATTTGCCTTATCGGTTCTTACGCGGACAGCCTCTTAAAGGGTTAAAGAATAATATTAGTTGAGAGAATTTGATTTAAAGCAAAAGCATTTTCCCTTTGGTGATCATTTCATTATTTCTTGTACTACTTGAAACAGTTCTACAAAACACAAGGTACATGTACCCTACACCACTACTGTGCAGTAGCCTTGCACCTCTTCAGAACCTTTCATTTAATTGGAGCCCTTTGGGTCGCAGCTCTTTTGTTTTCGGGTTAAGTTCCATTGTTAATTTTACATGCACTTGTTCATTGTTTCCCTAGTCAATCCTGTGAGGTCTCGCCAGAGCTACAAGGGCACCCCTACTGTGATCCATGGAATGACATGTACAAAGGTTTGAGCTTTGACCTCCACCATTCACTACTGCGCTTTTCACAAACATGCAAACTCTTAAGTTCAAAAGATATCTCAACAATTGCGTTTTTCACTGCTGTCAATCATAATTACGATCACAAGCAAAGAACCTTGAAACAGAGAAACACACAAAAAGGATTGAAATTCACCAATCACAAATCACAAACCTGATCTTTTGAACTCGTTAAAGTAAAGTTTTGTTTCTAAGAGGTCCATTAAGACGATTGAGGGCAACGAAAAACACAATCGTCAGTTGGCTTTTGAACTTCAGAATTTGCCTGTTTTTGAAAAGTGCACTAATGAAATGACCACGGTGACGTCAAAGACAATGGCAATAAAAACAATACGTTCGCAAAAAGTTGTTGGCAAAACAACAACTTTGAACGTGCATCACGCTTTTTTGTACATTTCTTTGCCGTCAGTACATGACTACAACTTGAAAATGCCTAATTTCACATTTTGTGGAGAATGAGAACACAAGACAACGACTTTGTTTTTCTTTTCTTGAACTATGATACAGTCTTTCACAACAAATTACTCCAGAAAAAATTGGCAACATTTGATGAACTGAACAAGATGGAATAAGCCCGATAAAGTTTGAAGCGTGAAATACACCTTTTAAAATAAATGACATTTTCGTAGCTGTAGCCCTAGCTGTCGTTGTTGCTTAAGCTCACTATTGTTATCACTAAAACTTACCATGCATTCCATAGTAAGAGAATCTCTCACAGAACTCATTTCCCAAAATGTACCAGACAGCACTGGGATAGCCAGTGTTATGAAATACATTCTGAAACCACAGAGGAATTTCAGTTACTTAAAATTTCTACTATGAAAATAAACAAATAAATTACTTTTACATGTTAGTGTATTATTTTGTTTCAGCAAATATAATAATACAAGAAATGAGAAAAAGGAATTATTTCCTTTTCTCATAGTTCTGTATTTGACTTCTATTTTTCTTTTCTTTTTTTTGTACGTATTTCCTTTCTTTTAGGATTGTTATTACTACTCTTTTCTCTTTATCAGTATTATTAGCTTTTACAGCTACTCTGTTAATCCGAGTTTTAAACAAAGGTGATGTTAGGTGATGTTATGTACATCATAATACGTGGACAGAAGTATATTTTGTAATTTGTCACTTTCATAGACTTCATTTTTCTTGGCATACAGTCGACTCTCTTTTAACGGACACCTCTATAAGACGGACACCTCCCTAAAACGGACACCTACAGAGTGTAGAGTTGGTCCCTGCCTTTCTTTGCTCCCTTTATTTGACTCTCTATAAGACGGACATCTCTCTAAGACGGACACTTACTGCCAGTCCCAAAGGTGTCCGTCTTAGAGGGAGTTGACTGTACACCAAACTGTACCTTTATCTTATCGATCCTGGACTCAGGCCTTTTTTCTTCTTTCTCTTTGTCTTCATTTTCTAGAAAATAGCGAAGTGGAAAAGATCAGTTCAAATGATGAAGTTTGTCTGCACTTTCTTAAATACCGTATTTATTCGATTAACCGCCCTGGACGCTTATTAAATTTTTGGACCTTGATTGTGGGCGCTTATTCGAGGTGGGCGCTTATTCGAGGCTGGGCGCTTATTAAATTTTCACCATTTTCAGCAAGTGAAGTATGTTTATTTTGCAACAAAATCATAAATGCTACTAACAAAACGCGAAGAAGTAACAAAGCAAGGTTTCTGTAAAATACTCTGAAGAAAACTCCGTCCTCAAGGAAGTCTCTTATTGGAACTTTTTCACTTAATTGGGTGGGGTGGGGGTGAGTGCTTATTTGAGTTTGATTGGGGGGAGGAGGGGGTGGGCGCTTATTCGAGGCTGGGCGCTTATTATCTTTTTCTGCCTTTAGGATGGGCGCTTATTCGAGGTGGGCGCTAATTCGAGGTTGGGCGCTTATTCGAATAAATACAGTATATGGTGATTTACCCTGTTACTGAGTCAACTGAAGAAAAAGACACACTAAATAACACTTAAGGTGACATTACACGAGACGATTCGATTTTGAGCACAACACAGCGTTGCAACATTTGTTGCGACATTGTTTCGAATAGTAACTGTTACAACACTGTCACAACAATGCAACGCTGTGTTGCACTAAAAATCGTAGTTGCAAATCGTCAGATGTAACACAACCTTTATATGTACATCAACCTGGAATAATAAATTTAATAACATTAGGCTTTCCTCAAATGGGTTGATATGCCTTTGATGGGTTGTACATTCATTATACAAATAACTTCTGGGTAAACTATGTAAGAAATGAAACAAAGTTTGTTGTTGTTGTTAAAGAAACAATGTCCCATAAACAGCTGTACCCCAATAACACAATACTGCTACTCTGAAAGAGGATTTTTAACAATCTAGTCACTACTTAAGACATAAATAATATTATTTATCAACCTTACTAAAAACCCTCTATAAATTTTTACTTTCTTGTATTTTCTGGTACAACATGTACTGTATGATAATAAGATTAAAATGAATGAAAAAAAGAAAGCAAAATATATAATCCTAATTTCATTGACAATACCGGGTAACTATTTTTCTGTTAACCATTTCCAGTACAGATGTATGTCATGCAAACCTTTATTTCCCTTTATAGCAAAAAACAGCTGTTGTATCCAATTAGCTTATTTATAATACACCCACACAGACCTCTACTCTAGCCGCGGTTATTTTCATCAAAACCCAAATTTCACCATCATTATTGCCGATAATGTGTCATAAAAATATAGCTTAAAGCAAAAGGAGATTAATTAAATCTACTGAAACAAGTTATTATTCAGATGTTCCAAAAATATTTGACCAGAAGAAAAATCCAATACAGTATTTTGTTGACTCTTTGATCAGCAGTACAGACGCCATTATTTCACTACTGCGAAGCTTTTTCTTCTTGAATCATGACACATTTTATCAACAAAATCAAGATAACTCTCTCTTTCTCTTTCTGCCTTCTTATGATCACGTTTTATTTTCAAAACAACAGATTGAAACAGTCGCATTCAAGCTCAACAGATTGGCCAGAGGTGAAGACTTCCAGATGCACTAAACCACAAATCAAAGCTAAGGTTTATAATGCGATGCACATGGAAAAAAGACTTGTAGAAAGAGTGTCTTTCCATAAATCATGCACTGAATTTACATATGAATGATATAAGAAGAGCGTAAAACGGCAAAGTATTGATCACTGAGGACAACGGGTTTATTTTAGAACACTTCATCATTTTTATAGCGTGCAATATATCGGTTAAAGAGTAAAGGAAAATAAATAAAGGAAAATAAAGTCACACTGGTGCTTTTATCATAAAATGCTGGTTTGGTGGCCAGCTTTATTACAATAACTGGTTTTCACAGTCACGCTGCTGGGACGAATTTTTTTCTGACTTCATATGAATTTAAAACACGAAAATCAAGCAAAGAGAATCGAATCAAGCCAATATTGATAAGCGTATTCAAGTCAACATCGATTTTCAGCTTAGCCTTAAAAATATAGAAACGACATTATTATTATTACTTTTTTTGATGCAAGACCAAAATAACATCAACATTTTGCTTCCTAGGCGACAACAAGTTTAATCATGAATTTAAAAACGTACAAAAGCGTCTCAGTTGAGGGGAGAATTATTTTAAACGACGCGATTTTACGTGTAATTACCTCCAGGTCGCATACAAAAATAAATCGCAAGGTACTTCCTTAAGTCTTCGTCGATCATCATAAGTGTTATGTTTTATATGAGGGTGAAATCCTGGGTGATACAATTCAAATAAAACTTATGGTACTGGGCAGCCGAGCAGCGTGACCTGAGCTTGTGATCTTTCACAGTCGTTCTCATAAAACGCCAATGCGGGATTCAAACTGAACGTTCACAACAAAAAATTATTTCACGTTATTTTAACTTACCTTGGATGGTTTTCAATTCCTCGTCAGTATCCGTATCATTTAAAGGCTTGTAACCAGTGGACGACATCTCAAACAATCACTTTCTCTCGACTTGGAAGGTAAAAGAGACGACTTTTACATGTTCAACAAACCAAAGCTCGTTAAACCAAAACACTCGTTTGTCATTCGATCCTTCCCGCTGGCGGGCATTTTGACACCGCAAGAGTTTTTAGGCGGGTGAAATACGAAGCAATTGGCCTTTTAAATCCCTGAAATAGGAGACTGAAAACCAGAGATGGTGTGGTGAAATGGAGATAAATTATAAATAAGCGGAAGGTGAATTTCCTGGTTTCATCGGGGCAAAAAATTCCATATTGACTTCTCGACCAACGCCTGCGCCTTGTTTCTTTGAATCAGCAGTTTCTTACTGAAAGGCAGGTGCAATACTAGTCGGGCCCAATCCTTTGCAACTAAATTAATTTCAAAATGGCTGCCAACACAAGCGCTACGTCCGTTACGACATCAATTAAACCTAATCCTTCGAAAAAAGAGAAAGAAACTTTGCTTGCTGTGTTGCAATTTTTAAAGAAGAACAAACTACCTGTAAGTTAAAGGATCGTAATGTGAGTGACGTTACGTTTCTTTGAAAGGAAAAGTTTAAACGCTTCTTGTTGTGTCTGTTTCTTCAGGAAACTGAGAAGATATTTAGACAAGAGGTCAATGGCTTGGAAGATATAGAAGAAATAAATCTGCAGACAACACCAGATTCAGAGGCAGATATCTCATCAGTATTATCTGCATATAATAGGTAGGATGAGAAAGTGCTTGAACGACGTGGACTTTAAAACAGATCATATCAGAAACATTTGCTTTGATCGTCTCTATCTGTCTGCCCACAGGGGGCCCACACAATAGGTTTGTGTAGCCGATTGTTATTTTATAGTAAATGTACTGGATTTACCGTTTGCTTCACCTATAGCGATATATCGCTAACTATGTATATAAATCAATGATAAATAAACGTTGAATTACCTTACCTGTGGTGTATAGTCATCCTTTTGCCTCAAAAGCGGTTTTTTTGAGCGATTTTGAATGAATTTGAGTTCGCCGTTGACTGTTCCATATAATAGAAGGACAAGGGAGGAATCCTTGTTTTGAAAGGGTTCCAAGCGCCGGGCGATTTTCACCCCAAAAATCGCATCGCTCCGCTTTCAAACTTCGCAGCATAAAGGTTAAAAGATTCACGATTCTTCGTATCTTCAATCGAAAATCCATCCAAACGGCCCGGAGCTAGCCCTCGAAGAAAATCAAAAATCCCACAGTATTCGGCGACTGGAATTACGTGGCAAGATCCATAAGTGCCAGCCAGAAACCGTCCGCTGATTGCCTCTTTTTTTGATTGGATGTGCGTTAAACAACAACAAGCGCTTACCAAGTCTTCTTCATCAGTTATTATTTAACCATTTGTTTTTAACGACATCCAATCAAAAGAGGCAATCAGGGACGGTTTCTGGCTGCAGCATTATGGATCTTCTCACAATTGGATGGATTTTCGATTGAAGGTGGACGAGAAGAATCGTGAATCTTTTTTACCTTTATGCCATGGGTTTGAAAGCGAGCGATGCGATTTTGGGGTGAAAATCGCCCGGCGCTGGAACCCTTTCAAAACAAGGATTCCTCCTTGTCCTTCTATTATGTGGAACAGTCAACGGCGAACTCAAATTCATTCAAAATCGCTCAAAAAACCGCTTTTGAGGCAAACGGACGACTATACACCACAGGTAAGGTAATTCAACGTTTATTTATCATTGATTTATATACATAGTTAGCGATATATCGCTATAGGTGAAGCAAACGGTAAATCCAGTACATTTACTATAAAATAACAATCGGCTACACAAACCTATTGTGTGGGCTCCCTGTGGTCTGCCAGATAGATTGATCACACAAGCGCAATGCACGTAATTAAAATATTCTGAATGCAAAGTTCAATAAATATTACGTACCTTGAAATCTACTCATGTGAAATGTGACTTAACACTAAGTTGTGTATTGTCTTGTAACGTGTGGCTTGCTTGACTTTTTTTTTTTCATCATTATCAGTGATGCAGACCCATCAAGATATGAAGACTATTATAGCAGGTAAACAATGCCTAAAACATTGCAACATTTAAGACTCTTAAACCCCACTTTGGATTAACTTGAAGTCACCCTACAATTTTATATTACAGTAGGTATGTCAAACCTGTAATGTTACTTAATAATTTTTATTAATTTTCTTATAGTTTACAAGCATTTGTTGAAAAGTCTTTGGATGTATACAAGGTAAGAATGTTAATCCTTCCACGTTTTATGATCGACATTAAAAATGAATTAATATGCTGAAAACTCGTTATTGTTCTTAGCATCATCATGTATGGTTCAGTTTTATCCTTGATTTTTGTATCTGTTAATTTTTTGTGTGTGTTTGTGGTGAACTCATTACCATATGCATAGTTTACAGCAAATTTAAAAACATCAATATGTTTTTAAGGATGTGAAAAATCAAACTTCCTCTTACAAACACTAAAAATAATAAATATTGTGTTTTTAGCCTGAGTTGGCCATGGTTTTGTATCCAATGTTTGTTCACATGTACCTAGAACTTGTTTATAAAGGAAGTGAAAAAGAAGGTAAGACTAACAATTTATTCTAGTCACACTTTTTATACAATTATTGGATGAGGTTTTTGTGATATCCAGATCGAGGTACATGTAACAAGGCTGTGCTCTAGCGGAGCATGGTGGTCCCTGGCGCCAAACTCTTGCTCTCAAAAAATAAAGAAGGACAAACACAGCATTGCATGGAACACAGTATGACATTGCTTTTGGAAATCATGCATTGCACGTCCAAACTACTAATCTGTTAGCAGATAACTAACTTACCGGTATGTGTTAGGTTGTGCTGCTGTAGGCTCTTAGCCAATGAGAAGACAGATAGTGAGTACAATGTATAATAACAGAAGAGATCTGACAGAGAAATCTGGAACAACAGTGTTTCTATATATGTTACATGTACTCCCATTGCCTGTGGTCAAGCCTATGAATAGCTTTGCCTTCTGTACAGGTATACAGGTGCACAGGTTTTTCTGCTCTGGGGGAAGGTAATGTGTCACATAAATTTAGGCTACCTGTTGGTTTGTTTGGGTAACTAACTAAAGTGTAGATAACTGTATTTACAGCGCAATCCTTCTTTGCGTGTTTCCGTGGAAGTCAAGAAGATTATCATGAAGAAGATCTGAATAAGTTAGCTGCTATTACTCGACGTGAGCACATGAAAAGTAATGAGTTCATGGGAACATTAAGGTATTGACATGACAAATAACTTAAGTGATCTAGATCTTAAGGGTTTTAAGGATTACTGTGTATCAGAGGCTATAAATGTAGTTTCTTTTTCAAAGTCTGTACATGTATTTGCTAAAAGTAGCGTTTCCCTATCAGGGCATATCTGGTAGTCTAATTAACTATACTTTTTGCAACATTTTGCTCTCAAATGTCACTGTTAAACAAGAAGTTAATTCAATGTGAGCTACCACAACCATTTCAAAACAGGCGTGGTGTTGCGCTGGACCTCTTCCGTCCGTTTACATGCAAGTTATCTGTCATTATTGTTTTAACACCAATGAATTGGTGTTGAAAAATATTTCAGCTCTCAAACAGAAATTTGATATCTCTGCATGGCAATGTAATATCCTTTATTCAAAAAACATTTGTTTTGCTATTGTAGGAGTAACAAGTTTGTGATAAGGATGTCAAAGGATACATATCAAGTTCTGAAGAAACATTTACAGGTGTGCTAGAAGTTTTTTCCTTCTTCAGGTTCTGTTTCCAATATTTTCCACCAGTTTCACATCTATCATCCAAAGCTGTGGTCCCTAGACAATTTTGATCTCAATTCCAGTCAAGAATTTTTGTGTTTTTCACAGTAATAAATTTGTATATTGTTTTAAGATTATTTTACAGCAATTCAGCGATTTCTCATGGCATTTTATTTTACAGGACCAACAACAAGATCTCCTGCTGACCCTAATTCAACAACATCTTCATTTTGACGGTAATTTAATTTGTTTTCACATGCAGTCATATAGTATATTATGTTTCTGAAGAGTGCAGGGTACTCTGTACAAGCATTTTGCTGGCCTTATAAATAGCAATTCACACATCCAGCAATGTTTTTTTCTTTCCGTCCTTGGACAGTTTTTGAAGGAAGGCCAAGAAACAAGCAAACGATAGAAGCCACTGCAGGTGCAGTGACAGGCGAGGCAACATTTGAAGGTAAGTTGAGCTCAGATTTTGGTGGTGAGAACAGTAATGGTGGTGATGATGATGAGGAGGATTGATGATTGAGGAATGAGGAGGAGGAGGAGGAGGAAGAGGATGACCACAGCAATAAGAAAGACAATGGGATTTTTTTAGGTTTAAAATAACTCATTGATAAATTGGTAATAATTATTAGTAATTGTTATTCCAATAGGAAAAGAACTCTATCCTTTCTTAAGACTTCAACTTCAGTACATGTAGTTCTTTTCTTGAGCATGTTGTTTTTATCTTTTTACAGCTAATAAGAGCAAGGTATATTATGGGATTCCACCAGAGCCTGATCTTGGAGTTGTAATAGAAGAAGAGAATGAAGATGAGGATGATAAAGACAAACCAAAGGTGGCATTATCATCATCATTACAATCATATTAACAAAAAACTGTAAATCCTAAGAGTCTACACTGTAAATTGCAACATAACTGATTTTGTCTTTGTTTGCTTACATTTTTTAGAAAAAGAAAGTAAAAAAAGATTCAAATGGGCCAGGTAAAGAAGCCTTCGGTATAAATAAATACTGACGAAGACTATACCAGTTACTAAGATCTTTAAAAAAAAACTTATGGCTGTTGAGCCACTGAAAACATTGATTACCAACAAATCATTTACTCTGAGGAACGACGAGCGCTCAAAATGTGCTTTTAGTCTGCTTGCGTGGTAGCTAATTTCGAGTTTACGAACTCATTTTATAAAGCCATATTTTGGTGCTTCACTGTCACTCTGTTCCACAACCCCTAAAAAGATTCCATAAGACATAAGAAAAGCCTGAACTGTACCGTAAAGGTTAGTCTTGATGACAATTTATTAGACTGTTCACAGTCCCCTATTTTTTCGTGAGATCGTTTAGATATACCGCGTCGTACCGTCACGGCTACATCTTGATTTTCAAATGTACCGAGGGGGGGTGTCGGGGATAATAGCTCTGGTGGGGGGGGCGGGGACGAGAAAAATAGAGGGACTGTAATAACAACACTGCAGCTCGCGTTCACGGAGCGCGTTGTACCAGCAACGCAGGCCTTTGATTGGTCATTAGACAATGGATGTTTATTTGCGTTGACAACGGGTTTAGTTTAAGTTGCCGACTCTGAAAAGTCGTTGACAAGTCGATATTTCCATAAAACGTACGCTTTCATACCACAAGGCACATCTTGCGCAAAAGCACGAAGGAATTTTGGTATTTTGATTAGAAAAATGTTTTCTTGTGTGTGTTTGCCGATTTTATTTCGAGGAATGGGCCTAAAAACATTATAAAATCACCGTTTCCCTAGGAGATATTTGTAGACACGCGTAATCGATGCTAAATGTGTCTGGCATGTTTTTCATCACCGGCGGAGTTTCTTAATTAATGAATGGTAAAAGGCGTGAAATTCCTGTCACGCCTCCTGAACGCGAGCTGCAGTGATGTTATTACAGTCCCTCTATTTTTCTCGCTTCCTCCCAAACCGCCCCCGCCCCCTAAGTAGTTTTGACACTCATCTAAGATGGCAGCCCGTAACGCAAAGCGCTCGATCTCGACGATCTTACGGAAAAATAGAGGACTGTGAACAGTCTAACAATTTATCCTCGACAACTTACAGCAGTGGCAGATCCAGACCTTCAGATAAGGGGGGGGGCGCGGTCATCCAGACCCTGAGATAAGGGGGGGCGCGGTCATCCAGACCCTGAGATAAGGGGGGGCGGTCTCAAAAAAAATTTTTTTCGGGCCTTCGGGCCTCATTTTGATCTAAAACTGGGGGGGGCGGGTCCCCCAGGCCCCTCCACTGGATCCACCACTGTACAGTGCAAGGTAGTTATAGAGTAATGAGTTTCACAATGACCTGATACACCTCTTTAGGAAAGAAGAAACAAGAACACAACCCCAATGCTCCACCACTCAACCGGCAGATTCAATTTCCAGTCATGTAAGTATGTTACTGGAAATACGAAATGCATTACTGTAGGCCTGTTTGTGGTCCCACTAGATACAGCATTGCTCATGCAAAGGTAAGTTAACACCCTCTAGTGAAACGTGAATCGCATCGCACGCTACACAATTCTCATCGTGCGCTTCACGATTCTGTATAGCAAAGCACAATTCTTGCAGCGCGCGATGCTCTAAACACTGTAAGTATCATCTTGTGTAATTCTAAGAATCTTTTTTGTAAAACCTTACCGTGACTAACATGCAAACAGATTTAACTGCTGTGACCTACAGACTGTTGAGTATATCACAGGAAAAAATAACAGATTCCCATTTTTGGATATTTTTGGGTTTTTAAAGAATAGCTATAAAAATCTCAAATTTGGCAAAGTGAGACAAGTCCCAAGCAGGGAATTCCCAACCAAGTTCCCAGATTGGGATTTGTCTCACTCTTCCAAATTTAGGATTTTTGTGGGTATTCTTTAAAAACCCAAAAATATCCAAAAATGGGAATCCGTTATTTTTTCCTGTGTATATTCACCTTTTTAAGAGATCAACATGTCGGTATGTTCTTAAACTTTTTGTCGGAAGCCTCTTGGATTGTAAGCCATGATAGAATAACCTACATAGCCGTACTCAGTTTGTGGAGAAGGTAGATTGTTTATATACAACAGTGTACACATTGGCTGTTGATTCTGTTTTTCTCTACTCCAGCCACCTGTGCTTACATTTGACCATGCCCAAAACCAGAGTTATGTCGCCCAAAAATTTTATCATGCTCAACGGCATCCTATCATCTTTATTACGTTTGTTTTGTCTCATCAAATCTTAAAGAATGAATCGTATTACACATTTAACTGGCTTGTTCTGTCTCATTATCGCTTAAAGAACGAGATCTATTACATACACTATTTACTAAGAATTTGGGCGACATAACTCAGGATTTCGGGTGACTTTACTAAAACTTTCAAGCATCATAACTTTGGGCGACTTGACCGGTTACTAGTCTAACATTGACACTATTTGAATAAGATTCGATTTTAAAGTGGAGTTTTTCACCTTGCAGGAAAGACAGTGATAAACTAGTGAAGATAACTTTACTGAGAGAAGCTTCTAAAAGAGTAACACTTAGTCCTGATAATCTTCCCTCTATCTGCTTTTACAGTGTACTCAATGCTCATTCAAGGTAATAACAAAATTAGCATTAAAGGTGGCTGAATCTTTCAAAATTTCGTGTTGTTGTTCGCTTAAGTATAAATACTCCCACGTGAAATTACTTGCTGAAGAGGTTTCATCTGATTGGCCACACCAGAAAATTTAGTCCACAGACTCAAAAGATAGAAGTACACTCATTCCAAATCAAAACAAAAGAAATATATCTTGCAAAAACGCCGCCGGAGACAATTCATTTCAGTACACCCTGGGTTTTCGTTTGTTAACAAGCAAGGAAGGATTAGCAAAAGCAATGAATTTGCAAAAACTGTTTATGGCTTTTTTGCAGTATGTGTTAGTGCAAATTGCTTACTCAAGAGAAGTGTAAGTCAGGCAATCTCTCTGTTTGAACAGTACATTATTCATGTGCGCGTGACGAGCAATGTGCATCAAATTATAAAACATTGTTAAGTTTTCATTATATCTAAGAGTAAGGAGGATTTATGAAAATGACAGAGTTGCGGAGATGACCTTTCAACATTATTTCTGTGTCAAAATATCTTATGTACTTCGTAATGAATTAATACGTCTCTTAATCTTCTTGCTTTTCTCGTAGTTTAAACACGGTTAGTATATCAGAGGATTCGAGCCTCCTATCCGGTGGATTTGAGGATAGCAGTGTTCGTGTTTGGAGCCTGACTCCCAAGAAACTACGCATGCTCAAACCGCCCTCTGAACTTGCTCAAATCGATAAGGAAGCAGGTCAGTGAAAATTACATTGTCAGGTAATAAACATCTTGACCAATCACAACAGACAGACACTCAGATCATCCAATCAGAGAGTTGGTCTGAATACATGTGGCGGGAAAACACAGGGCGAACGTCAGTGAAACAGCATAAGGCCCAACCTCGTTCCCAGGGTTCTCTCCTACCCGCCCTAGGAGAGAACCCTGGGAACGAGGTTGCATAAGGCCAAACCTCTGTTTCAAAGCGAGGCTAAGTGCAAAGCCATTAATATAGAAAAATTGTTTGGCACTTAGCCTCGTTTTGAAAGAGAGAGTTTTGGGAAGACGGAAATGACCTATTGGATTGATTATGCGCGTGATTGGCTAATTGGCATCTGGGGTTAAATGCTTGCAACGTCTAAGGCAAAAACTCGCCGGCCGTTTGACATCCTCTATACAACTACGACGCGAGATTTTTCCTAATGAGTCGTGTTGTAAAGGCGTGAACCAGTAGAGTGACAATTTTTACCCTTCCACTTTCAACTTGGATGCGGTCCTCTACAATTTAAGAAATTCGCGTACATTTAAGCGAGATGGAATAATAACAGTGAAACTCAGATGCACTTTTTCAGTGATGCTTTCACAACATGCTGCGAGCTGCCTGACTATTAACGATGTATCTTCATCGTCTTGTTTTTACAGAGGACGTACTTGAACGAATCATGGATCACAGGTTTGTAAATTTTGGATTAAAGTAAATGTACGGTTTTAAATGAAAAATAACGGCTTGTAACTGATCCCGCAAGTAAATATGAAAGAGCGGCGTCTATCCAGTATCGACCATATTACATTTTGCATTTTGTATGTATTGTATGGTAAAAGAGTGCCTACGTCATGAAGTTCTGCGAGGCACGAGCCATTTACCAGGTTTAAAACTCCCCAAACTTTACCTAGGAACTTGACTAGACATGCTTTTACGCCATTATCTATTTTCCAATGACTGAGCGATTTGTCGCGCGCTGATTGGTTGAGAGCTATGGTCGATGAGAGTTTTTACAAATGCTTAAAACACTCGCCAGCGACCAGTTGTTCCAACTTGAATTTTGAATATTTTGACGTCATTTCTATGGTCAATAAGAGAACAGAGCATGGAAAATTGTTGTTTATTTGTTAAACTGACGCTTTTGTCGCTTTTGTCAGAACTGCTGCAGAGTGTAGACGCTTGATCGGTCATTCAGGACCCGTATTTTCAACGAGTTTTAACAACGATAATTCCTTTCTTCTTTCATCTTCAGCTGACAGAACGGGTATTTACTATTGCTTTGTTGTTGTTGTTTATATTTTTGTTTTCTTTTGTTTTCAATTTTTTAAAGTGTTCCTGGGAATTATGACACAAGCTAGGTGCATTTATTAGTTGACATTATGTTTGGTTCTAACGTTTCTTTTTTTGTTCTAGTTCGCCTCTGGAGTCTGTATACCTTCAGCTCTTTAGTTTGTTATAAAGGGCACAACTACCCAGTCTGGGACGTGCAGTTTTGGTGAGTTATCTAACTTTCTGGATTTATGGCTCTCTGGAACATGGTTAGTTTGACAAAGCTGCGCTCACTTAAGATCAGTTAAATGTCATAGCAAATAATTACTTCAGGCCAATCACAATACGAGCTGACAATCAAATGAGCCAATCATAAGTCAAAACAAATGGTGCAGGCGGCTAAAAGCGCGGGGAAATAGCTCGGATAACCATGACGAATGCGGTGCTATCTTTTGAAAAAGCCTTGAAATTAGCGGTCTTAGTTTGATAGTGCCCCATTCCAAATGCATTGACACTGGTAAGGTTCTATTAAAAATGGAGTTTCTTTTTTTTCGAGTTGGCCATTTGGCTAATACCCATGTCCGACTTGGTGAATCTCTCCACAGTCCACGCGGACACTACTTCGCCACAGCATCACATGACCGTACAGCCCGACTATGGAGCACAGACCACCCGCAGCCACTCAGAATCCTGGCTGGTCACGTATCTGATGTCAACGTAAGAGTCCTACCTATTTTTTTATTATTTTTTTAATATCAAGGAATTTGCGCAAAAACATAGTTGAAATTTCCCGTTTTAAAACAGAGTTCGTCTTTGAATAATCACGAGCATTCTCATAAGATTTTATGGGCTCAATGAGAGATAGTTAGTTAATCAGATTCGCAGCATTTCTGGGCAGATTATTTTCTAGTAACATTTAGGGGGCGATTCTTTGTCCCAAAACCACATTTTTCTCAATAGGTCACTCATGAAGAAACATTTTATAGTTTGTTTTGTTTTCTTTCCTTTTCTTTTCTTCCATTTATTCGGTACTTTTATTGTGATTCTTGTAGATTTTAATACATCTCAACTTGTTTGTTAAATAATATCGTTTTTTGTCCTTCAGAGAGTTGCTTTTCATCCCAACTGCAACTATGTCGCGACTGGATCATGTGATCGGACCGTGAGGCTCTGGGATCTAAATACGGGCAGCTCGGTCCGGTTTTTTACCGGCCATAAGGTATGCGAGAAACTGGGTACTGTTATTTATGTTTATGGACGAAATCCTATTTTGTATGACCTTTCGGTTTAAGCATCGGCCGCAATTCTTCTGAGTGGTAGCGTTCTTTCAATTTTTTTTATAATCTAGGAATTGTCTTGAGGCGATAACTTATGGTTTTCGTTTATTTGTAGGGAGCCATCTATTCGCTGGCATTCTCTCCTGACGGACGCTATCTTGCTTCTTCAGGTTAATTTCCTGGATTTTCCAGTTCGTTGTCGATCAGCTTTTCGTACTTTGAATACCAATACTGAATACCAGTGTTTTGTGATCTCATTGGCTCTTTTTTTACTCAGGTGTTGACAAACGCATCCTCGTTTGGGACCTGGCAGAGGGGACATTATTGACAGAGCTGAAAGGGCACACCGATACAGTGTACTCAATGCGTTTTAGTCGCGACGGGAATATGTTAGCTTCAGGTAGGTATGACCATTCTCTTTCACGCGCTTACCACCTTAGAAACAAGAAAAAAAACTTGGCCGAATTAACTTTCGCAATGACGTCAAGGACAGTTACTAGGGACAAAAAGTTCGGCTCCAGGTACCCTATCGTTTCAAAACGAAATTGAAAAAAAAAATTATATATGAATTATTAGTTATAAATCTTGTAGTAAATAGTTATATTTCTTCACCTGTCTGATATTATTTTTATACTTATTGTTACATGTACCATACCTTACATTTTGTCAACTCAGTCTATGTAATTAGTTAATTTATACTTACTTTCATTGTATTTTACTTTCGATCCTGGCCTTACTGTTACTGTTAACTTTATTTTTACTCTGAGGGAACCCAATGTCTATAAGCCTCATGGTTTCTTTTTGGGCTTCCTCGCCACTTTCATTTGCTTTTGTGTAACTGTCTTGTTTTATCGTTATTTGTATTTTGTGGTAAATCAAATAAAGTTATAAAGTTAAAAATCAAAACAAAAAATTGACCAATAGCTGATCGGCACGTCCCCAGTAACGAGCATCTATGCACATTTATGGGAACAAAAGAAAGCGTTTTCATGAGAAAAGACTTCAACTGCCACAGGGTTGGTTTGGGAAACCAACATGGCCACCGTTTCATTGTTTTGGAATAACAATGTAGCCGCCGTGACGTCATGTGAAAACGCTCTATTGCAAGACGCATTTCGGCTCCAGGTACCCTCTCGTTTCTAAAGTGGCAAATTCTTTATTTTTGATTCATTCATCCATCCATTTATTTTCAGGTGGTGTGGATAGTTGCGTGAAGCTGTGGAATGCTCACGCCATTTGTAACCCTGATGATGAAGACGATGAAGCGAGTAGAGAAAAGTAAGTTTGAAAATCAAAAGTTGCGACACTTCCTTTGAGAGTCTGCTTACGGTTTTACATATAAGTAGTACGACCTCCACTTCGATTAGAAGTAGATCGGTCTATTTTTAGGCCCAAGACAGACCACAGGCTAAAATTACGAAGGAAGAATGCAACATACCATGTGATTGATCATTGTATCGTATTCAACGAGAAATCGAAATACGGTCTGCTCGATTCCACAACTACAGTTAAGAGTCGACAAAATAGACTTAGTATTTCGTTTGAAGTTCTTAATTTATCAGTCTCTCACCTCAGGGCCAATCAGATTATATATATATAAGAGAAAGTTCAGATCGACTTCGCCAGAAAATCTTGCTTGTCTTTTCTTTCTGTTCCTTAGCCACACGTCATCCAAAAGTGAGACGCTAGAAGTTGGATCCTACCCCACAAAAAGAACGCCAGTACATTGCTTACATTTTACTCTTAGGAATCTGTTACTAGCGTCAGGTCCTTTTACACCGGTTTCCTGACCAGCAAACAAGCTACTGTAAATCTGTAAATATATAAAAGGAAAATTCCTGTGGCCTCCTATGCAGAGGTTTTCTTAGTCTTAAGGCGTAAAACAAGTCATAGCTACATGTAGTATAATAACCCCACGAATATTTGATAAAAATCTTGTAAGATACAATAAATAAAGTTTATTTGTGTTTATAATGCATGTCATTCGGGTAGTTCGTTCGTTAGTTACGTAATCCTTGCGTTTGTAACTGCGTGCGAAATTCGCTTCGAGACAGTTCACTCGTGCGTTTCCTTGTACCTGAGCTTAGGTCTGGGTTCGAGGTTAGTGTGAACCGGCCTTTAATGATTCGGTTCGATAGTAGACAATCCATAGTTCCCTAGGTTTGCCGTTGCCTGTCAACCTATCGCGAATGAGAATCTAAAAGTGTGTTTACAAAAAATTCAGAAACCAAATGAACCTCTTTGGTTTAATTGATTTACACTAATCAGAAAGAACGTTATTAGTTTTGCTACCCTCTAGCAGTCCCTCGGGTGAGAGATTTTAATGTTAAAAACTCATTACGTTTTGCTGATTACTCTAAACTTTTCTTAGTTTCCTTGCTCCAAAAACTTAATTGTCGACGACAAAAGCAAGTTTTCAAAAACAGTTATTGATATTTTAATAAGCAATTGTATACTCATGGCTAAATTTAACATTTAATAATCATGCTCTATAATGGAAAGTCTGAAAGGTTTTTTACGGCGTTCATTGAGTAGATCGAGATTTAGTAGACTAAGTCTAAGAAAACTCCGTGCCTCTTTCTGACTTTGATATTAACAATATTTCAAACGGTTTAACTCCAAACGCCAGATGCGGGTTGATTTTACTGTTTTGACCGAGCAGTTATAGGAAATCATAAAATTGAAAACAAAGCCGTGATAATTATTAATTGATTTTTGTTTGTAATCTACCTACTAACTTGGAAGCTCGCTAAAAAGAGGCAGACTTTCCAATGAAATGAACTGTCAACTACAAAACAAACAGTACTTGGCTTGAGCAAAGCAGTTTAACAAACACAAAATGAACATGAAGTTCTACGCTTGCCCGTGAAATATACCCAGTCCTCCACTAAATTATCATAGCTTCTTTCGATCGACATTTCTCCTTCAAAATCAACTTTTAGATGTACTAGCTAAACTTGTGAAAGAATATAAGTTAAAATCATCCCGGCAGACACATTGACGGCGTCGTTAATTGACATCAGCAGCAACTACCCGAAATAGAACAATTTCAAAGCCAACGTTTTCTTTAAGTAAACATGAAACTTTTTAATGACACAAACTATAATGAGGCCGCCGTATATGCCACTAGATTAATTTACACAAGTTTTGCCAGAAAGCAGGTGTCAACCATTCACGACTCTGCTTTTTTTGTTCGTAAGAGAAAAACAAACTTCGTCATTTTCTAAAATTTTTTTCTGTTCTAGACAAAACGTTTTCAAATTACTTTTTAACTTTTTCTTTGAAGGGTGGGGCTCTTCAGATTCTTCGTGCGTTTTATTAATAAGCATTTTAAACTTAGATGCTTGTCAATGAGTTTAAAAATTCATAGAAAATTACCTGTTATTTCACATACGAAACCGCCTCCAGTTTTCACAAAATGTGGTCCAAGAAGTTTGTTACACAGTGGAAATTTTGGGGAATTCCGAGGAAAGCACAGTTAAAGCACATTCAGCACTGAGCTCCTACAGCTCAATTTTAATTTCAGCGACATCAATAAACAAAGGACGAAGCAGGAATCTGTTGCTTAAGAGCCGTCAATTGTCGGAAAAGGCACAGTGAATCCACCTCACTAGTACACAACGTCATTAAAAGTACAGAAGAGAAGCACTGCTCAGTCGACGCAAAGAAGAGCGCGCGCCGCACATTGGATCGTGCTATAGAATTCAAACTTTCTTCAATTTGATTCTCTGATTGCCCGCATTTACGATATTTTCAACACCTGCAAAGTATAACTAACATTTGGGAAGAGTGTCGGAACAATTTTGGACCATAAGGATTATCTTTTAAACCGCTATATTAGCTTTATCTTAGATAAAGGTTTTGGCCGAGTTTTGGTTTGATCATTGGAGCTATTAGTCCCTCGCTATCTTCGAAAGTAGAGTAACTATGGACTGAAACTATAGGGCGTGAGTCAAAGTTGATGTTTTTGTGCGAGATAAAATGAATCAAACTGCACTACTGAATGGGACTGAGAGAAATGAGACTGGCAATCCCTCCTCGTCTCCGTCGTTGCTTTCGGTTAACATCTATCTTTTGTGGGCAATCTACGTCTTTCTGCTTGTCTCCGGTAACCTACTCAATCTTATGGTAATTTACGTTATGTTTCGAAGCCGTAAAATACGATCGAGTATTTCCAGCTTTCTGATATTCCATTTATCATTGACTCATGTAATCTTTCATATAGTCGTTCCCCTGTTTAGAATTCCAGGATTTGACCACTGTGAAGTCATTCAGGTTTTAGAACTGGCAAGTGCGTCAGCCATATTTGGCAGTCTGGTCGCCATTGCCTGGGACCGCAATAGGAACGTTTTCCAGCCCTTTAAAAGCCTGGCTCCGCGACGTGTGAAAACATTTTTAATCTTAGTGACATGTATCTGGATTTACGCCTTCATCACGTCTACGCCGTTTATAATCAACATCAATATCGAATCGCGAAAAATATGCTGGAGAGAAAATAACGGAACAACGTGTAGGAAATATACTGTTTGTCACCTTACCGAAGGTTGGAAAGCGCAGCTGTCAAAAACTCTCCTTTTCATCATGTCGTTTGTTGCTCCTTTCATGTACATGTTGATCACCTATACCAAAATTGCTCTAAGCTTGCGGAAACGAAGTCAGAGAGGACAAATACACAGCGCTGTGGCAAAATATAAAGCGAAATCAATTCGATTGATGGTAATCGCTGTTCTTGTTTTTGCCATATGCTGGGGTTTAAATTTCATGGTGGATTTACTTGCCGTTTATGGATTTTTGAACGGTTTGTCGCCAGAGGGTGATATATACTTAAGATTTTGGTGTCTTATTGCGCAAGTATCTAGTTCTTGTTTAAACCCGGTGGTGTACGCGTTTTTTAGTCCTGAATTTCGTGCAAGCTGTGTCAAGTACTGCTGCTGTTGTTGTTCGTCTTGCCCTTGCTGCCGCCGTCGTTACCATTACATCGTAAATCGAGTTCAACCTCTTTTGCGTAATTAAAGTTCAAGTGTCGCCACTATCTAGTACTAATTGAAAATACAGTGGAATATTTAATTAATGGTAATTTATGCGGCTCTGTTCTTTCTGTAAGTTACTATGCAAGTATAACAGATCGTTTTTACCCACGTACCCACGTGGTCAAAATGTATGCAAATTTGATTATAGGAACAAAAGTAAGCGTTTACGTAAGAAAACGGAGTTAAACTCCACAGGGTTTGTTTGGAAAACCAACGTGGCCGCCGTTTCATCATTTTAAAACACCAATATGACCACCATGACGTCATGTGAAAACGGTCGTGTTTAATGATCCATTAATTCTTGGCATTAGAGTGTATCTGTTACAAGATGATGATCCTTAATATCCAAAACAAGGAGCAATCACAATAAACATAGCTCTGTATTTTTAATAGCCATTTTAGCTAAAACCAGTTCACTTGATTTTGTCAGGAATTCTGGCCATTCAGTTAACCTATGTTATTTTGGTACATGAATTACGTTTTTAAAAAGAGACATCACGTTTGTGTTCAGAGTGTTTCTTTAAGACTGACGTCTGGATACTTCTTCAATCATTATCCGGGACACTGAATTCCATCCAGTTTCAGCATCACCTAAGGTAAAGCTACCACACGAGCCTATCCATAATTCCACTCTAACTGCGCCCTGTGGAATATTCTCACAGTATCCCTCAAATGATCGGTGATGCAACAAATTGTGATATTTTTCCATGCTGTTGTAAACAACAGCCTCGATCGTCATTGGTCCACTGCATTCCTTGTTATTGAACTTGAAATACCAGCGGTTACACTTGACACCAGTGCTACCTACTCTCATATTTCCCTGGAATGAGACCTTGAGTGCTGTATCAGACAGCAGCTTGTTAAACGAGCAATCCTGTAATAAAAGTTAAACCAAGAAATTTCATCCTGTCAGGAGTATCAACTTGCGTGAAATTTATGGAAACTACGATGCGATGCAAGATCTTAGGGGAGGTGGAATATATTTCCCTTAGCTCTTTCAAATGACCAATGTCTCGTACAACTGGCATCCAGTTAGGATTTTTGTAACAATTGTGTACAATTTCAAAAACATAGTCAACTAGTTATTAAATATAACATAGAGTAATCTGCCTCTCAGTCTCCAATTGAAGAACTGTTTGATATATGTTTGCCAATATAATAAAGGTTTTTTCATTATCATTTGGTATGAATTACTTTTTAAATCTAGTTTCTCCCCTAAGTTCTCTTCTCATCAACCGTTACTTAAAATCAAGAGAGGAGAAATGACATATATATCCTCTTGCTTTTGCTGGCCTAGGAAGAACATGGGCACGTTTTATGTGCATGAGCTATTTTGAATGCTTCAGTTCAACAGTATAGGCAATCTACTCTTTTAAGCCTAGATTAAGGCTATATTTTGTGCAAAATTGGGAATAGCTGTACATTAATGAAAATGAGAACCGCTGCGCATAGCTGGTTCGATCCCCATAATATAGATTCACATTTCTGTCTTTCCTTCAGACATCTAGTGTAAAATAAAAAAATTGTTAGAGTACTACGAATATCAACTCACAAAACGTTGCTTTAATAGAGGGAAGACTCGACGGTTCAAGGTTTCTTGATGGTTTCTTAAAATAATGAAGCTCGTCGAATACCGTGTCACGATTTTCATCATTGTTGTAGATGGTTGCACCATCATTATTCACGAGGTTGTCACGTGCGATTCTAATTTAATGAAAGAGTTCTTAACTCTGACGACTTAATTCAAAAAGTGTTATAAGTTATTGCTTCTTAAAACAAAAGAGCCTTTGCTTAGGGACAAGTTACAAAACTAAAGATATCTTCATACGTTCAAGTTACTATCATTACTGTGAAAAGCCAGAATGAGATGTAGAATCGCATAGTTTGCACGTGGGCGTGTTGGTCGTTGCTTGTTTCGTGGTTTGTACGTGAGGGAATTCGAGTTATCACACAGTAATCGAGTAAACAGAATTATAAAAATAACTCATGCACACAATTTTCACGTGAAGATGTTGGACTTTAGCCCTTTTACAATTCGTACGTTAAAAGTGCCCATCACCAAAAATTTTTTATTTTGTTATCTGAAACTACACCTTATCAAAATAACTTCTGCGAAAAAATTTTGCGATTTGAACCAAAGACGATTTTTTTAGAATTTTTTAAAAACGTTCAAATTTGCCTCCATTTTGGCACACCATTCGTCTTAGTCTTCTCTCGGACTATGACGTACTTTAAGGAACACGTGACCTTATCGACAGGAAAACATTAAGAGTTCTGATAGGTTTTTCTTTTTCAGAGAAACTTTCTTCTTACGAAGACATTGTGATTCAATCCTTACTTGAAATTTATCTTTTTTGTGTACAGCTGGTGAAGGCAAGGTAATGCGAGTTCCTTAATTTACGTCACATGACGTCATATGTGAGCTTGCTAGTTTGCATGATCAGCGGCGCGAGTGTACCGCAAAAATGTAGACTTCAAAAATTGGTAAAAAAAAATCGCGTTTTGTTCAAATCGCAAAATTTTTTCGCAGAAGTTATTTTAATAAGGTATAGTTTCAGATAAGAAAATAAAAAATTTTAGGTGATGGGCACTTTATTAAAAAAAAGCAACTTGTTTACTAGAAAATGTTTTCAAACGATTTTCAGAAATCACCTTATAGGCTTCATTACAACATCTGCAATTAAATTATGCTTCATGCAACGTCATGGTTGATAGTCTAACATTTATTAACTTCCAAGAAAATTATCAAACTGCCGAAATATAGTTCCACTCACATCATGTTACTCCACTCAATAAAACAATATCTAATTATTGTGTCAACTAGCTTCTTCTAATTTTATTCCCTAACGCTACTGTTCCTACTTACGCATATTTACTAAGTAAAATACGTTTCAATAACTATAATGACTCTTAAGCAGCAAGCTTGTTTCACGTTGTTCACCTAATTCATGTTTTTTTTCCTTGTACGAAAAAGGTCTGTTGAACTTTGTAACAGAGAGAAAAAAAGTAGTTTACAGGATTAACAATACTCGCCTTGCCTTTCAAACTCAGTGTTCCACAATTACAATTTATAGGCCACATACTCCAGAATTAAAGTCCATATCTAAATTTCAATTACTGTTTCATTGGAGGAACTTTGAAAAATATATGATCTTTTACACTCTACCTTAAAGCAGGTGAAACAGAACTCATACGTTATGAAATACGTGCGTTGTACCGTTCGCGTTAGCCGAAATTAGGTCAGAAATGTCTTGAAGCAGCACCAACATTAAAATATTATGAACCCTTAAACAGCTCAATCACTGTACTTAGCGTTTGAATCGTAAAGATATTTCAATATTATGCTTCTAAACACCTTTCAGCCGTAATAAAAGACGAAAAAATTGTGAAGAATCAACATGGCAGTCTCAAAATTCCCTTGTTTGACCTTAAGCCGAGTGAATGTAATGTTAGATGCGAAAATCTCATTGGTTCCTACGCATCAACTCATAGTACCTTCAACGTTATTGGCTCCTGCAACAGAAATCCGAACACGCAAAGACACAAAGATACATACGCTCAAACCACTGACATATGAGTTATTTTTTCAAAATAGCTCAAAAATTAAAGGGGCAGGATGTAATCTGCTATATACATACATATGTAACATTAAAATCTTGATCTTAAATCTACCTTTATCTTGCCATTATCCGTTCCTATGTGCTGTTTCCACACACACTGTTTCCAGTTGGTTTGTGGCACAGGACCAGCCGAACTACCTTTCACGCTTTCTCCTTTCTCTCCTTTGTCTCCTTTCCTTCCTACAGGACCCACAGATCCCGGATCTCCTTTCATTCCCATCATTCCTGGCGAGCCACTCTTCCCGTGAAGCCCTTCGCGACCTCTCTCTCCTTTTGGTCCTATCATTCCTTTCGTTCCCTTAGCTCCAGTCTTTCCTTTTGTTCCTTCCCTTCCCTGTAGACCTTGCGGCCCTGGCATTCCTGGCACTCCCGGCATTCCATTTGATCCTGGAATGCCTGGAAAACCATGGTTCATTATGGATTTCTAGAAAGAACATGGAGTTCGTCATTTCAACTAATCACTAAACTTAATGGTCTGGATAAATGGAGACAACCAAGTAAAGTAGAAATAGGACAACAAAATCATTTGACTTTGAAATAAAACACATTTTAATCTATCTCATTTTCAGTTGCATTTGTTTCTGATATTTGTTTCGAATTGACAGTGACGATGTAATTTATGATAACAGTTTAACCATTATAATTTGCAAAAAAATGTGTAAAAACCGATTGATGTTCTTCTTATGGTTTACAATTTCCTGTGAATAGTTGATTCTTCTCCCGTCAGAGTGTTTGTTAACCACATTTCGGAGGATTATGATTTTATTTCTTTTATCTTTTACCTCAATCAGTTTCATTTCAATTCAAATCCATTTAAATTGCTCTTGTTTAGTTTTCCTATTAAATAATTTCAACTAACCCAAATGCACACTGAATCTCTCTAAACTTCACTTTTGTTCAGAGCTTTGGGAGTTCTTTGGTAGTCAAAAGTAAACGATGCAAAACACCCAGCGAACGGTAGTGAGCCGGAAAATGTGAGAGGTCCTTGAGTCAAAATTTAGTACATACCTCGCATAAGTCTTTCAAGTTGCTGCTGTTTAGTTGTTGAGGTTTGGTTGTGGTTTTCTGTGAACCAACTGATCCACACAAGAGTAACAAAGCAACGACGAATTGCACCATGCTGAGGAACTGCACCGCCGAATCCTTTACACAACGGACACTAGTGCTTCTTTAAGATGAACCGTTATACGGTTGAATCATTTATTGACGTCTAAGTCAGATCGATATGCATGCTCAGCATTTTTCCCTTGGGAAATTCATGTGATTATGACCTTTAAAATTGAGCTGATTAGTATCCTTAAGTAGTATTCTGTTTATTTATTTTGAGTAGCTGTTTTTTTTTTTTTTTCACTGACTTTGAGTAACATATCCTGAAAATTTTCTGATTCTCAGGATTTTTCCCGTGTGAATCCTAAGAAATGATTACCTTCCAAACTGAACTGAGCCCATAACAGTGGCGGATCCAGGGGAGGGACCCCTGGGGCCCGCCCTCCCTTTTCTCGGGGGGGGGGGGTGGACTCATAATGAGTCCTTTTGGAAACTTTAATCTCGCGAGGCAAGAGCTGAAGAAAGTTGCACTTAAAGCACTCTATAAATTACGAAAAGAGATGAGAAACCACTTCAGAGAAAATCAGTATAAAATTAACGATGAAGTTATTTGATGCACTGATATCTCCCATACTCTTTTATGCGAGTGAAGTGTGGGGAATGGATGGCAATGGACAATTAGAAAAGGATCCAGCAGAACTAGTTCAAAATAAATTCCTAAAGTGGTTGCTGGGAGTTAATAAATACTGCAATAACAATGCGTGCAAGGCTGAGACAGGAAGGTTTCCAATGAGAATTGAAGCCCAATGTAAGAACTTTAAGTTCTGGTTAACCTTAACCAAAAATGAAAACAAATTATCCCAAATAGCATACAATGACATTAAATGGAATGAAAATAAAGCTCTCTAGAGCAAAAAAATCAAAAGCTAATTAGAACAGATAGGATTAGGAGAACTCCGGATGAAAGCACACTATGCGGACATAGGAATCGTAAACATGATCAGGCAACGACTTAAGGCTATCGGACTACAAAGATGGTTCAGTGAGATAAATAACGACACCAGAAAAGATGCTAACCAAAGCAACAAAATGAGAACCTACCGGTTATTCAAAACGATAGACAATTACAGATGTGAAGATTACCTACATCAGGTCACCAATACGCGATACAGAATAGCTCTAACAAAACTGCGACTTAGCACTAATTTCCTTCTTCCCCCTCCCCCAACCCCTTTGCGCTGGCGGTCAATAAATCCCCCGCGGTTTATTTTTTATCACGCGCGCTCGACGGACTTTGAAGAGAAAATAGAAGGTCTGTGAACAGGCTATTACAGAGCACGTGAACTGTTGGGTTGAAACTCTCTCTTCCTCAGAGGCCACTTTGTTTTGCGGGTGGGGAGGCTGGGGAGAGGAATAAATGAAAGCGCGCGGGGGACGGTGGGAAAGGGAATTTATTATTGCTATTTTTATTGCAATACCTAGCGGCGGCCTCTTTGGAGAAAAGAGGGGTTCAAACATGAATTCAATGCCAGAGTAATCATACTCCAAGGGTTGATAGCACCAACTTCAGGGCAATAAACTGTTCAATTAATATATACGGACAGCAAAGCTACTATCTGATTTAAACCCCAGGAACTAAGGAAAACAACAGAACAGCAATTATCATCAATCAAACTGATTGACCTTGCCATCACCACCATTTAATGAAATTTCATGCCTTGTAATAACTCTTTACTACAGTTCTACTATTTTTATATTAAACAAAACAACCTGTCATGAACAACCTTACATGTCTTACATTTTTATAAATCATTTGCCTTACCTTAGTGAAGGGTTAAGAGTCAATTAGGCCTAAAAGTCGTTCGTTAAGACTGGGGCCTGGTTACTTCTTCAATCATTATCCGGGACACTGAATTCCAGCCAGTAGTAGCTTCACCCAAGGTATAGCCACCATCACATTGGCCTACCCACAATTCCACTGTTATTTTTCCCCGTGGAATATTCTCACAGCAGCCCTCAAATGATCGGTGATGCAGCAGATTCGGTTTTCCGGATGGCCATTTGCTGTAAACGACAGCCTCAATTGTCATTGGTCCACTGCATTCCTTATTATTGAAATTGAAGTACCACCTATTACATTTGTTGCCAGCGCCATTGACTCTCGTGTTTCCCTGGAATGAGACTTTGAGTGCTGAATCACACTGCAGCTTTGTGAATGAGCATTCCTGGACCAAAATTAAACAAAGAATTTCACTTTAAATTCATACAACATGAGGTATCTTACTTATTGCTGGTTTGCACGTGACGTCACGGCGGCCATGTTGACGGTGAGTTAGGAATAAGAACAAACTGGGAACTAAACCCTATTTTCATGTAAATTCTTCGAGAAAAAATTCTATTGTATTGACCACCAACACACCACCAAAAGGGCCGCCTTATCACGTGGTTGCAAGCCAAGAATAGGCTGTAGCTAACCCTTTTTAAAGGCTTAAAAGTCCTTTAAAGTGTGATGTTCATAAATTTTCCCTATGTTATTTTAATGCCTTGTAAAATAGAATGGTCTTGAGAATTAAGACCAAAGAAGGTGAATCTAATTGATACTTCAATATCTTCTCCCTACTAATTCTATAGGAAACGTATAGCGAAATGAGAAATGAGAATCTGAATTTTCATTTTAGGGTCTAAAGTGTTTAAAGTCCTTATCTCTTACCTTTATTTTCCCATCATCGGTTAAATCGACTGTTTTCCACAGGCATTGTTTCCAGTTGGTTTGTGGCACGGGACCAGCGAAACTACAGTCCACACGTTCTCCTTTCTCTCCTATGTCTCCTTTCTTTCCTGCAGCTCCAACAGATCCCGGCTCTCCTTTCATTCCCATCATTCCTGGGGGGCCACTCTTCCCGTGAAGCCCTTCGTGGCCTCTCTCTCCTTTTGATCCCATAATACCTTTCGCTCCCCTGTCACCAGTCTGGCCTTTTGCTCCTTCTTTGCCCTGTGGACCTTGCGGTCTTGGCATTCCAGGCATACCAGGCATTCCTGGCATCCCATTTGATCCTGGAATACCTGGAAACCCACGTCGTTTTATGAATTTCTATAAAAAACAAAGAAAAACAAAGGAAAAAAAGCGTCGGTTAAAGGGACAGGTTCACGGTTCAGCGCATGCTCATTTATCAAAATGCTGTTTGGTTGTCGGGACGTGCTGTATCGTCTATGCAAGCAATATAATCATGTCATAATGTTGTCAAAGAACCAATCTGCAAACTCCCCTGGCAGTCACCTGCACTTGATCAACTTAAATAATTGCAAATAGCTGTAAATTAATCAACCATGGGATAAAACCGTCGCCTCAACAATGAATTCAACGTTGGTAGTGTTGGCATAATCCACTGACTTTTCTGCGATTTTGGTACTCCTCCATCCTACTTCAGGTTACTTTGAAATACACTCTGAGATCGCTGAGATACGTGTGAGTGGGATTATTAATCGATAGAATTAATAATAAATTGGAAAAACGTAATTTAATCCGGGAATTTAATAATGAGCATGCGCTTAACCGTGAACCTGTCCCTTTAAATTCCACAAAACCAAACTCAATACGAATCGGACAATTTGAGAAGTATAATAAAGCAGCTAAAGAGGGAGTTTCCCGAATAATGAAGGTACCGACATAGAATGTTGTTCGCTGAATATTAACACCAAAATGAAAGGTAAGGTTTACGTGGATTATTGGAAACTAACCTAGATTTCCTCCTAGCCTAGCTATCGTTCGTGCGGGAGACCTAGAAATAAATTTCCACTGCTTCTTTCAAGGGAGAGCATTTTTACAATACCTTTACCTTCCCTACTGTTTCACTCTTGAAGGGAATTGTTGAAACGCTTGACTTATTTTCCTCCACTTGTATTCCTTGTTTATAGGCACAGATCAGCATGAGTCAGGATGGCTCGATTTTTAGAATCGGGAGTGCTTGCTTTACCAAGATCGCTGCACGTTAATTAATTACTGATTACATCAGCCAGCGCGCTTAGATAGAAACCCAATATCAAGGTAGGGTAATACTGGGATAAAAGACACTTCGGTAATTAGCCACCCAGCTATCCCAGACTTGCGCCGAAAAAAATTCCTCTGTGATCCTGGTACTGGCTTCTCGTACACCTAACTGCAAGATCTGAGCCCTCACTTAAAGAGAAACTTAGATACTCCAAAGAAAGTAATGGATTAAATTTTGCCTTGTGTAGAATTCTGATAGAAAAAATTAAGTTCCCAACAAGCAATACTCCAGTACGATTTGAATGAAATTGATTTGTTTCTCCGCGCTTTCGCCCTTTTGCACTTTTTCCTAACTATGACTTACCCCACATGAACTTTTCAAGCTGCTGTTATTCTGTTCTTGAGGTTTGATAGTGGTTGCCAATGAACAAAGTGATCCACACGAAACCAACAAAGGAATATGAATAAAGAATTGTATCATGACGAGAGACCGGTTTGAACCTTTGATTTGGAGACGCTTTTTAATTCGCGATCATTCCGGCTTTTTATAATCAAATGTGATTGATATTTTTATCGCTCCATTTTATTTTCATTATTTTAATCAATTTTTGGCTAGAAAATTCTCAAACCAGTTTCAGTGTGCTGCGTCGGATATACATAGCCCTGACTGCATTAATAGTACAATATTAATATTTTATAAAACATTATGGTGGCGTATTACTAATAAAATTTATCAGTGCTTTTATATAAGAGAACGATTTCTCAATTTCAAGTGATATTAACAAAGCCTACTAACGCCAGCAGCACTTTGTTGCCACACCAAATTAATTTTGCTATTTATACTTTTGGCTTTTTGGCGGAAGAGGTGGGAGGGGGGAGGTGGGAGTCGAGAATCCCAAAGGCGTAGTTTTTTCAGTACGGGCTGCAGTGAATTTGTGCTTTTCATGTGTAAATTCGGACAAAAAAAACCTTAAAACTGGTGATAAAAGTAAATAGAGTTGAACGGTTCTCAACAGCAGAGCTCTTTCTTATGTTTTAATATCGTTAAAGAAGCTAAAACGAATCTGACACCGGAACACCAGTGCTTGCGATGCGAGCTGAAAGAGTGACAAGGATCATTCCATTTTTAGTCATCAGTTTAATCCGCTCCGTAGGAAGCGGAAACCGGGAGGAGCCAACTTTTTTTGCCTTCAGGAGCCCATTTTTCAATTTGTTTTTCATCCTATGTCATTCCCCTTTTCAGGTCAGTGTTTTGTGCGATAAAAATGTGTGATCGCGAGGAATCCCTCCCTTGGAAGATTCCTTCAAAAATCAAGGCTTTCTTCCACTCACCGTCTAAATGAATCAAGTGATCTATTTACATTTTATTTGATGAAAGAGAAAATATCCGTTTCATATTTGTATTAATTATTTGTTTGTTCGTTTATGTTTCTATCTTTTTTATTCTGTCTTTTTAGATTTACAAGAGAGGACGAATCCTTTCTTGAGATTGACCAATATGAACGAGGCCTCCAAGACAAACACAGAAATTACTAGTCGTGTAAACGATATGAAAAATTATCTAATGCTTGGACCTCAATCACACTCATTCTTTTCTTTTTATAAGCAAGTTGTTTTTCTGGCCCAGGCTGAATATTCTTATTTTTCTGCCGATTTTAGGCTGAAAATAGTCTTGTATCATTATTCTTAAATTATAGCCTCTGACTTTTTCGTTTTAGAATGTATTGTGGCATAAATTGCAGTTAGCGGCAATGGCACGTTGTTTATCTTTTTGGTGGCAAGGTTTGCCGTAGAGAGAAAGAGATAATTTCACGGTTAAGTTAAAAACATATAATTGTATTGTGTTAACAGATTTTCAACACAAAAAATTATATCCTTTTCAGACTTGGTTTTATTCTTATCATATTCTCAAGATTTTGCCAATTTCAGCCTTCAGCAAGGTTTCAGAGTGATTCTCTAAGATTGAGGTCTGGATACTTCTTCAATCATTATCCGGGAAACTGAAATCCATCCACTGACAGCACCACCCAAGGCCTGATAACTTAAACACTGGCCTATCCATAATTCCACTCTAACTGCGCCCTGTGGAATATTCTCACAGTATCCCTCAAATGACCTGTGGCGGAGCAGAGTGGGGTGGCGGAGCAGAGTGGGGTCCCGGAGGGCCAGTTGTTGCAAACGACAGCATCAATCGTCGTTGGTCCACTACATTTGTTATTATTGAACTTGAAATACCAACGGTTACACTTCACACCACTACCATAGACTCTCATCGTTCCCTGAAACGAGACCTTGAGTGCTGTATCAGACAGCAGTTTGTTAAACGAGCAATCCTGGAATAAAATAAAGTCAAGCACTATCAAGTTGTGACTAGGCCATTAAAATAGGTAAAAGTAAATGTAGAAAAAAGTACTCTAAGACGACAATAAAAAATTATGAAGTACTTCTCTTATCGGTATCCACTTTTTTACATAGCCATCACTCTCATGACCATGCTCAACTTGTCATACGACTTTGCCCAATTGTGTTTAAAATAAAACATGTTTTGACAGCTGATTTACCTTTTATTCGATAATATGGCATTTATTTTTACAGAACAAGTGCCAACGAAAGTGAGAATCTGCATGGATTATTGTTTCATGCATTCAATGACACTTTTCTGTTGGTAAATGCTACAAGTCTGTTTTTCTCCAGTTAATCTCATCTTATTACACACAATGTAGGGTTACTTACATTTGTTATCTCAGTATACACAAACAAGAAGAGAAATGTTTTGCTCCATCCAAATGAACACAATCAGGCAAACCATAATCTCATTGACGGATTACATTTTGAATGTTTATCGTTTCATCTTTTACCTTTATCTCTCCGTTGTCCGTTTGGGCGTTTATTCTCCAGGACCAGCCGAACTTCCTTTTACGCTTTCTCCTTTGTCTCCTTTGTCTCCTTTCCTTCCTGCAGCTCCAACAGATCCCGGATCTCCTTTCATTCCCATCACTCCTGTCGGGCCACTTTTCCCTTGAATCCCCTCGCTACCTCTCTGTCCTTTTGGTCCCATCATACATTTCGTTCCCTTAGCTCCAGTCTTTCCCTGCAGACCTTGCGGCCCTGGCATCCCTGGCATTCCCGGCATTCCATTTGATCCTGGAATGCCTGGAAAACCATGGCTCATTATGGATTTCTAAAAAGAACATAGAGTTGGTCATTTCGATATAGAATTACTGATTTAAATGGTCTGGATAAATGGAGACAACCAAGTAAAGTAGAAATACGACAACAAATTTGATTTTTAAATAAAACACTTTTTAATCGATCTATCATCTTCAGTTGCATTTGTTGCTGATATGACTGACGATGCAATTTGAGATAGTAGTTCAACCATTTTAATTTGCAGAAAATTACGTAAAAGCCGATCAATGTTGTTCTAAGGGCTTACAATTTCCTGAATAGCTGATCCTTCGCCCGTCAAAGTGCTTCAAACACATTTCGGAGGATTATAATTTCATTTTCTTATCTTTCATTTCTATCAGTTCAAATCCATATAAAATTGCTGTTGTGTAGGTTTCTTATTAAATAATTTCACCTAACCCAAATGCATACTGAATTTCCCTGAACTTCACTTTTGTTCAGGACTTCGGGAGTTCTTTGGTATTCAAAAGTAAACTATACAAAACACTCAGCGAATGGTAGCGGCCCGGCGGAAAATATGCATATGAGAAATCCCTGACTTCTTTAAAATTTAGTATATACCTCGCATAAGTCTTTCAAGTTGCTGCTGTTTAGTTGTTGAGGTTTGGTTGTGGTTTTCTGTGAACCAACTGATCCACACAAAAGTAACAAAGCAACGACGAATTGCACCATGTTGGGGAACTGCACCGTCGAATCCTTGATACAGCGGACACTAGTTGCTTCTTATATGGTTGAATCATTATTTATTGACGACTGAGTCAGATCGATATGCGTGCTCAGCATTTTTCCCCTGGGAAAGTCATGTAATTACGACCTTTAACATTGAGCTGATTAGTATACTTAACTAGTATTCTATATATTAATTTTGAGTAGCTGGTTTGTTTTTTTTTTCATTGACTTTGATCACCATATCCTTAAATTTCCTGATTCTCAGCATTTTTCCCTTGTGAATCCTAACAAATGATGACTGAACTGAGCCGATAACGTATCACGTAGTAGTATTTTGTCACAAAGAAGGCGCCCGCAGTAAAACAGTGAACCAAAAAATGTATGGAAATACCGGTATAAGTTGCTTGTTGATGTGTATGATAAAGCAATCTCCATCCGCTTACATTATGTAGTTCCTACATAATTAAGAGACAATCAAGCTCGTTGTTTTTACCATAAATACCTATTATATTAGGCCATCAAGAGGCTTACTGTTACCAGAGTCTCTCTTTCTTTCCCAACGGAGGGAAAGATCCTAGAAGAAAAAAGGGAATACTCCTATGATCACTCAAATTCATCACATTGCACAGGGAACACCTTCCCGAGACGAAATCGAGAGAGGCGTCGACCCTTGAAAGAAATCAAAACTGCTTTTTTCTGTTTTCTCGTTTTCTTATATTTGCTTGTCCATACTGCAAACAAGAAACAGTCTTAAGAGTCTTTGGCGCAGTTTGCGCTGAAATTCGAACTACTGGGTTTAAACTCTTTTCTCCGCAGACGCCTCTTTGTGTCGCAGGGAGACTGGGGAGAGGGGAAAAGCGCGCCCATCGTCCATCGCGCGCTTGCTATCTTCTTATTATCGCTATTTTATTGAATACCCAGGCTGCTATTGCTCAATGCCTAAGCAATAAACTGTTTAAAACAAATATATACAGTACGGACAGCAAGTCTACACCACAGGGCAAACACCAGAACAGCAATTACCGTCAATCGAACCGACTGACCTTACAATCATCAGCATTTAATGAAATTTCACGCCTTCTAAACTAAAGACAATATATAGTCTTAACTACAGTTCTACTATTTATAAACAACCTTACACTTTTATAAATCATCAATCAAAATTTGCCTGGCGTTACCTTAGTGTTTGTTCGTTAAGACTGGGGCCTGGGGCCTGGGGCCTGGGGCCCGTTTCTCGAAAGTCCCGATAACATTTCGGGCCATTCTCGTCCCCAGAGCCGCTTCGCCCTCTTAACCGTCGGAGACTGAGCACGAGGGCTCAGTCTCCGACGGTTAAGAGGGCCAAGCGGCTCTGGGGACGAGAATGATTTCGGGCCCGAAATCAAATTTTCAAAACGAAATATAAAGAATGAAAGCGCGGGTTCTGGTAAGTTAACTGCTCCATTTTGTTTCATAAACTGATAGTTTTATCATGTTAGATGCAAAACTATTGAAAACTCTATCTTGCATGTAAACAGCAACAGCTTTACGGGCCCGTTAATTATCGGGACTTTCGAGAAACGGGCCCCTGGGTACTTCTTCAATCATTATCCGGAACACAGAATTCCAGCCAGTAGTAGCTTCACCCAAGGTATAGCTACCATCACATTAGCTTACCCATAATTCCACTGTTATTTCTCCCCGTGGAATATTCTCACAGTAGCCTTCAAATGATTGGCGATGCAACAGATTCGGATTTCCGGATTTAGCTTTTCCTTAAGCATTTGTTTAGAAATGGTATGCCCGAGGAATTATTATCTAAAAAAATTTAAGCCCGTCAGACAAACCCCTGCTACACTAAAAAGTACATGCATATAAATTGTTGATTTTCCCTTTCTTAACATTTTTACCAGAGGAGTTATATCCCCTTGATTGAAGGTTAACTAAAACTGGCGTACAAGCCAAACAGAGTAAGATGTTTATAAATAGCAGAAAACAAAGAACAATCTGTTAAGAAATAGTTTTCCAAGAAATAGTGCTACAGTCTGAGACAGTAAGAGTTCAGGACTCCATTCAAGGGCAAATGCTATTCAGTAAACCATTAATTCTTGCCATGGAGTTAATTACAGTATTGCAACATGTCAAAAGTTGCATTAATTAGTTGTATTTTGAATAGTAATTTTAGCCAATACTTGCCAGTAAGTTTTCTTATGCGAATAAGATTTTAAGAGAATACAAAGTTTCAGAGTATTTCTTTAAGACTGGGGCCTAGACACTTCTTCAATCATTATCCGGGAAACTGAAATCCATCCAGTGACAGCATCACCCAAGGTATAACTCGAACACTGGCCTACCCATAATTCCACTCTAACTGCGCCCTGTGGAATATTCTCACAATATCCCTCAAATGAACGGTGGTGGAGCAGATTGGGGCTCCCGGAGGGCCAGTTGTTGTAAACGACAGCTTCAATTGTCATTGGTCCACTGCATTCTTTATTATTGAACTTGAAATACCAACGGTTACACTTCACACCACTGCCATAGACTCTCAGCGTTCCCTGAAACGAGACCTTGAGTGCTGTATCAGACAGCAGCTTGTTAAACGAGCAATCCTGGAATAAAATAAAGTCAAGCACTATGAAGTTGTCACTAGGCTATTAAATTAGTTAAAAGCACATGTAGATCAGAAAAAAGTACTCTAAGACGACAATAAAAAATTATGAAGTACTTCTCTTATCGGTATCCAATTTTTTACATAGCTGTCACTCTCATGACCATGCTCAACTTGTCATACGACTTTGCCCTATTGTGTTTGAATATAACATGTTTTGACAGCTGATTTACCTTTTATTCGATAATTTGTCATTTATTTTTACAGAACAAGTGCCAACGAACATTAGAATCTGCGTGGATTATTGTTTCATGCCTTCAATGACAGTTTTCTGTTGGTAAATGCTACAAGTCTGTTTTTTCTCCAGTTAATCTCATCTTATTACACACAATGTAAGGTTACTTACATTTGTTATCTCAGTATGCACAAAAAAGAAGAGAAATGTTTTGCTCCATCCAAATGAACACAATCAGGCAAACCATAATCTCATTGACAGATTATATTTTGAATGTTTATCTTTTCATCTTTTACCTTTATCTTGCCGTTGTCCGTTTGGGCGTTTATTCTCCACACACACTGTTTCCAGTTGGTTTGTGGCACAGGACCAGCCGAACTTCCTTTCACGCTTTCTCCTTTCTCTCCTTTGTCTCCTTTCTTTCCTGCAGCTCCAACAGATCCCGGCTCTCCTTTCATTCCCATCATTCCTGGCCGGCCACTCTTCCCAAGAAGCCCTTCACGACCTCTCTCTCCTTTTGGTCCCGTCATACCTTTCGTTCCCTTAGCGCCAGTCTTTCCTTTTGTTCCTTCACTTCCCTGCGGACCTTGCGGCCCTGGCATTCCTGGCACTCCCGGCATTCCATTTGATCCTGGAATGCCTGGAAAACCATAGTTCATTGAGGATTTCTAGAAAGAACATGAAATTCGTCATTTCTACTAAAATCACGGAACTAAATAGTCTGGATAAATGGACACAAAAAAGAAATAGGACAACAAATTTGATTTATGAAAAAAACTCGTTTTAATCGATCCATCATCTTCAGTTGCATTTTTTTCTCATATTTGTTTCGAATTGACAGTGACGTTGCAATTTTCGATAACAGTTTAATCATTTTAATTTGCAGAAAATTATGTAAATCTTCTTAGGGCTTACAATTTCTTAAATAGTTGATCCTTCGCCCGTCAAAGTGCTTGAATCCACATTTCGGAGGATTTTTTAATCTTTCATTTCAATTTAAATCCATCTAAATTGCTGTTGTTTAGTTTTCTTAATAAATAATTTCAACTAACCCAAATGCACACTGAATTTCCCTAAACTTTTTTCAGGGCTTTGGGCGTTCTTTGGTATTCAAAGTAAACTATACAAAACACCCAGCAAACGGTAACGATTCGGAAAATATGAGAAGTCCCTGAGTTAAAATTTAGTATATACCTCGCATAAGTTTTTGACGTTGCTGCTGTTTAGTTGTTGAGGTTTGGCTGTGGTTTTCTGGGAACCAACTGATCCACACAAAAGTAACAAAGCAACGACGAATTGCACCATGGCGAGGAACTACACCGCCGAATCCTTTGCACAACGGACAACAGTGCTTCTTTAAGCTGAACCGTTATACGGTTGAATCATTTATTGACTACTAAGTCAGATCGATGTACATGCTCAGCATTTTTCCCTTGGGAAAGCCACGTAATTATGACCTTTAAAATTGAGCTGATTAGTATCCTTAACTAGTATTCTATTTATTTATTTTGAGTAGCTGTTTTTTTAACACAGACTTTGAATACCATATCCCGAAAACTTCCTGATTCGCAACATTTTTCCCGTGTGAATCCCAAGAAAAGATGACCTTTCAAACTGAACTGACCCGATAACTTTACACGTAGTAGCTTTTTGTCACAACGAAGGCGCTTGCACTAAAACAGTGAACCAAAAAATGTGTGGAGATACCGGAATAGGTTGGCTTTTCATGTGTATGACAAAGCAACCTCGATGCGTTTATATTATGTCGTTCCTTAGGGGCGGATGTAGGGGGAGGGTGCAAAAGGTGCGCCCCCCCCCCCCCTGAGATGACCTGCGGTTTTCTAATACAACTGGTATTCTGCAAAAAAAAACTATGTGGCTTATTGGTGTTGAAGTAGAGCTGAAGAGACGAGTGCACCCCCTCCTAAAAAAAATCCTGGATCCGCCCCTGTTCCTACATAGTTAACAGACAATCAAGCTCTTATTTCTGCCATATATGTTTCTATTATTAGGCCATCAAAAGACTTTACTGTTACTGTTACTGCTACCGAGGTCTCTAGCTTTTTCACAACGGAGGAGAAGACTCTAGAAGGAAAAAGGCAAGATCCCTGTGATCACTGAAATTAGTCACGTTTGGAACATAACCCGAGACGAAATCGAGAGTCTAGCATTAAAGGAAATCAAAACTGTTTTCTTTTTTGTTTTGACCGGTTTATTTATATTTACTTGTCCATACTACAAACAAAAAAGTGGTAAAAGTGTTTGACACAATTTGCCCTGAAAATCAAAACTACAGAACGCATGGACTGTTGGGTTGAAACTCTCTCTTCCACAGAGGCTTTTTTGTGTTTTAGGGGGAGGGGAGGATGGGGAGAGGGAAAAAGAAAGCGCGGGGGGGACGGTGGGTAGGGGAATTTATTATTGTTATTTTTAACTGGTTACCCCACTGAAGCCTCTGTGGAAAAAAGAGGGGTTCAAACATGAATTCAATGCCTCAGCAATCATACTCCACGGGTTTACCATAGCACCAACTTCAGGGCAATAAAATGTTCAAAACAAATATAATACGGAGAGCAAAGCTACCATCTGATTAAACCCCACGAGGGAAAACATCAGAACGGCAATAACCATCAATCGAACTGATTGACCTTGCCATCGCCACCATTTAATGAAATTTCAAGCCTTCTAATAACGACAATAAAAAAGTCTTTACTACAGTTCTACTATTTTTATATTAAACAAAACATCCCGTCATGAACAACCTTACATGTCTTACATTTTTATAAATCATTTGAAAATTTGCCTGGCGTTACCTTAGTGAAGGGTTAAGAGTCAATTAGGATTAAAAGTCGTTCGTTAAGACTGGGGCCTGGGTACTTCTTCAATCATTATCCGGGACACTGAATTCCACCCAGTAGTAGCTTCACCCAAGGTATAGCCACCATCACATTGGCCTACCCACAATTCCACTGTTATTTTTCCCCGTGGAATGTTCTCACAGTAGCCCTCAAATGATCGGTGATGCAGCAGATTCGGTTTCCCGGATGGCCATTTGCTGTACACGACAGCCTCAATTGTCATTGGTCCACTGCATTCCCTATTATTGAACTTGAAGTACCACCTATTACATTTGTTGCCAGCGCCATTGACTCTCGTGTTTCCCTGGAATGAGACTTTGAGTGCTGAATCACACTGCAGCTTTGTGAATGAGCATTCCTGGACCAAAATTAAACAAAGAATTTCACTTTAAATTCATACAACATGAGGTATCTTACTTATTGCTGGTTTGCACGTGATGTCACGGCGGCCATGTTGACGGTGAGTTAGGAATAAGAACAAACTGGGAACTAAACCCTATTTTCATGTAAATTCTTCGAGAAAAAATTCTATTGTATTGACCACCAACACACCACCAAAAGGGCCGCCTTATCACGTGGTTGCAAGCCAAGAATAGGCTGTAGCTAACCCTTTTTAAAGGCTTAAAAGTCCTTTAAAGTGTGATGTTCATAAATTTTCCCTATGTTATTTTAATGCCTTGTAAAATAGAATGGTCTTGAGAATTAAGACTCAAAGAAGGTGAATCTAATTGATACTTCAATATCTTCTCCCTACTAATTCTATAGGAAACGTATAGCGAAATGAGAAATGAGAATCTGAATTTTCATTTTAGAGTTTAAAGGGTTTAAAGTCCTTATCTCTTACCTTTATTTTCCCATCATCGGTTAAATCGCCTGTCTTCTACACGCATTGTTTCCAGTTGGTTTGTGGCACGGGACCAGCGAAACTACAGTCCACACGTTCTCCTTTCTCTCCTATGTCTCCTTTCTTTCCTGCAGCTCCAACAGATCCCGGCTCTCCTTTCATTCCCATCATTCCTGGGGGGCCACTCTTCCCGTGAAGCCCTTCGTGGCCTCTCTCTCCTTTTGATCCCATAATACCTTTCGCTCCCCTGTCACCAGTCTGGCCTTTTGCTCCTTCTTTGCCCTGTGGACCTTGCGGTCCTGGCATTCCTGGCATGCCATTTGATCCTGGAATACCCGGAAACCCACGTCGTTTTATGAATTTCTATAAAGAACAAAGGAAAACAAAGAAAAAAGCGTCGGTTAAATTCCCCAAGAATGGTACATAAGTCCATCCTTTCCACAAAACCAAATACGAACCGGACAATTTTTGAAGAATAAAGCAGCTAAAGCAGGAGTTTCTCGGATAATGAAGGTACCGACATAAAATGTTGTTCGCTGAATATTAACACCAAAATGAAAGGTAATGTTTACGTGGACTATCGCGAGCCAACCTAGATTTCCTCCTAGCCTAGCTATCATTCTTGCGGGAGACCTAGAAATAAATTTCCACTGCTTCTTTCAAGGGAGAGCATTTTTATAATACCTTTACCTTCCCTACTGTTTTACTCTTGAAGGGAATTGTTGAAACGCTTGACTTATTTTCCTCCATTTGCATTCCTTGTCTATAACAACAATTAATTAGCCACCCAGCTATCCCAGACTTGCGCCGAAAAAAATTCCTCTGTGATCCTGGTACTGGCTTCTCGTACACCTAACTGCAAGATCTGAGCCCTCACTTAAAGAGAAACTTAGATACTCCAAAGAAAGTAATGGATTAAATTTTGCCTTGTGTAGAATTCTGATAGAAAAAATTAAGTTCCCAACAAGCAATACTCCAGTACGATTTGAATGAAATTGATTTGTTTCTCCGCGCTTTCGCCCTTTTGCACTTTTTCCTAACTATGACTTACCCCACATGAACTTTTCAAGCTGCTGTTATTCTGTTCTTGAGGTTTGATAGTGGTTGCCAATGAACAAAGTGATCCACACGAAACCAACAAAGGAATATGAATAAAGAATTGTATCATGACGAGAGACCGGTTTGAACCTTTGATTTGGAGACGCTTTTTAATTCGCGATCATTCCGGCTTTTTATAATCAAATGTGATTGATATTTTTATCGCTCCATTTTATTTTCATTATTTTAATCAATTTTTGGCTAGAAAATTCTCAAACCAGTTTCAGTGTGCTGCGTCGGATATACATAGCCCTGACTGCATTAATAGTACAATATTAATATTTTATAAAACAGTATGGTGGCGTATTACTAATAAAATTTATCAGTGCTTTTATATAAGAGAACGATTTCTCAATTTCAAGTGATATTAACAAAGCCTACTAACGCCAGCAGCACTTTGTTGCTACACCAAATTAATTTTGCTATTTATACTTTTGGCTTTTTTGGCGGAAGAGGTGGGAGGGGGGAGGTGGGAGTCGAGAATCCCAAAGGCGTAGTTTTTTCAGTACGGGCTGTAGTGAATTTGTGCTTTTCATGTGTAAATCCGGACAAAAAAAACCTTAAAACTGGTGATAAAAGTAAATAGAGTTGAGCGGTTCTCAACAGCAGAGCTCTTTCTTATGTTTTAATATCGTTAAAGAAGCTAAAACGAATCTGACACCGGAACACCAGTGCTTGCGATGCGAGCTGAAAGAGTGACAAGGATCATTCCATTTTTAGTCATCAGTTTAATCCGCTCCGTAGGAAGCGGAAACCGGGAGGAGCCAACTTTTTTTGCCTTCAGGAGCCCATTTTTCAATTTGTTTTTCATCCTATTTCATTCCCCTTTTTCAGGTCTGTGTTTTGTGTGATCGCGAGGAATCCCTCCCTTGGAAGATTCCTTCAAAAATCAAGGCTTTCTTCTACTCACCGTCTAAATGAATCAAGTGATCTATTTACATTTTATTTGATGAAAGAGAAAATATCCGTTTCATATTTGTATTAATTATTTGTTTGTTCGTTTATGTTTCTATCTTTTTTATTCTGTCTTTTTAGATTTACAACAGAGGACGAATCCTTTCTTGAGATTGACCAATATGAACGAGGCCTCCAAGACAAACACAGAAATCACTAGTCGTGTAAACGATATGAAAAATTATCTAATGCTTGGACCTCAATCACACTCATTCTTTTCTTTTTATAAGAATGTTGTTTTGCTGGCCCAGGCTGAATATTCTTATTTTTCTGCCGATTTTAGGCTGAAAATAGTCTTGTATAATTATTCTTAAATTATAGCCTCTGACTTTTTCGTTTTAGAATGTATTGTGGCATAAATTGCAGTTAGCGGCAATGGCAAGTTGTTTATCTTTTTGGTGGCAAGGTTTGCCGTAGAGAGAAAGAGATAATTTCACGGTTAAGTTAAAAACATATAATTGTATTGTGTTAACAGATTTTCAACACAAAAAATTATATCCTTTTCAGACTTGGTTTTATTCTTATCATATTCTCAAGATTTTGCCAATTTCAGCCTTCAGCAAGGTTTCAGAGTGATTCTCTAAGATTGAGGTCTGGATACTTCTTCAATCATTATCCGGGAAACTGAAATCCATCCACTGACAGCATCACCCAAGGCCTGATAACTTAAACACTGGCCTATCCATAATTCCACTCTAACTGCACCCTGTGGAATATTCTCACAGTATCCCTCAAATGACCTGTGGCGGAGCAGAGTGGGGTGGCGGAGCAGAGTGGGGTCCCGGAGGGCCAGTTGTTGCAAACGACAGCATCAATCGTCGTTGGTCCACTACATTTGTTATTATTGAACTTGAAATACCAACGGTTACACTTCACACCACTACCATAGACTCTCATCGTTCCCTGAAACGAGACCTTGAGTGCTGTATCAGACAGCAGTTTGTTAAACGAGCAATCCTGGAATAAAATAAAGTCAAGCACTATCAAGTTGTGACTAGGCCATTAAAATAGGTAAAAGTACATGTAGAAAAAAGTACTCTAAGACGACAATAAAAAATTATGAAGTACTTCTCTTATCGGTATCCACTTTTTTACATAGCCATCACTCTCATGACCATGCTCAACTTGTCATACGACTTTGCCCAATTGTGTTTAAAATAAAACATGTTTTGACAGCTGATTTACCTTTTATTCGATAATATGGCATTTATTTTTACAGAACAAGTGCCAACGAAAGAGAGAATCTGCATGGATTATTGTTTCATGCCTTCAATGACACTTTTCTGTTGGTAAATGCTACAAGTCTGTTTTTCTCCAGTTAATCTCATCTTATTACACACAATGTAGGGTTACTTACATTTGTTATCTCAGTATACACAAACAAGAAGAGAAATGTTTTGCTCCATCCAAATGAACACAATCATGCAAACCAAAATCTCATTGACGGATTACATTTTGAATGTTTATCGTTTCATCTTTTACCTTTATCTCTCCGTTGTCCGTTTGGGCGTTTATTCTCCAGGACCAGCCGAACTTCCTTTCACGCTTTCTCCTTTCTCTCCTTTGTCTCCTTTCCTTCCTGCGGCTCCAACAGATCCCGGATCTCCTTTCATTCCCATCATTCCTGTCGGGCCACTTTTCCCGTGAATCCCCTCGCTACCTCTCTCTCCTTTTGGTCCCATCATACATTTCGTTCCCTTAGCTCCAGTCTTTCCCTGCGGACCTTGCGGCCCTGGCATCCCTGGCACTCCCGGCATTCCATTTGATCCTAGAATGCCTGGAAAACCATGGCTCATTATGGATTTCTAAAAAGAACATGGAGTTGGTCATTTCGATTAGAATTACTGATTTAAATGGTCTGGATAAATGGAGACAACCAAGCAAAGTAGAAATACGACAACAAATTTGATTTTTAAATAAAACACGTTTCAATCGATCTATCATCTTCAGTTACATTTGTTGCTGATATGACTGACGATGCAATTTGTGATAGTAGTTCAACCATTTTAGTTTGCAGAAAATTACGTAAGAGCCGATCAATGTTGTTCTAAGGGCTTACAATTTCCTGAATAGCTGATCCTTCGCCCGTCAAAGTGCTTCAAACACATTTCGGAGGATTATAATTTCATTTTCTTATCTTTCATTTCTATCAGTTCAAATCCATATAAAATTGCTGTTGTTTAGGTTTCTTATTAAATAATTTCACCTAACCCAAATGCATACTGAATTTCCCTGAACTTCACTTTTGTTCAGGACTTCGGGAGTTCTTTGGTATTCAAAAGTAAACTATACAAAACACTCAGCGAATGGTAGCGGCCCGACGGAAAATATGCATATGAGAAATCCCTGACTTCTTTAAAATCAGTAGTATATACCTCGCATAAGTCTTTCAAGTTGCTGCTGTTTAGTTGTTGAGGTTTGGTTGTGGTTTTCTGTGAACCAACTGATCCACACAAAAGTAACAAAGCAACGACGAATTGCACCATGTTGGGGAACTGCACCGCCGAATCCTTGATACAGCGGACACTAGTTGCTTCTTATATGGTTGAATCATTATTTATTGACGACTGAGTCAGATCGATATGCATGCTCAGTATTTTTCCCCTGGGAAAGTCATGTAATTACGACCTTTAACATTGAGCTGATTAGTATACTTAACTAGTATTCTATATATTAATTTTGAGTAGCTGGTTTTTTTTTTCATTGACTTTGAATACCATATCCTTAAATTTCCTGATTCTCAGCATTTTTCCCGTGTGAATCCTAACAAATGATGACTGAACTGAGCCGATAACGTATCACGTAGTAGTATTTTGTCACAAAGAAGGAGCCCGCAGTAAAACAGTGAACCAAAAAATGTATGGAAATACCGGTATAAGTTGCTTGTTGATGTGTATGATAAAGCAACCTCCATCCGCTTACATTATGTAGTTCCTACATAATTAAGAGACAATCAAGCTCGTTGTTTTTACCATAAATACCTATTATATTAGGCCATCAAGAGGCTTACTGTTACCAGAGTCTCTCTTTCTTTCCCAACGGAGGGAAAGATCCTAGAAGAAAAAAGGGAATACTCCTATGATCACTCAAATTCATCACATTGCACAGGGAACACCTTCCCGAGACGAAATCGAGAGAGGCGTCGACCCTTGAAAGAAATCAAAGCTGCTTTTTTCTGTTTTCACGTTTTCTTATATTTGCTTGTCCATACTGCAAACAAGAAAAAGTCTTAAGAGTCTTTGGCGCAGTTTGCGCTGAAATTCGAACTACGGGTTAAAACTCTTTTCTCCGTAGACGCCTCTTTGTGTCGCAGGGAGACTGGGGAGAGGGGAAAAGCGCGCCCATCGTCCATCGCGCGCTTGCTATCTTTTTATTATCGCTATTTTATTGAATACCCAGACCGCTATTGCTCAATGCCTAAGCAATCATACTCCAATTGCTAACCGTGACACTGCCTTCAGGGCAATAAACTGTTTAAAACAAATATACACAGTACGGACAGCAAGTCTACACCACAGGGCAAACACCAGAAGAGCAATTACCGTCAATGGAACCGACTGACCTTGCAATCATCAGCATTTAATGAAATTTCACGCCTTCTAAACTAAAGACAATATATAGTCTTAACTACAGTTCTACTATTTATAAACAACCTTACACTTTTATAAATCATCAATGAAAATTTGCCTGGCGTTACCTTAATGTTTGTTCGTTAAGACTGGGGCCTGGGGCCTGGGGCCTGGGGCCTGGGGCCTGGGGCCTGGGGCCTGGGGCCCGTTTCTCGAAAGTCCCGATAACATTTCGGGCCATTCTCGTCCCCAGAGCCGCTTGGCCCTCTTAACCGTCGGAGACTGAGCACGAGGGCTCAGTCTCCGACGGTTAAGAGGGCCAAGCGGCTCTGGGGACGAGAATGATTTCGGGCCCGAAATCAAATTTTCAAAACGAAATATAAAGAATGAAAGCGCGGGTTCTGGTCAGTTAACTGCTCCATTTTGTTTCATAAACTGATAGTTTTATCATGTTAGATGCAAAACTATTGAAAACTCTATCTTGCATGTAAACAGCAACAGCTTTACGGGCCCGTTAATTATCGGGACTTTCGAGAAACGGGCCCCTGGGTACTTCTTCAATCATTATCCGGAACACAGAATTCCAGCCAGTAGTAGCTTCACCCAAGGTATAGCTACCATCACATTAGCTTACCCATAATTCCACTGTTATTTCTCCCCGTGGAATATTCTCACAGTTTGCCCTCAAATGATTGGCGACGCAACAGATTCGGATTTCCGGATTTAGCTTTTCCTTAAGCATTTGTTTAGAAATGGTATGCCCGAGGAATTATTATCTCAAAAAATTTAAGCTCGTCAGACAAACCCCTGCTACACTAGAAAGTACATGCATATAAATTGTTGATTTTCCCTTTCTTAACATTTTTACCAGAGGAGTTATATCCCCTTGATTGAAGGTTAACTAAAACTGGCGTACAAGCCAAACAGAGTAAGATGTTTATAAATAGCAGAAAACAAAGAACAATCTGTTAAGAAATAGTTTTCCAAGAAATAGTGCTACAGTCTGAGACAGTAAGAGTTCAGGACTCCATTCAAGGGCAAATGCTATTCAGTAAACCATTAATTCTTGCCATGGAGTTAATTACAGTATTGCAACATGTCAAAAGTTGTATTAATTAGTTGTATTTTGAATAGTAATTTTAGCCAATACTTGCCAGTAAGTTTTATTATGCGAATTAGATTTTAAGAGAATACAAAGTTTCAGAGTATTTCTTTAAGACTGGGGCCTAGACACTTCTTCAATCATTATCCGGGAAACTGAAATCCATCCAGTGACAGCATCACCCAAGGTATAACTCGAACACTGGCCTACCCATAATTCCACTCTAACTGCGCCCTGTGGAATATTCTCACAATATCCCTCAAATGAACGGTGGTGGAGCAGATTGGGGTTTCCGGAGGGCCAGTTGTTGTAAACGACAGCTTCAATTGTCATTGGTCCACTGCATTCTTTATTATTGAACTTGAAATACCAACGGTTACACTTCACACCACTGCCATAGACTCTCAGCGTTCCCTGAAACGAGACCTTGAGTGCTGTATCAGACAGCAGCTTGTTAAACGAGCAATCCTGGAATAAAATAAAGTCAAGCACTATGAAGTTGTCACTAGGCTATTAAATTAGTTAAAAGCACATGTAGAAAAAAGTACTCTAAGACGACAATAAAAAATTATGAAGTACTTCTCTTATCGGTATCCAATTTTTTACATAGCTGTCACTCTCATGACCATGCTCAACTTGTCATACGACTTTGCCCAATTGTGTTTGAATATAACATGTTTTGACAGCTGATTTACCTTTTACTCGATAATTTGTCATTTATTTTTACAGAACAAGTGCCAACGAAAATTAGAATCTGCATGCGTGGATTATTGTTTCATGCCTTCAATGACAGTTTTCTGTTGGTAAATGCTACAAGTCTGTTTTTTCTCCAGTTAATCTCATCTTATTACACACAATGTAAGGTTACTTACATTTGTTATCTCAGTATGCACAAAAAAGAAGAGAAATGTTTTGCTCCATCCAAATGAACACAATCAGGCAAACCATAATCTCATTGACAGATTATATTTTGAATGTTTATCTTTTCATCTTTTACCTTTATCTTGCCGTTGTCCGTTTTGGCGTTTATTCTCCACACACACTGTTTCCAGTTGGTTTGTGGCACAGGACCAGCCGAACTTCCTTTCACGCTTTCTCCTTTCTCTCCTTTGTCTCCTTTCTTTCCTGCAGCTCCAACAGATCCCGGCTGTCCTTTCATTCCCATCATTCCTGGCGGGCCACTCTTCCCAAGAAGCCCTTCACGACCTCTCTCTCCTTTTGGTCCCGTCATACCTTTCGTTCCCTTAGCGCCAGTCTTTCCTTTTGTTCCTTCACTTCCCTGCGGCCCTTGCGGCCCTGGCATTCCTGGCACTCCCGGCATTCCATTTGATCCTGGAATGCCTGGAAAACCATAGTTCATTGAGGATTTCTAGAAAGAACATGAAATTCGTCATTTCTACTAAAATCACGGAACTAAATAGTCTGGATAAATGGACACAAAAAAGAAATAGGACAACAAATTTGATTTATAAAAAAAACTCGTTTTAATCGATCCATCATCTTCAGTTGCATTTTTTTTCTCATATTTGTTTCGAATTGACAGTGACGTTGCAATTTTCGATAACAGTTTAACCATTTTAATTTGCAGAAAATTATGTAAATCTTCTTAGGGCTTACAATTTCTTAAATAGTTGATCCTTCGCCCGTCAAAGTGCTTGAAACCGCATTTCGGAGGATTTTTTAATCTTTCATTTCAATTTAAATCCATCTAAATTGCTGTTGTTTAGTTTTCTTAATAAATAATTTCAACTAACCCAAATGTACACTAAATTTCCCTAAACTTTTTTCAGGGCTTTGGGAGTTCTTTGGTATTCGAAGTAAACTATACAAAACACCCAGAAAACGGTAACGATTCGGAAAATATGAGAAGTCCCTGAGTTAAAATTTTGTATATACCTCGCATAAGTTTTTGACGTTGCTGCTGTTTAGTTGTTGAGGTTTGGCTGTGGTTTTCTGGGAACCAACTGATCCACACAAAAGTAACAAAGCAACGGCGAATTGCACCATGGCGAGGAACTACACCGGCGAATCCTTTGTACAACGGACAACAGTGCTTCTTTAAGCTGAACCGTTATACGGTTGAATCATTTATTGACGACTACGTCAGATGTATATGCATGCTCAGCATTTTTCCCTTGGGAAAGCCACGTAATTATGACCTTTAAAATTGAGCTGATTAGTATCCTTAACTAGTATTCTATTTATTTATTTTGAGTAGCTGTTTTTTTAACACTGACTTTAAATACCATATCCCGAAAACTTCCTGATTCGCAACATTTTTCCCGTGTGAATCCTATGAAATGATGACCTTTCAAACTGATCTGAGCCGATAACTTTACACGTAGTAGCTTTTTGTCAGAACGAAGGCGCCCGCACTAGAACAGTGAACCAAAAAAAATGTATGGAGATACCGGTATAGGTTGGCTTTTCATGTGTATGACAAAGCAACCTCGATGCGCTTATATTATGTCGTTCCTTAGGGGCGGATCTAGGGGAGGGGTGCAAGGGGTGCGCACCCCACCCCATCCCCCTGAGATGACCTGCGGTTTTCTAATACAACTGGTATTCTGCAAAAAAAAAAAACTATTTGGTTTATTGGTGTTGAAGTAGAGCAAGAGACAAGTGCACCTCCTCCTAAAAAAAATCCTGTATCCGCTCCTGTTCCTACATAGTTAACAGACAATCAAGCTCTTATTTCTACCATATGTTTCTATTATTAGGCCATCAAAATACTTGACTGTTACTGTTACTGCTACTGAGTCTCTAGCTTTTTCACAACGTAGGAGAAGATTCTGGAAGGAAAAAGGCAAGACCCCTGTGATCACTGAATTAAAAAGTAGTCACGTTTGGAACACATTCCCGAGACGAAATCGAGAGATTTGTCTAGCATTAAAGGAAATCAAAACTGTTTCCTTTTTTGTTTTGACCGGTTTATTTATATTTACTTGTCCATACTACAAACAAAAAAGTGGTAAAAGTGTTTGACGCAATTTGCCCTGAAAATCAAAACTACAGAACGCATGGACTGTTGGGTTGAAACTCTCTCTTCCACAGAGGGACAGGTCCCACAGAGGCCTTTTTGTGTTTTAGGGGGAGGGGAGGATGGGGAGAGGGAAAAAGAAAGCGCGGGGAGACGGTGGGTAGGGGAATTAATTATTGTTATTTTTAACTGATTACCCCACTAAAGCCTCTGTGGAGAAAAGAGGGGTTCAAACATGAATTCAATGCCTCAGCAATCATACTCCAAGGGTTTACCATAGCACCAACTTCAGGGCAATAAAATGTTCAAAACAAATATAATACGGAGAGCAAAGCTACCATCTGATTAAACCCCACGAGGGAAAACACCAGAACAGCAATTACCATCAATCGAACTGATTGACCTTGCCATCACCACCATTTAATGAAATTTCAAGCCTTCTAATAACGACAATAAAAAAGTCTTTACTACAGTTCTACTATTTTTATATTAAACAAAACATCCCGTCATGAACAACCTTACATGTCTTACATTTTTATAAATCATTTGAAAATTTGCCTGGCGTTACCTTAGTGAAGGGTTAAGAGTCAATTAGGATTTAAAAGTCGTTCGTTAAGACTGGGGCCTGGGTACTTCTTCAATCATTATCCGGGACACTGAATTCCACCCAGTAGTAGCTTCACCCAAGGTATAGCCACCATCACATTGGCCTACCCACAATTCCACTGTTATTTTTCCCCGTGGAATATTCTCACAGTAGCCCTCAAATGATCGGTGATGCAGAAGATTCGGTTTTCCGGATGGCCATTTGCTGTACACGACAGCCTCAATTGTCATTGGTCCACTGCATTCCTTATTATTGAACTTGAAGTACCACCTATTACATTTGTTGCCAGCGCCATTGACTCTCGTGTTTCCCTGGAATGAGACTTTAAGTGCTGAATCACACTGCAGCTTTGTGAATGAGCATTCCTGGACCAAAAATAAACAAAGAATTTCACTTTAAATTCATACAACGTGAGGTGTCTTACTTATTGCTGGTTTACACGTGACGTCACGGCGGCCATGTTGATGGTGTGTTAGGGATAAGAACAAACTGGGAACTAAACCCTATTTTCATGTAAATTCTTCGAGAAAAAATTCTATTGTATTGACCACCAACACACCAACAACAGGGCCGCCTTGTCACGTGGTTGCAAGCCAAGAATAGGCTCTAACTGAACCCTTTTTAGACGCTTAAAAGCCCTAAGAGTGATGTGCATAAATTTTCCCTATGTAATTTTAATGCCTTGTAAAGAACAAACAAACTTGGAACTAAACCCTATTTTCAAGTAAATTCTTCGAGAAAAAATTTTACTGTATTGACCACCAACACACCACCAACAGGGCTGCCTTGTCACGTGGTTGCAAGCCAAGAATAGGCTCTAACTAACCCTTTTTAAAGGCCTAAAAGCCCTTTTTATGTGTGATGTGCATAGATTTTCCCTATGTAATTTTAATGCCTTGTAAAATGGAATCAGTGGTCATGAGAATTAAAGACGTGATCAAAGAGGGTGAATCTAATTGATACTTCAATATCTTCTCCCTACTACTTCTATAGGAAACGTATAGCGAAATGAGAAATGAGAGTCTGAATTTTCATTTTAGGGTTTAAAGGGTTTAAAGTCCTTATCTCTTACCTTTATTTTCCCATCATCGGTTAAATCGCCTCTTTTCCACACGCACTGTTTCCAGTTGTTTCGCGTCACGGGACTAGCGAAACTATAGTCCACACTTTCTCCTTTCTCTCCTTTAGTCTCCTTTCCTTCCTACAGCTCCAACAGATCCAGGCTCTCCTTTCATTTCCATCATTCCTGGCCGGCCACTCTTCCCGTGAAGCCCTTCGTGGCCTCTCTCTACTTTTGATCCCATAAAACCTTTCGCTCCCTTGTCACCAGTCTGACCTTTTGCTCCTTCTTTTCCCTGTGGACCTTGCGGTCCTGGCATTCCAGGCATACCAGGCATTCCTGGCATACCATTTGATCCTGGAATACCTGGAAACCCACGTCGTTTTATGAATTTCTATAAAAAACAAAGAAAAACAAAGAAAAAAAAGCGTCGGTTAAAGGGACAGGTTCACGGTTCAGCGCATGCTCATTTATCAAAATGCTGTTTGGTTGTCGGGACGTGCTTCGTCTATGCAAGCAATATAATCATGTCATAATGTTGTCAAAGAACCAATCTGCATACTCCCCTGGCAGTTACCTGCACTTGATCAACTTAAATAATTGCTGTAGCGACCGCTTTGGGTGAAGGCGGCGCGAGGGCAACATGCGTTGCAGAAATTCTGAAAGGTTCACTCCACAATGACCAAAACGTCTAACAAGATCCTTAGTTCCGTTTAATGCTGGTTCACAAGATGTTAACGGACCGAAGGGACCGTCAAAGACTGTAATGGCTATTACAACATGCTTCGTGCGAAGCCTAAAGAACTGCGTTGGGCGACGTTGCCAAAAACACTCCGCTCTCTCGTCGAGCTTACAAAAACTGAAAACCCGGATGCGCGTGACCGGGTCACGTGTTAAACAAAACAACTGGGAAGGCGTTACATGGCTCCCCATACATTGTGAAATGTATGACTTAACAATAAAATAAATGTCAAAATAAACTTAGTGTTCTTAGTGTTCAAGAGGGTAATTCTTTCTGCTGGCTCCCCGACGGGGTCGTACTCCGGTCTATCGAAGTTTCCTTCTGTAACTTGCATCAGTCGTCTCTTCCTTCGGACGATGAACAAGGATTAACTTGTGTACGGGTCTATCCAGAAGCTTCTTATTTCCGGATTCAGTATAGAAGAGGGAGACTTTGCGAACGAGTCCGTCATCACTGGGATAGACTTGGGTGACTCTGGCGAGAGGCCATTCATTTCTTGGGGAAGAATCTTCGCAAATCAGAACAATATCATCAACTTGGACGTTAGGGACGGTCTTGTTCCACTTCTGACGCTTTTGCTGCTGTAGACAATATTCTCTTTGCCATCGGAGCCAGAATTGGTCAGCCAAGAATTGAACTCTGCGCCATCTCTTTCTGGTGTACAGATCTGGTCGAGAGAAGTTGCCAGGCGGAGGTAGTACTGCCTTCGTCTTCAGAGTGAGCAAGTGATTTGGTGTGATCGGCTCAGGTGCTTGTGGGTCTGACAAGCTGTCGGTGGTCAGCGGGCGGCTGTTCACGAGGTTTTCGGCTTCAGTGAAGAGAGTACGTAACCCTTCGTCGTCTAGCTGCGTTGACTGATCTTCGAGGAGGCCAGATAGAGAGGAGCGTACTGTTCGTATCATGCGTTCCCACACACCTCCCATGTGTGAGGAGCTGGGGAAATTCATCTTGAACTCGATGAAGTCGCATTC